AAAGTGGGCCTTAGAGAATAAAGTCAGCAATGTACTATTATTAAAAATGTCGTAAACCAACTCGATTCTTATCCTTTTTAAATTTATACAATTTTGCAAATGCGAATTTCATGAGTGATTGCACACAAGATGAACGGTTAGGTCTTATTATTACTTTAATTACCACAAAGCGGTATTCCTTTGTGGAAAGGAATGGTTTGTTGATGTGGGAATACATTTATGTTAGCCCAAGCTTTCGCTTACAATTAACCTTTAAGCCGGCCGTAACCATAACATTTTTAATGGTAATTGAAAGTTTAAGACTTTCGCGGACCATCATTAGCCGATTTAAGAAACTGCAAATTACATTCAAATCGATATAAATAAAATAAATAAGTTTTATCTTCCTTAATGTTTCTTTTTCACTACATTAAACACCATTAGCCATTTTCCACCCCATTGATTCTGAACAATCCTTAACATTCCATAACTAATTATTATATTCGTTGAAGTATGAAGCGTTAATATTTTTTGTACAACTTTACGAGGCGATAATAAACCGTGACCAGCTACCGTGCGCGAAAAGAACACGTCTATCGAAGGTTAATCAAAAAAGTCGACAATTGTGATAGCAATTAGACTCGATTTCTATTTATTTTAATACAATTATTAATAATTATCGTAGGCAACCGACCAAACCAAATTATTATAACTTGAAATTATTTCTGAAGTAGCAAAAAGACATGTTAAAACTTGAAAGATCAAACAAAGAACAATTTTCCTCGAGACGAACGTGTAACTATAATGTTCTCGCGCAATTACTTCTGGAAACTGTCAAGTTGTAAGATACATTCGAGCAGAGAGAAAGACGACGGGTTATAGCGTTACTTATGTACGTCCGTGTGTCTTATCCAACCTGACGTTATACACCCGGTAATTATGCATAGACCATCACACGTAACACGGCGTCTAATGGCAGGTTTAATTACATGGCATGTGGCAGCAGAAGAATTTTTACTTTAATCTTAAGAGAAAAAAATCTTAACAAAAGAAAAAAAAATAAAAGATTACGTTAGAATCGATATAACAATGAGAAATACCTTTAAATTACTATCGAAAGGATATAAGAGAAAGTTTTAACCTCTTTGAATTGTGACCGATTGGGTAAAACTTCTCAAACAAGCACCTCTCAAGAGGGCAAAATAAATTACCGAGCAATGTCCCACATAAAGTTACACAGCACGGCCACAATTCCATTCAATTACACCTCATTTTCAACGACAATGGGTAACAATAAACAACGAAAAGGCGAGTACAATACTCGACGCCGATCGAATATAACTTTTCGCAGAATGTTGCACCATCTTAATAGGGTGAATCTAGTTTTAGTACCAGTTTTATAATGGTGGATAATAATATTAAAGTATTGAAAAGATTGGTGCTTTATAATCAGTGAAAGGCAATGCCGGGAATGGTGTTTGTTCGATTCGAATGTGAACAAAAGATTGGAGGACGGACAAGGAAGTGTTCGACTATCGGATTCTATTCAATGAGCAAATTAGGGTTGCTTCATCGTTGAAAATTGTACAATTTTTTGGCGGAAAACCCAAGTTAAATCAAATATATTTTTTAATTGAACTAAACTGAACAAAATATAAGCCTGTGTGATATTACAAATAAAGTATCAATTTATCGAAGATACATTTAGATCTTTAAATTAAGATAAACTGTTCTGCATGCTCAAAGAAGCACGAACGTCCGTGATGATGCATCAATGTCAAAGGAAGTGGCAAGTTATACTGTAAACTTGCCAATCTCTTAGAGAATACCATACATATCAAGTATACACATAGATTTTTTTTTCGTACCTCGTGATTTAATCTTTAAGTAATTTCCATGGAAATCCATGGCTTGCTTCTTGCTACTTTCTTTACTTTAAAAAATCATAATGTAGCACCTGTATTATATAAGGAGTACTTAATTTATTTCGTCTTGGTCCAGAACGTGCCATTCATAAAATATTGAATAGATGTACATACAGTGAATAGGTGTACATAGGGAAATGTGCACATTTACCGGTTAATGAGAATATCGAATTTACCATAGAGTTAATTCTCAAACCCACTTTGGTCAGTATTCAAAGAATTTACCAATTGCTTGTTTAAGAACAGATCATCGCTATACGATCATACGCATTTACTATCGTTCCGAGTCTTTACTTTACTTAATTCGTAGTGTTAGTAATAATAAAAGTTGCAATAAATGAAATCTCTTCTATTGTAACCACACGCAGCTTTTTTCCCCTTAAATAAAAAATAAGTCCATTCAGATCCAGAGGCTATAACAGACGATTTATATGATTCCTCTGATATTAGATATCTCCTATGATTGTAGTGGCACTGAAGTGGCATCAGATTCGATGAGGGTACTACGAAAAGTTCCACTGGGGTCTATATTGGGTCCGTTTCTCTTTGTCCTATATATCAATGATCTACCCGAAATAATACATGATCTACTGGCTGTAGATGCCTTCACTGCAGTCGTAACAGCAAAAATTGAAGAACAGATGTTGGCACTAGTCTTAAACAACCTTACGGTTCTTCAGAACTGGTTTTCTAATAACAATCTACAACTAAATATTGAAAAAACAAACATTATGATGTTTGGGAATGTAAAAACTAACAACCAAAAGATCTACAATCCAATGGTAAACAATTTACCTGCAATGAGGTACTCATGTTTTTGGGAGTCAGGATTGACTCGAATCTATCATGGAAATACCACATCAACGATCTGGCCATCAAGATAAATCGTGTGTGTTTTGCGTTGAGAACAATTACTCGGTTAGTGTCGGTCAGCGCAGCTATTAGTGCGAGTTATGCGTGTGTAGAATCGCGACTCAGGTATAGGGTTATTTTCTGGGGACACTCAGTTGAAATAAGGCGCGTTTTCATTGCTCAAAAAGAATGTGTGAGAGCAGTTTTTGGTCTCCCAATGAGAGAATCACGTAAACCCGTTTTTAAATATCATAAAATTCTAACACTACCATCTATAATAATTTTTGAATCAGCAATGTTTGTAAAGATGGTTATGGAACAAGAGGTATGGAAAATTATCATTTACTGCCACCAAAAACTCAGTATGCCAATGTGCAAAAAAGTACTGTTCATTTTTGTGTTAAAGTATACAACCACATACCTAATAGTATAAAAATTAGATCGTCTATGTGTTTAAAAAATATCTAAAGCGCTATCTTTTGGAAAAAACCCTGTACACAGTTAACGAATTTTTTGCTGCAAATTTACCAATGATGTAATATTGTGAATTTTTTCTTTTTGACGTTTTCTATGCTTTCTTGTATTTATAGAAATAAAGTTTATTATTATTATTATTTTAAACGGCAACAATATTAATTTATTACCAAAGATCATTTCAACATCGCTGTATTCGCTGCCATTCATGAATCCAATTGTTCTGAACTACCATAAAAGATACATATACATAATTCTGGTAAATTCATTTCTCTGTTTATTGAAATATTATTAATTCAATAGCAGACAAGGGTCAACAGTTTTTAAATCCAAGTACTAGTCATCTTACAATCTATGGCAAGAGAAATAAATGTATAGAAACAAATGCGGAAACAATCTCCTGCTGTTTCAGGAGACTGTTGCTATCAAGGAATCGATAGATATGTTCGGTATATAGGGATGAACAACTCATAAATTACAGAATAAACATTAAACCCTCATAACTTCTTTTAGATTTGATAGCAGAGGAGATATCACTTTCATAACATATATGTCATATTTAGATCTACTGTTGTTGGAAAAGACTATTTATGTGTTAGACCATGAAAGCACTGTAACATAGGTACGCACCTGTCGAATAATGGCTGTACAAATCCAGGTTGCTACAAGAAAACTTCCCAAGGGTAACAGAGAGAATCCGTACCATTTCGCAATTAAATTGTTATATGGTATTCTTAGCTTTGACAGTAATCAGATCGTATACGTAACCAACTGTCATGAAAATAACTACATTTCAGCTATCAAGGATGAAAGTAACGGCGATAACACACCATCTGCGGATAGCCTCTAGAAACAGCAACATGAAGATGGTGTCGCCATTCATTAGATAACGATTCGCTGCTTTAAAGCAACAAAACTTTAAACACTGTTTTTATGCAACAAGAATTTATGCTCTTGTAAAGTCTAAAGTTTTAAATCTAAAGTGTTTAGAATCCGACAAAACTCGTCATCGTTTTTTAACAGAGTTACTAAATGAACCAAGTAAAAAATTCAATCCTCACTGTATTTAATACTTAACCTCAATAATCATGTATTTATTCGTATATATTTTGAAACTTAAAAAAAAAAATTAAGTTATATAGCCAATATTTATTTCAATTTCTTATAGTTCACTCTGTATCATATAGCCACTCCCAAAAAATCTGGGTAATCATTTTTACAAACCCTGTAAGTAAAAAATAACATTACGAAAAATCAAAAAAAGATGGTAATCAGTAATTATACGGCAGTCAGTTTCGCTGTTAATAACAACCTTATGCGTTAATGTAGGGAGTCCAGTGAGTATTTATAAATTAAGAGAACGTCGGACGCCGAGAAAATGCTTTATTTCATACCGGACCCAGTAGACGTAATGTTGTCGTCTTTTATTGCCAATTATATGCGCGAAGAAGGCTTCGGAGGGTCTTTCGTTTTACGCGCGTCCCCCGGTATAATTTTAATTGGCCGGTTGCACGACCCGGTAATTGAGTTCTAAGTTATTTTCTTCTTCTCCCTGACACGGCGTAAGCGAATTTCGAAGAGATAGCTATACGTTTTTACCCGTCAATTAACGTCTAAGTAACGATTACCGTTGTAAATTGGATTTCTTGTGACTATTACTCAACAGGTATAATCTATTAACTCTTAAAGTGATCACAATGAAAAAAGTTTACACTTTCGTTTCAACTTAACTATCAATTTTCGATTAATTTATTTTTTTCTTTGTTACAGGTGTCGGTGACGGGTCCCAGTGGTAGTAATTTAAGCGAAGGGGACCTTTGGAGCGGTGTCACTGAAGATGACATCGCGGCGCTGCCACCTCTTCCACTAGAAAGTGATGGAGGCGGTGGTGGTATTAGTCTTTTTGGTGGAAACTTTGTTCCGCCACCACCCAGACCTCTATTTCTTGATGATACTGCCACCCCCGATGGTTTAACCACTTGCGATCTTTGTTCTTGGGCTTGGCAAAATGGGAATTCACTTACGTTAGATGCTGCTATGGGTTAGTATTAATAATAAACTTTTTTTCGATGTTGATTTCAGCCAATTTAAGTAGAAAGTGTTATTGTACTAAATCATTTTATTTTTTTATGTAAGCAGCCGGTAGTTTGTTCACACGGATCGTCGTCCATTAGCCACGCCACGTGATGCGGCATTACGGACGTAATTATCACGTTTCCCCGGCGCCACCGACGCCCCTCCCGCACCCGAAAAATCCTTCGCGTTCGGTTCGCCGAGGGGAAAAAATTACCGGCGGCCTCAAAAGAAGATTTATGAGGCGCGCTCGCGATCGCCCGTACACGTAATTTGTTAGACGTCGCGTGACGTAACGACTATATTACAAGCCCTCAACAAGCATCCTTAAAAAAATATTACAACAAAAGTTTGTGTTACTTACGCGTGATTTACGTGACGTAGTGAAAAGAAAAAAAAAGCGGTTGTTTCGATTCCTGACGTGGTTCCGACCGAATAGGCAAAGTACAAAAAAAGTTGCGGATACAAGAAACGAGTGTACGCAGTTCAAAACGCAATTACAGTTTCAATTTGTAGTTCCAAGAATCGCGCGGGTCGCCTTTGAAGGAGCCCCTTTGGTGGGGCGACTATCGTCCTCTTCAATCTCGTCTCACGTGCGCCTCTGCCGCGCTCTTCGGCCCCGGTTTGTGTGTGGTATATGTAGCAATTAGTATTGCCCAGATCGGGCTGATAAAATTGTTCCCATTTTTAATTGACCGCAGAGCCGGCGATGACGACGATCTCTTCCTTCTCGGAACTACTTGTATTCCCACCTATCAATCAACATTTACTGTATGTTTACCAACCTCGATATTACGGACTAATACGGAGATGGAGTTCTCTATTAGTGAGTTCAATAGTTGTGATTCAAATTAGAACTAGTTTTAGTTCAATAAAAATATGCAACATAGTGATATCTACTGGCTCTACTACTAACTAGCGCTATCTAGAATTGTCACAAGAACTAACACTAGACCTAGAACGAGAAACATTCGGGTTTAGCCTTGCGTCTCTTAAGACGGCTAAACCCCGAATGTTTCTAGTTCTAGCTTGAGTGTTAATTCTATTTGTAGTTCAATAAACACATACAACAATCTACAACATCATACAACAATTTTAGTCTTTCAGTTGATTGTAGCAATAACGTATTCTTCCCATATTTTATGGGCTAGGTTTGCAGTTTTTGCTGATTCCTTCTTGGCGAGAGAGCTTCACCTTAGCAAGTGCTGGTGGTGAATTAGGAGGTATGATTAATTGTTTGGGATTTATGATTGCCAGTTTATTCGGAGATTAAGGTGTTGAAGCAACTGGTTTTGGGGATGAAGAATTCTTATTAGTAGGTGAAGGAGTACTCATTTTCAGAAAGGACATGGTTTATGCCTTTAAAGTTCCTTGAAACATCGTACAATTGCATAGCAGTTTTTCCAACCATGCCCGTAGAGATAGTCTCGTATGCATAATGAGATGATCCTGTATACATTGCGACTACATTCACGTATTTGTAATCTTAAATGAGTTGGGCGCAATAAACAGGATCGGTCATTTCTCAAATCCTTGATCAAGCAAAGAATACAAAGAACTGAATAGCAACTAAAACTAGAACTAACTAACACTCGACCTAGAACTACTTCGATGACTTGGAGGACTTGCCAATGACATTGCCACAGTTTGTAATCGTGCGTTTTTTGTTGTAACATCTTGCAACTTTAATTTTTTGCTTGCTGTAGTCAGCTCCTATTAATTATATTGTATTTTTATAAAGCTTTCCTTTGTTAGCTTAGATTTCCGGATGAATTTTGTATACTTGTTTACTGTACTTTTACTTTATGCTACATCTAGTAAGATTGCAATCAAGAAGGGTTTTTACAATACCGAGATTTCGGGATCAGAATTCTCTATCCCGGGATTACCCAGGATTTCTGGGCTACATATGTAATCATAAATAAAAAGTGTTCAAGGTGTTTCTAACATTTCAGCTTATTCTAACCATAATACAAGAAATTTCAACCAAATAAATCAATCATCGATAGCACTATTTTTAAAGAAACGTCGCAGAACAATCAATTTATCTATTGTTTTATTTCCTAAACGAGATCTAAATTTTGTGTTGAAGAGAAGCACCGTTCCGATTCCACACTTGTTGGTGGAATAGTTTTCAAACATTCAAAAGCGAATTGAAGATTTTTATCCATACTACCGCCATTATTGAATATATCAATTTCCTGGATCAATGTATTGAAGAGTGCATTCTTAGTTAACTGGACAGGTGGCTTTGTTGTCTTTGTTTAGACATTTTCAAACATATTTTGTTCTTGTATCTCATTTATCATAAATTGTAAAGCTATATGCTTTTCCTAGTGCAATACACCGCAAACATATCGCTTTAATAAGTTCGTATTGTGAATCTACAAGAAAAGGCTCTTTTATGTCAAATATTGCTTTACATGTGCATTTTTCTAATAATATGAATCACTCCAACATAACAAACAGTGTACTCCACCTAGTGTGACAATTTAAAATTAATTTAATTTTATTTTCGTGGTGTTTTTTTATATAATTTTGTAACATCGAATGTGTGCTTGCAGTGTCAACCGATAGATCGAGTCTTATTCTTCAAAAAATAGTAAATTCATGACATAAACATAACCCCGAAAATCCCGAAATTATAATTGATCTACCATGTGACGACTGTAAGAGAAGCCTTTCTTAATAACACAATAAAGAAATGTATCTATCTATCTATCTACTCTTTGAGGAGAGGGTGGAAGGAAAGGTGCATCTTGAAATCTTGGGAGAGTGCTGAAGAGAGATTGAGGCAGGAAAAGGTCGTGATGGGCAGCTAGAAAGGGAGGAATGCTACAGAAGTAGGGAAGAAGTGAAGAACAGAAACAACTGAAGGGCAAGGACAGGGATGTGGAAATACAAAAGAAAGGGACGGAGATAAGAGAAAGTAGGTACAACCCAAAATATGCCGAAATTGTAGAGGAGCGGCTACCGAAGTACCTGATGACGGAGAGGAATGAGGAGGGAAACAGGTTGGTAGCCAGGTTTAGATGTGGCAATGAAGAAAGGCCCAATAGATATTTTGGATGGAGGATGAGAAGAAGGAGTGAAGACTATGTGAGGAACGCTGAGTCTTTATACCATCTGCTGGTGGAGTGCAGTGTGTTGAGTAAAGAGGAGATGGATTGGTGGCATATGCTGGGGGAGAGGGCGGGGGGAAGGAGATGGATGGGGGAGTATTGGCAGCGAGAAGACATAAGGTGACAGGGAGAAGCGGGTTAAAGGGATAAGAATTATATAAGACAAAATATACAAATCTTTTTACACAACTGAGATAAAAATTTAGATGAATTTCTTGGAAAGCCTTATGGAATAGAGAACGAAGTGAAGACATAAGAAAGGAATAAAACAAAAAACAAGAATGGCAATTAACAGACTTGTTCGAGTAGCAACAAACAAATCACCTGACAGCTGATGAAGTATTGGACATACAAGAAAAAGATGGAATTAGATCATATAGATGAGAGGAAAACCGATGAAACAAAGAAGGAAGAAGAAAAAGGAGATGAAGACGATTTCCGGTTTCTTCTAAAATACATCTCGAAGGATGCATTCTTGAACTTTCCACAGTTTCCAGTAGTCCTTTCCCGTTAGACTCAATTTATCAGTGTTCAACTTCCTAATTACAGAATTCTTGTATTTGCTTGCAATATTTACACTACCGTTCATTTGAGAAATTTCATTACATGAGGTCGTCAAGAAACCTAGAACTGTGTCAATTCTATCTAGTTTCTAAAATGATATTCTTAGAAGTCGAAATAAGAATAGAGAGAGTATTCGATTATTGTAATTTTGTTTAGACGTGCTCTAGCAAAGAGCTAGAGCATCGGAATGCGTGTAATACACATTGTGCAGCAAACCGCGTTGTTGCGCTCTCAAACCGGCCGCCGAATGGCGAATGTAAATGAGGCGAACAATGCGGTATTAAATACGGGCGGGTTCAAGCTCTTGAGTTGTTGGGACCGTTTCTGGTAAACAATGGAACCACCCGCGGACCCCCTAGTCGCTCATTATTACCACTTAATATGTAAAATAAAGACTTTGTGTATGTGGGTGGAGTACATTGCCGGCCATCTTTAAATATTACATCCATATTTATCTCCATATTTGGAGGTGCTTTTTAATAAATCAATTAAATAAGATTTGTCGGAATTATTATTTAAGAAACAGATGTTTTCTGAATAAGAAAAAATGGGTTCATCTTTCTCGATGATGATGATATGGTGGTGGGTTTGAGAACCATCGCGATTAGTTCTCGAAGAGTTGCGGGCCGTCGAGATTGCCGAAGAAGTAAGTAATCGGAACGTATCGGTTAAAACGTGCACAGGTACCAATTTCTTACAACCCGCGAAGGCTAATGGAGAATACTACACCGGCATCAAAGCGGGACTCGGGACGAGCGTTTTTCGTCGAAACGAGACTTGCAATTACTCTACGCCGTCGCCGCAGCTATTAACCTCTCTTGCGAGACGGCCGCTCGCGCGCTTATTACTAAGGAGATAATCACCTCGGTCGGGTAATTAGTCCTGGCAGGAGACATTAAGCCGATACAATCGGAATATCTTCATCGAAACGACGACGACGACGTCGCCGACGTCTTTCTTTACCATCGCCTCAACTGCTTTAAGACCACCACAAGCGCCGAATGCAATACGCGCTTTTACGCTATCTTCTAATGGATCTGTTCAACGCCCGACGGCAAATAGCTTTTCGTCCAGAAAACCATATAAGTTTGATGATTGGAATTAAATTTTTAATAACCACAAATGTGGTATAACTTTTCCAACCACTTCCTGGGCGTTGTTGGTTAATTGGATTCTGCCAATCAATATTTTAAAACCATAAAAATCATTTACACTATTTACCTATAATCAACATTATTTCAAAATTTTACATTTAGCACTGAATAACAACTAAAATTAGAGCTAACACTAACACTAGAACTAACACTAGACCTAGAAGTAGAAACATTCGGGCTTAGCCGTACGTCTCTTAAGACGGCTAAACCCAAATGATTCTAGTTCTAAGTCTAGTGTTAGTTCTACATTAAGTTCAATAAAAATATACAACAATCTAGCACTGAATAACAACTAAAATTAGAACTAGCACTAGTATTAGAACTAACACTACACCTAGAACTGAAAACATTCGGGTTTAGCCGTCTTAAAAGACGTACGGCTAAATCCGAATGTTTCTAGTTCAATATCTGGGCGTTATTGGTTAATTGAATTCTGCCAATCAATATGTTAAAAGCATAAAAATCATTTACACTACATACCTATAATCAAGACTATTACAAAATCACACATTACGCCAACGCTTTATCTTAACTCTAACGCCTTCTCATCTTTACGAAGATTTACGAAATACCGTTTTGAAAATGAGAATCTCGTCTTCCATCATTCCACGTTTCTTCGCGGCGATATTTCAACATAACCAACGTGCACGACGTCTAGTGTTAATTGAATGTTAAAATTCTATTAAAACCGAATTGACAGGTGGACATAATTACGAAACGGCAAGGTAATTGATAACAATCGCGCGGTTGCGACGCGATGAAGAAGACGGTGTCTTAAGAGAAGAAGGCCGGAGGGACGCATGTCAAAAGTAACCGTCACCGATGGAGAAAGAGAGAAAAGAAGGAGGCGTTTCCGAGAGATGTCGAGGATGCACGCGCCTTTGGACAGTTATCTTTCTCAACAATAAGCAATTACTGTTAAGGGGAAAAAAAGGGCGAATAGTGGGAAGCCGTCAAAAGAGACGACCCAATGTCGTTGCATTGAGAAGACATCCTTTACAATGTCCCATTCACCGTCTCGCCTTTTAATATTTTCTACCCACGGTTTGCGGGGCCTCTAATAATAAATATGATGAGGATATCTTTCCCTGCGGGGCCGGAGATAACCCATTTCGGATAACAATTATTTCGATACGACCGTTCGCCGCGGAGAATACCGTTAAATTTTACGATCTCTCCGCGCCACGCCACTTGAACGTTTCTTTCAATTGATGTTAAACACGTAAATCGAACCACAAGTGCTTTTAGTAAGAATTCAATAGCTGATTTAAACGGTTCGATTAGAGAACTTAACTTTCACCATTTTTATCTATTTTCTTCTTCATAAACTTTATCTAAACCACTCCTCCTTAATAAGAGCTTTTAGCGAGTCATTACCGATCGAAAATCGAGTTAAGATAATTTTAGGTATTTACTCTAACAAGTATCACTTTGTTTCAGAAGCACCGGGAGAAATAGGATGGGTTCTTACACTTATTATAGTTTCTGTTATATCAGCGGTAGTAGGAGCAGTAGTAATGATAATAGTTTTACATTGTAAAAGGTATGTGATTCATGTAAATTAAAATAAACGGTAATAATGACTTTGTTTTGTTACAGGGTACAAAATACTAGGGAAAATGGTAAGTACCGTAATGTTTATTAAAATACTTAATAAATAAAAACTCACCAGATTTTTTGTTGAACAAATCGGTTGACACTGAAATTAAGCGAAAAACACATCAAATTAACTAAATTTAACTTGTAGTTTTAAACATTTAACCCTTTAATGACCATCATGGGAAAATCTGGTAAAAACATATTTCTTTAAATGTTTTATTTTGAATAGTATGTAAAGATTACACAACAGTATGTTACTGAGTTGATTATACTTTATCAAACTATTTTTGAAAAGATAGTATCAGAAAGTACCCTCGAGAAACATCAACAGTGTAGGCAGATGTATACTAGAAATTAACTTCCTTTTGGAGAAATTTTTATTTGTTTAATTAAATTTATTATTGCAGCACACGGACACGTTGCATGCATTGCATCTTGAAAAAGGTTTAAATTGAACTCCTTTTGTAGAGCACATTTCGCAGCAAGCTCTGTTTTCAGAGAAAACCACGAAGTGTTGCCATCTCCATTGCTTTTTTGACCCCCTAGTGTTAATGGAGCTTCTATTTCTTTGGACTACTGTATTCGCTAATCCTCGGGTAAGGCTGTTGCGATATTCGATAAGTGATAAGTTTTATAGACGATCTACCTTTGAACAACACCATAGATTCGTCTATTGATGTGTTCCATGGTAGAGAGTATAAAATAGTCGATTCAATTCCATAATAAGAGGTCTCAACTTGTATAGTTTATTGGTGTTATTGTTGGAAATCAGATTATTGTCATTAACATGAAGATTCATCAGTAATCCTTCCAACAAGGTAATGTATGATAGCCCATGAAAAAGTTTATTCCAAGAAATGAACGTTATTCCAAGAAGAATTCTGAACTGCATATAAATTTGATTGATATGTCGTATCAAAGATGATCCCAAAACTTTTAGAAAAATATCTGTTGCTGTATGACAATCCCAAAAAGGATTTTCAACCACACCAATTGGTATCCTCTAATCTGGTATATTGGTTGTATGATCACAGTCTTTCCGTCTTTGCATCTATTTGAGTACCAACCTCAATGTCTGGGAAAACAGTAGATTCGTTTTGCATTGTACTGATATCGTCTGCTAGACATCTGTAAAAATCGAAAAAAAATAGATATAAATTTGGGAATTGTATTCACTAAAAGTATAAGTAAATCATACTTCAATCATTGGGTAATTGCTACACGTAGTTTCGGAATCATCTTCAAATTCAACTTCTAATTAGTTCGTAACATCAGAAAGTTCAAAATTAATTTCATGAAAATCTTCGGAATTGATTATTTGAGCCAATTCCTCATCTGTAAAAACACGATTTGAGTCCATCCACCAGTTCTGCTTTCGACAGTCCATGGTTCCTGACAGTACTTTGCTAAAAATATATATCATTTTTATAAATTTTACCGTAATTATTATTGGAAATAATAGTTAAACATACTGCACTCACCTGATCTTCAAAAAAGTATCTTAGATAACACACAAATACAAACACTACAAACATTTTAGTTAATGTTGTGTTATTTCGAACCACCAGCCTATCGGAACCGATTTTCCTAATTTAAAAATGTTTCTTACGAGGCACATTCAAGCAGTTAGACGTTCTTAATGAGTTTCAAAAGTGGCAGAACTTTAAAGTACCGATGTCATTAAAGGGTTAAATTAAAAAGTTGATATTAATACCAACATAAATTTTCCCCAAAATTAATTTCCCTAATCATAAATGTGGTTATAATTTTAAACGAAATTTACATCCAACTCTAATTATTACATCGTATAAACTAAGAAATTTTTTAAATGTTATATACTCACCAAATTTTTCTTTACGTTTTCGAATAAACACTAAAATTTAAATATTGGCACAAATTTTGACGTTATAATGACGCGATTATACTAACGTGAAGTTCGCGATTACCAATTACCAACATATTTTTAATAACTCAATATAAATTTCTAATTATTTGATATCAAAGAATTTAAATAATTTTTATTAAATCCTAACGTTAGTTTCCATTATTACATCATGAAAACGGTTCTTTCAATTAACCTGAACGTCCATTACCGGTGATTGTTTTGAATAATAATTAACCTTAGTGGCAATAAACGTCGAACGTTAATGGTACCTGCATTAAGGCCGGTAAATTAATAAACGTTTATAACGCAAGACAACGCGCGGAGCGATTCCTGTTGGCGATTCGAACCTTTTACATCCTCGTTCCTTTTAAACTTCCTCTTTCCATCTCTTCTTCTTTCGTAGACAGGGCACAAAGTGTACACAACACAACGTAATTACCGGTACGAAGCGAGCTTTGAGCGGGAATTTCAAATGATCGAATCGTCATCATTAATAAGATCCCTAATTACACTTACATTTTCTCTTTCTATCTAGAGGCAATGATTAATTATGGAGCGGTTTGTTTTTCATACTAACGATTAATTGTTTTCTTTGATAATTGAATTGTCAATCATTTGGATTAATTCTCCAGAGGCAGCGGTCCCATAATAACAATTTAAAGTCTTGGTATGGGAACCAAGTTGTTGGTTGTGGTTTAAAGTAACGAGAAAAAAACCTGTCTGTAATTGGGGAGACATAATTGCAGACGTGATTTGGTTTTACTTCCCACTCCAGTTCAGTCTAAGTTGTTAATCATTATTTTTCGCTTCTCTAAGTTACCTTATTTGGTGTCTTCTATTAATAATGTCAGTTAGTGGATCATGAATAATAACACGAATAGAACTCGGAGAAACTTTGCAACTTCGGATAATGGAATCCGTTTGACAGCAGAAACTATTGTTCCAATGAAAATTGGTTGGTTTATCTTGATAACATATTACAACACTTTCTGACTACGTATATCCATACAAGAGTTATTTGTCCATGACATATTAACATTAGAGTATGGTTTTAGATCGTTAAATTCTATTTTTGCTACACATAATTTTCTGTCCAAAGAAGTTAGCTAATAGGTTCACACTACTTATATAACTGGAATATTCGAGAATAATCTAGGAGTAGTCTTGAATTGTTTTCTTTTCTACCATGATGTGGCAAAAAACATTGATATCATTAATTGTTAGGACGTATTCATGACTTGTTGCGTAAACAACTTTCTTTAAGTACACTTCAGTTGGCAATTTGCAGTTAAGTGGTTAATTTCTTCTTATTGTGCTTAATGAGTAAATATCCTGTTGGGCAAACTACATCAGACCAGATAGATTTATGTAAAATTGTCGACGTAAAGGTGAACAACATTTAATTATCAAACGTTGTTAGATACTTCAAGATTTGGTTCCTAGTATTCGAAATCGCGGCAAAGAGTTTAAAGATACTTTTTTGTATAATTTCGTACATTTATAGAAGTTCTTGCTCACCTTCACCTTTGCTCTCAGATGCTTAAATATCGAGAATAATACGAAAATATCAAAATTTAATGAATTTTGTTGTTTTACAAGTTTTAATAGTAACACTCAGGAATCGGAGCATTTAACAAAAGGGAGTTTTAGAACGAAAGTTGTAGTAAATTTAATTTAAAACAATATTGTTCTCTCTCACTTTTGTTCTTAGATGCATAAATCTAGAGAAAAATACGAAAATGTAATAATTGTACGAATTGTTTTTTTTGCAAGTTGTTAATGGTAACATTCGGGAATCGGAGCATTTTACAAAAAAACTTTTAGAACAAAAGTTATGGCAAATCTTCTTCTTAACAATAATGCTCTCTTTCACTTTTGCTCTTAGATGCGTCAATATCAAGAAAAATTCGAATGCAAGAATTTTGTTGTTTTACAAGTTGCAATGGTAACACTAGGGAATCGGAGCATTTTACAAAAAAACTTTTAGAACAAAAGTTGTAGCAAATTTTATTTATAACAATATTGCTCTCTCTCACTTTTGTTCGTAGGTGCGTAAATATCGAGAAAGAGACGAAAATGTAAAAATTTTATCAATTGGTTTTTTTTTGCAAGTTGTTAATGGTAACATTCGGAAATCGGAGCATTTTACAAAAATACTTTTAGAACGAAAGTTGTAGTAAATTTAATTTAAAACAATATTGCTCTCTCTCACTTTTGTTCTTAGCTGCATAAATATCGAGAAAAATACGAAAATATGAAAATTTGATGAATTTTGTTGTTTTGCAAGCTGTAATGGTAATATTTGGGAATCGGAGCATTTTACAAAAAAACCGTTTAGAACAAAAGTTATAGCAAGTCTTATTCTTAACAGTAGTGCTCTCTTTCACTTTTGCTCTTAGATGCGTCAATATCAAGAATAATTCGAATATAAGAATTTTGTCGTTTTACAAGTTGTAATGGTAAACCTCGGGAATCAGAGCATTTTACAAAAAAACTTTTAGAACAAATGTTGTAGCAAATTTTATTTATAACAATATTGCTCTCTCTCACTTTTGTTGTTAGATGCGTAAATATCGAGAAAAATACGAAAATATATAAACTTGTTCAATTGGTTGTTTTTTACAAGTTGTTAATAGTAACATTCGGGAATTGGAGCATTTTACAAAAAACTTTCAGAACAAATGTTATAGCAAATCTTATTCTTAACAATAGTGCTCTCTTTCACTTTTGCTCTTAGATGCGTCAATATCACGAAAAATTCGAGTGTACGAATTTTGTTGTTTTACAAGTTATAATGGTAACACTCGGGAGTCGGAGCATTTTACAAAAAAATTTTCAGAACGAAAGTTGTAGCAAATTTTATTTATAACAATATTGCTCTCTTTCACTTTTGTTCGTAGGTGCGTAAATATCGAGAAAGAGACGAAAATGTAAAAATTTTATCAATTGGTTTTTTTTTGCAAGTTGTTAATGGTAACATTCGGAAATCGGAGCATTTTACAAAAATACTTTTAGAACGAAAGTTGTAGTAAATTTAATTTAAAACAATATTGCTCTCTCTCACTTTTGTTCTTAGCTGCATAAATATCGAGAAAAATACGAAAATATGAAATTTTGATGAATTTTGTTGTTTTGCAAGCTGTAATGGTAATATTTGGGAATCGGAGCATTTTACAAAAAACCGTTTAGAACAAAAGTTATAGCAAGTCTTATTCTTAACAGTAGTGCTCTCTTTCACTTTTGCTCTTAGATGCGTCAATATCAAGAAAAATTCGAATATAAGAATTTTGTCGTTTTACAAGTTGTAATGGTAACACTAGGGAATCGGAGCATTTTACAAAAAAACTTTTAGAACAAAAGTTGTAGCAAATTTTATTTATAACAATATTGCTCTCTTTCACTTTTGTTCGTAGGTGCGTAAATATCGAGAAAGAGACGAAAATGTAAAAATTTTATCAATTGGTTTTTTTTTGCAAGTTGTAATGGTAACACTCGGGAATCGGAGCATTTTACAAAAATACATTTAGAACGAAAGTTGTAGCAAATTTTATTTATAACAATATTGCTCTGTCTCACTTTTGTTCTTAGATGCATAAATATCGAGAAAAATACGAAAATATAAAAATTTGATGAATTTCGTTGTTTTACAAGCTGTAATGGTAACATTTGGGAATCGGAGCATTTTACAAAAAAACTTTCAGAACAAATGTTATAGCAAATCTTATTCTTAACAATAGTGCTCTCTTTCACTTTTGCTCTTAGATGCGTCAAAATCAAGAAAAATTCGAATGTAAGAATTTTGTTGTTTTACAAGTTGTAATGGTAACACTCGGGAATCGGAGCATTTTACAAAAATACATTTAGAACGAAAGTTGTAGCAAATTTTATTTATAACAATATTGCTCTCTCTCACTTTTGTTCTTAGATGCATAAATATCGAGAAAAATACGAAAATATGAAAATTTGATGAATTTCATTGTTTTACAAGCTGTAATGGTAACATTTGGGAATCGGAGCATTTTACAAAAAAACTTTCAGAACAAATGTTATAGCAAATCATATTCTTAACAATAGTGCTCTCTTTCACTTGTGCTCTTAGATGCGTCAAAATCAAGAAAAATTCGAATGTAAGAATTTTGTTGTTTTACAAGTTGTAATGGTAACACTCGGGAATCGGAGCATTTTACAAAAAAACTTTTAGAACAAAAGTTGTAGCAAACTTTATTTATAACAATATTGCTCTCTCACTTTTGTTGTTAGATGCGTAAATATCGAGAAAAATACGAAAACATATAAACTTGATCAATTGGTTGTTTTTTACAAGTTGTTAATAGTAACAATCGGGAATTGGAGCATTTTACAAAAAAACTTTTAGAACAAAAGTTATAGCAAGTCTTATTCTTAACAATAGTGCTCTCTTTCACTTTTGCTCTTAGATGCGTCAATATCAAGAAAAATTCGAATATAAGAATTTTGTCGTTTTACAAGTTGTAATGGTAAACCTCGGGAATCAGAGCATTTTACAAAAAAACTTTTAGAACAAATGTTGTAGCAAATTTTATTTATAACAATATTGCTCCTCTCAAAATATGAAAATTTGATTAAGTCGTATAACCTTTGAACATTTTATTCTAAATAAAGAACAAAGATAATAATAAAAAATAATTTTAATTTATTATTTTATTTTAAGGTAATAGAAGTCGTCCACCTCATAGAACATCAAGAAATGGAACACGTCCTCCAATTAGTACACCCGACGACAAAGAAATCAGTACAATCACTCAATCTTCTTATCCAAATCCACCGAATAATCCAATAAGTAACAACGGCGTATGGTCTTGGTTATCATGTAGAACAACTCCGGTTCCATCTCAATTGGATTCACCAACATCCCCTGCTGAGAACCATTACACACACATGGATGAAGCTCTTTACGCGGAATTAGACCAAGAAAGTAACGTAAACAGTAATAGTCCTGCATATCAAAATTCGGCTTACACGGATCCAGATGCGCCTAGTGCTCCAAGTAGCGCGTATTATTCCGATTTATCAGTGACAACAGTTCCAGATCGAGCATACGAAGTCGTTGGGTTATCTACATTGCCAATATGGGAAGGTGGTAGTAATAATGGAGATAGGAGACAACCGCCACGATTGGCTTCTATAAGTGAAACAGTTAGTGTTCCTTCCGATTATGTGTAAATAAATCGAATTAAAAAAATAATGATTTTTTAAAAGTCAATTGTATTGTTTGATTACAAATTAATTAACTAAGAATGATGAAAGACAATTTAAAGAATTTTTTGTATATAGTTAAAGATAATTTTTGTGAAAAATGTATTATATTAAATATAAGAAAAGCCTTAGGATTCATTAAAGATGAAAATAATCCTTTTAAATTCTAATATTTATATTAAAAAAATTAAGCAAAAAAAATGTTAAAAATGTCAATTTGTATTTTTATGCCTGGAATTTGTGCGTTTATTAGGCGAAAAAGACACAAATAAAAAAACGTATTGTGATACTTAGATGTGAAAGGAAGTTCGAAATTTTATTATATATTTTTAAAAAAAATTTGTAAAATCGATTCTTGTAAAAAAAAATATATATATTAATAATAACAACATTCCGGATACAATTTCGTTTCAATTTTTGTTACTAAAATACCAATTAAGTTTTAATAACCAGTTATTACAAGTTCCACATAACATATCTATCATTAAATATTCAAGTAAAACGTACTTAATTATATTAAAATTACACCTTGGATAGTTATATAAATGAAAAGCTATTTTCATTTTATTCCCGTTTCAAAAATGTTCGAAACCGAAGACTTCTTTTGCTTCAATAAGTTTTTAATGATTATTGCTGGATTTCTTCCACCAAAATCAAACCGAAAAAAAATCATCTACAAATTTTATCAATTAATAATAATAACCGTGCACGTTTTATTCCTTCCAACAGAAATTTTAGCGATGATTTACGACCGAAAAAACATCCAACTTTTATCAGAATCGTTAAACGTCGTTTCTACTCAAATTGCCGGATATGGAAAAGCACTGCTTTTAATTTTAAAAGGACGCGAAATCATTGATATATTAAATTTACTAGAAGATGAAAAATTTAAATACCAAAATATACCCACAAAAAAATTCAAAAACGATTTTTTCAAAACGAGCAAAAAAAGGGGATTAATAATATCATTCGGATTTTACATCCTGGTTATACTTTGTACTATAATATTGTATGGTAATTTTTTCGTTACATTATTAATGATCGTTATAAAAGGAGAGGATATAAAAAAATCGATTATAATTAACAAACAACCTACGAGAAGTATTTTACCGTTTAATTATGACACGAATCAATCGTATTTTTTGATGCTAATTATTTCGTTGGTCGCTGAAAGCGTTTATGTTAATGATATCTCCGCGGGAGACGGATTATTTATTAATATATTTAACTATTTGCATTGTCATTTAAAAGTTATCGAATGGAGATTTAAAACGATTAAAGAAAGATCAATTGAATTAATGGAATTTGAGAAGGAGAATGGTTTAAAATTAGAAAAGATAATCGATAAGGAATTGAAAGAATCACTTTTACATCTTCAAATTGTAATCAAGTAATTAATTTTTTAATTTTAATAAGAATTTTTTACATTTTAAGAAAATTTTTTTAGTGTCGCTAAGAAATTAAATTTTTTCATGAAATATCCGATTTTATTACAATTTTTAATTTCTGGGGTTTCTCTTTGTAATAGTTTATTTTTAACTTCAATCGTAAGTTTAATTAAATCACTTTATATAAATATGTATGTAAGTTTTAATTGAAATCGATTTTTTTTAGACTCCTTTAAACAACAAAGATTTCTTCTTCTATTTTATTTATATGATTGCAGTTTATGTCCAATTATTTGGATATTGTTGGTTTGGAAATGAAGTAACAATTCAGGTTTGTAAATAATTCTATATTAAATAAGATATTTAATAATTTTTATTAAATTAACCTTTTTTGTAATTTAACAGCTGTCATAATGATGTAAATAATGTGAAGTTAGTGAATTAAGAATGACGTTTACCGGGAAATTTGATTAAATTTAAATGAATCTTGCAACAATAGGACGTTGGGGCCTAGTATAATAGTCATCAACAAATGTTACATATCAAATTACAAGTAAGCGTTGTCTACTCAATCCTTTTCTCCAAACCTCTTTATCTTGCGTATCCTCTACCTTGAGTTGTTTCTCTCGCATTGCCTTTGCGATGCCTTTATTCCAGAATCTTCTCGGTCTTCAATCTATCGTAAACCTCTTACTATCTCCACTGCCTGAAGTCGTCTTTCTAGATCTGCGTTTACTACCCATATCTCACTACCGTAGCATAGGACTGACTCTATTAGTGTTCTTCCTAATCTCGCGAAAGATGCATACAAGCTGTGATGTTAATGATATCAAAAATGATCTATTGGAGCGCAATTATAACATTTATAAAGTAACCCAAATGTTAAAAAATACATCTTGAATTTTGCACCGTCAGAGGATGTAAAAAGAATCCATGAAATAACAAACATATTAGGAATGCGTGTCAATATCGAAGAGTACAGAACGCCAAAACAAATGCCCCAGTGCAAAAGGTGTCAAGGTTGGAACCATACCAAAGCTTACTGCCACAAAAATCAGAGATGTATTAAATATGCTGGTGAACACTGGACCAGCGAATGCACTAAAGCCAAAGAAATCCCGACTAAATGTTTCAACTGTGGAGAAAATCCTCCAGCGAACTACCGAGGATGCATTGTGATTAAGGAACTACAAGCCATCAGGAATAAGAAAACAGTAAATTCAAATATAATAGAGCCAGGCGTCTCTATACAGGTCATCCACGACGACCGTCCATTAGAACTTTACAGGGTTCTGGCCAATAAAAAAATTTGAAAATACAGATTTAAGTATTATTAATTGCGTTCTCTTCGACTAAAATATTTTCAGATTTCTAGCACGTCCGGTTATACCGGAAGTCGCCACCTACTTTATTTTTTTAAATGGAATACCCTATATATTTTTACATATTTGGATTTGTCTATTTTCAAGGTTTATGAATAACTTTACTTTTTGCAATTTGATTCGGCCGTTCTCGAGTTATTCGATTTTTTCTAGAAAAATCTGCTCCAGCAGACATTTCAAAAAATCAGAGAACACTCGATTTTTGGGATATCAATTTAGGATTCAGAACATGCGTAAGCAACATGATGGAGTGTGTTTTGCTGCCGAGTACGGCTGTCTAGATCGTTTGGTCACTTTACTACGGTACGTTAACTTTTCGAAATTTGGAAATACCATAACTTCATTTTTTTAAATGGCACCCCCCATATTTTATTACTTAGTCGTCTTCGGTGTCTCATTTTACATCTTTTATATCCCATATGTCCTATACCTAACATTTATAGTTTGGGAGATAATTAGGGTTTTTTGAAAAATGCACACTTATCATATCGATATTTAACCTAGTGTGCCATGAATATCTAGTGTGATCTAGTGTATAACCATATGAAATGGCCTTTTGAAAATTTGCAGACTTCTGTGTTTGATGCCAGCTTTTTACTAAAATATTTTCAGGTTCCGGGTGCTTGCGGTTACACCGGAAGAGGTGACAATTTTCATATTTCAAATGGAACATCCTGTATTTCATTACATTTTTGAAATTTTTGTTCAATTTTAGGCCCCTGTATGTTACAGCCGACACGTACACGCATTTATTTGGTTGCACTCTCCATAAATTATTATCAAATTCAAATTAAATCCTCAATTTAATAATATTCAAATAATCCTCATTACTAAATTCCAAACGTGGCATTTCTTGAGAACAGATCACTACAAAAAGTAACCTAGTCATCACACCAACAGAAATAAACCATAGCTTTAGCAAATGTCAAACTGTTTATATGAAAATTGTCACCTCTTCCGGTGTAACCACAAGTACCCGGAACCTGAAAATACTTTAATATCGATATTTGTGTGCATTTTTCAATAAACCCTAATTATTTCTCAAACTATAAATGTTAGGTATAGGACATGTCGGATATAAAAGATGTAAAATGAGACACCGAAGACAACTAAGTAATAAAATATGGGGGGTGCCATTTAAAGAAATGAAGTTAAGGTACTTCCAAGTTTCGAACAGGTAACGTGCCATGGTAAAGTGACCAAACGTTCTAGACAGCCATACTCGGCACCAAAACATGCTCCATTATGTTGCTTAAGTATGTTCTGAATCCTAAATTGATACCCCAAAAATCGTGTGTTCTCTGATTTTTTGAACAAATGTCTGCTGGAGCAGATTTTTCTAGAAAAATTCGAATAACTCGAGAACGGTCGAATCAAATTGCAAAAAGTAAAGTCATTCATAAACCTTGAAAACAGAGAAATCCAAATATGTAAAAATATACAGGGTGTTCCATTTAAAAAAATAAAGTAGGTGGCGACTTCCGGTATGACCGGAAGTGTTAGATATTTGAAAATATTTTAGTCGAAGAGAACGCAATTGATAATACTTAAATCTGAATTTTCAAATTTGTATTTTGGGCAGAACCCTGTAAAGTTCTAATGGACGGTCGTCGTGGATGACCTGTATAAGAAGGCTGACAGTAAATTAGATCTAATACTAGAAAAAATACTTCAACAAGAAGAAACAATAAAAACATCATATGCACGTCTAGATTTCATTGAAAGCAATTTAAACCAAGGAGCGGTTCAAAAAAGAACTCAAAATGTCTAAAAAGCAGCAACTAAAAATACTGCTGTGGCATTCCAATGGTCTTCGACAGCATCAAAACACACTACCAATAATACTTAAACAAAACAATATTGATATATGTCTTATCTTCGAAACTCACTTTACACGATAATCGTATATAAACATCAACCATTACAATATTTATCACACAATTCACCCAAGTAATGTGGCTCGAGATGCAAGTGCAATTATTATTACCGACACATAATCTTAAAAGAGAAGATTATCAGGAAATTCTACTACATCTTGACAACAAATTTATACTTGGAGGAGACTTTAATGCAAAACATATGTCGTATTACTGGCCAACAGATAGAAGTGAAATTCCGAACCTGCTTGATTTTTTTATTACGAAAAATATATCGCTTAAATAGCTTAGATAATAAAATTCATCTTAATGCTCTTATGAAAACAAACGAAGACATTGACAATGAAGTAGAAAAGTTCTTAAAAGACATACAAAGCGCAGCCTCGGCCTCAACACCAATTTTGATACCAAAACCTCAATCTAATATTTATCTTAAATTCATTAGAGACAAAATTGCAGAAAAACGGAAAGCAAGAAAGAAATGGCAAACCAATAGAATTCCTAGTGATAAAACTAAATTAAATAAAATAAAAGCCGAATTAAGAGCATTAACAAATAGCCACAAAGAAAATAATATTCAAAATCACTTAAAAGACCTTACTGACGATGCTAGTACTGATTATTCTCTGTGGAAGGCAACAAGAAAGCTTAAAGTTCCAAAAACACATACACCTCCAATTCGAAATAATAATGGAAATTGGGCAATGAAGAAAAAGTTAATTTGTTTGCTGAACATCTAAAAAAACTGTTACATCAGACAGTCCAACAACTATGCTAAATAGTGTCCCTAGCGCAATTGAAAGTGATCAGCAGAGTAATACAAATACTAAATATAAAGAAATCAGTAAGCTATGACCTTGGAGAAACATTGAAACATCTACCAAAACGGGCGATTACAAAACTATTACACATAATTAATGCTGCTTTTAAAAAGAAATATTTCCCAAGCATATGGAAAGTTGCTGAAATAATAATGATACCAAAACCTGGTAAACCTCCCACAGATGTTACATCATATAGGTCAATCTCATTATTAGCCTTACTATCAAAACTGCTGGAAAAATTACTATTAAAAAGACTAAAACCTGTCAACCAACACATCAATTTGTGTTTCGGAATGTTTATACAACAATAGACCAAGTGCATAGAATAACAAATACTATCGAAATAGCAATGGAAGAAAATAAAGTAGTAAATAAAGCTTTCGACAAAGTCTGGTTAGATGGTTTAAATTACAAACTAGACCAAATACTACCATCAACGTATAGTCAACTATTAAAATCGTATCTTTCTGATCGATATTTTAGAGTAAAATACGTGCTTATTCACCACTACATGAAATACAAGCCGGAGTTCCTCAAGGAAGTGTGCTTGGTCCAACACTGTACTTACTACACATTCGCCCTTCCTCAGGTACCAGAAACTTTAACAGTTACATTCGCAGATGACACAGCGATCTTGGCTGTTGCAGAAAATGAAGTAATTGCACCAAATAAGTTACAATTGGCCTTAAATTCAATAGAAAACTGGACCAAATGATAAGTAATAAAATTAAATACAAATAAATCAACCTCCATCGCGACTTGAAAGTAGCATCGGTGTAATCAGAAATTGCATCATTCGCATCTAAACATCAGAAAAGAATGCACGATCATCCCAACATCGACGCCATCCAGCTTCTCGACAATGAGGATGTCCTGCGTCGCCTTCAAAGGATGAAACCGTTCGTTTTAGTGAATTATAATAAAAACAATAATACCCTAAACATGTATTCCGCGTATCGCAGTGTGCGCGTTTTTGCGTTTTGATCTTAAAACGGTAAAAATATGACAATATTTATCTATATTATGGGTAAAGCAGACCACTGGGAAAAGCTGCAAAACATTATATAGTTTAATTTGGTGTTAAAAATAAGTAACCAATTAGTTAACAACCCAACCCAACCAATGTTAAAACCGTTTATTAATGAAATTTTTTTAGGGATTAAATATTTCTGATGGAATTTGGAAAGGAGATTGGTTATTTACGTCAAAATCTTACCAAAAATCCTTATTATTGACGATGCAAAGAATGCAAAAACCACTTTGTTTTACAATTGGTGGTTTTGCACCAATTACTTTAAACTCTTTTGTAGTTGTAAGAAAACATTTAAAATTTTAAAGAAAACTTGTATATTTATTCATTTTCAGATTCTTAAATTTTCTTATTCTTATTTTACCATACTCAAACAATCTACACATTAATAAAAAAAAAAGTACAAGAAAATCAAATGATAGGTAAACATCTTTATTATCAGTCACAAATAAATATTTATACAAAATAGTAACTTGCTGGGAAGCAGCACAGAAACGTTCGACGGCGACGACAAAAAAAAATTAATCACGTTCCAAATTGAAAATAATTTAGGCCGAAATAATTGAACACAAATCAATGTGAATTTTTCTTTTCATTATTGAAAAAAAGTTTTTCAAAAAAAACGATTTATTAGAACGCAAATGTTTTTTAATACAAAAAAATTAATTGGGAAACGAAAAAAAAAGAGTTAAATAAACATAAGCATGCAGAGATAGTAGATTTTTCTTAAATATTTCTAAAAGACTTTAGGCTTATTTCATAGAAAAAGAGACAGCTCATATTAGGATTGACGTTAAATATTAATGCAAAGAGGCCTATTTTGTACAATAAAAATATTGAAAAATTGAAAATAACAATGAGAGAAGAAAAACAGATATACAGGGTATTTTACAATAAAAATAAACGTAAAACGAATGTAACAAAAAAAAGAAACTAATAAACGTTCACAACATGCTGATTATTACACAATTAACACTGTTTTTTTTTCCTTATCGACCCCCATTTTTCACTTTCCTCCTCTTCCTTGACTGGCCTTTTAATTAAATTATTTGTTGTTTGAAATGGGTTAACTTATACTGCAGTACATCCATGATTGGTATCGGGTCGTGTGTTGAAGATGTCAGTCGACCGGATTATTTTCCATTTTCATTGACATCGTATTATCGAGGTAAATTTTTAAACCGCGTTCTCTTCGACTCGGTGAAAACATTTTTGTACTACTCTTACCTAATCTCATATTTTCTTTTTGGTGAAGTTCTTTTCTCTCTTCCGGTGAAAGTTCTTTTAATTGTTCTCTACTATCTCTATAGAAAATAATTAAAAAAATAAAAATAAGTTTAATTAGTAAAATCAACTTTTCTTACCTATAGAAGATAATACAATCATCATCACGTCCCTTTAAACTATAAGTATCCAAACTATTACTGTTCCATTCTAAGTTATCTACTTCTAAAACGTTCATATCACAAGGAAAAGTATGTGGTTGTTTCATCAGTACGACATCAACAAATTCTTCGGGAATTCCCGATTTGTTCGATATTTTCCTTTTAAGTTCTTCAACGGTGGGTTCATCCAAAACAATCTCTTGGAAATTTCCCAATTGTAGTGTAGCGGGAAACCACCGTTTAATAAACGCAACCATTTGGTCGGGATGGACAATTTTTTCAGGTTCGGTGAGTTCTTGTACGAAAATTTCGAATTTCGTTGAAATTGTGATATCATCAACGAATTTTTGGTCGTCCAAGTATATTTTTGACGGCGTTTTCCATTCTTTCCGCCTTATCCGACACTTATTAGGGGGAAGATCCAACATATGCTGTTTCTTCGCTTGTAATAAAATATCTTTTTTCACAGATAAAACGCTTTGACCTTTAGCGACGATACATTCAAAAAGAAACGTAAACGGTTCAACGCCATCCGGTGTTAACAAAAAGACTTTTCCCGACATTTCATTTTTTCTTAAAACACGCCCTAATTTTACAATTAAACGTTCGCCGTCTTTCATCAAGTTCAAACTTTCATTTAAGTTGGTTAATTCGACGTTTTGGTTTTGATATTCTTTAAAAATTTTAAAATACTGGACGGGAACTCCGATTAATGGTTCCAAATGTTTTTTTAATCGACCTATCGACATTCGCGCGTCTAACATTATTTGCATGTAACATCGGAAATTTCCATTTTCAGCTGTTGGTTCGATATTACGCGATCCGACCACTTTAAAATAATAATTTGACATATTCGGTTCGCATTCTTGCATTACTACGTCATCGTTTGATAGTTGTAGCGGTAATTCATCGGATGGATTATCAAAAACTTCGTGATCGTATGTATCCACTGTTGGATCTATTAATGTTGCTAATGTTGTATTAATGTACGCTAAAAGAAAATTAAAAAAGTTAGTATTAAATTTAAGAATACATAAAAATATATTTTATAATTTATTCCAATTTATTCCAAAGTCAATAACAAAACCGAGCTATAATCTTTTATTCTTTCGCTTTCATATATTGCTGGGAATGCAATAAAGCTGGAGATGCAGTTTAGGGAATTGGGAGTTGATATAATAGGAAAAACAGAAGCAAAGAAAAAGGAACATGGAATTTATAAACTGCTGTAAGGAAATGTACTAATATACAGTGAAGTAAGGCAGGAAAGAAGAGCAATGACAGAGGAGGGATGCTTGGTTAACAAAAAGAATAGAAGAGCAAATACAGAACTGTATGGTGTGGTTTAGGAGTAACCAAATAACACCAGTTGTGATTGCGTATGGAAATATTCTGGGAGGAACTAACAAAGGCAGTTGAATAAAGGAATAAATAAGGAAACAAATTTTGTATAGTAGAAGTTAATAGTAGGGTTGAAGTACAGGATGGTAAATATAGAAGGGTTATAAGAAAACATGGAAAGATTATGAATAAAAATTGGAGAGGAATGCTAGATTGTTGCTTTCTGAATGATCTAATGATAACAAATACGTTTTTGCCATACTAAGAAATATATAAATTCACAAGGGAAGTACATAGCAGAAATGCGTACTGGTAGAAAACAAACACAAGAAGGATATACCACAAAAGATACAAAAGTAAGAAGAAGACCAGAAATTGGTAGCAACCACTTTGTGTCTAAAACCAGAGAAGAGAGAAAACGATGCAAGCAAGCAAGCCATGTATAGAAACAGAAAATAGTAAATTATACCATCAACAAGTATAAATTAAGAGATGGATACAATAATTACCAAAGATAAAGAAAGAACAGACAGATAGAAACAGGCAGGAACAGTGGAAAAAAGTTGGAAAGAAGATAGAAAAACGTTGCGCAGAAAACCTGAAAGTATTCTGTCGAATACTGAAATCCTTAAGAACAGAAAAGAGACAAAATGTACAAATTATTAAAGATAAGAAGGGAGAAGGAGAAAAATGAAATGATGGAAGTAATATGATGAGTTACTGAAGAAAGCACAAGAAGCAAAGAAACGGAAGATTAAAGGATAAGCAAAGAAAAATTACAGAGACTTAAAAAATGGAAAGGTGTCTGGATGAGATAAAATAACTGGGAATGCTTAAAAAATATGATATTGAGTACGAAAAGAGAAGTGTGTGGAATAAATGGAAAAAATGATAACAGAAAGCAGACAGAAGAGGTATGGAAGAACTATCTGGCAAAAAAATTCAAGAAAGTAACAATAATTACCAAAGATATAGAAAGAAGACAGAGAAAATAATAACTGCTGTCTAAAATGAACAGTGGAAAAAATTTCGAAAGAAGATAGACGAGAGTTGCGCAGAAAACCTTAAAATATTTTATCGAATACTGAAATCCTTAACAACAGAAAAGAGACAAAATATACAAATTACTAAAGATAAGAAAGGCGAAGTACTGAAGAAGAACAATTATATGATGGAAGTAGTATGAAGAGTTACTAAAGAAAGTACAAGAAGCAAAGAAATGGAAGAAGGAAGGATAAGCAAAGAAGAATTACAGGGAGTTAAAAAATGAAAAGATGCCTGGATGGGGTATAATAACTGGGAATGTTAAAAAAATATGATATTGAGTACGAAAAGAGAAGTGTGTGGAATAAATGGGAAGAATTATAACAGAAAGCAGACAATGCAGTGGACAGAAGAGTTATAGAAGAACTAGCTGGCAAAAAAATTAAAGAAAGTAACAATAATTACCAAAGGGAAAGAATGAAGACAGAGAAAATGATAACTGCTGCCTAAAATGAACAGTGGAAAAAATTTGAATACTGGAATCCACAAGAACAGAAAAGAGAAAATGTACAAATTATTAAAGATAAGAAGAGCGAAGTACCGAAAGAGAAAAATGAAATGATGGAAGTAGTATGAAGAGTTTCTGAAGAAAGCACAAGAAGCAAAGAAACGGGAGAAGAAAGGATAAGCATAGAAGAATTACAGACTTAAAAAATGAAAAGGTGTCTGGATGGGATAAAATAACTGGGAATGCTTAAAACATATGATGTTGAGTACCAAAAGAGAAGTGTGTGGTTATCGGAAGAATAATAACAGAAAGTAGACACTGTGGTGGGCAGAAGAAGTATGGAAGAACTATCTGGCAAACAAATCATGAAAGTTACAATGATTACCAAAGACAAAGATAATGATAACTACTGCCAAAAATGAACAGTGGAAAAACTTGAACTGGAAGGGCGAAGTACTGAAGGAGAAAAATTATAATGATTATTATGATGATAAGCGATCTTCTGTGTTTTGGGCTAATTTTAGCCGCGCTTTTAAAGGTCGATACATTGAATAACAATTAGATGGAAAGGCAGCAAATACACCATCCAACCTAAAGTTGAAGCAATATTCCAATACAAGCTCTATCCACAAGTATATACAGGGTGAGTTATTAGTATCCTGGCGGTCGATAGTTACTAAATCATTTGAGATAGAAAAAAATATTTACAGGTGTTCTATTTACAAAAACATCAAAATTTACAAAGTTTTATGAATACTGTATAGTGTATCTAATATATTTCGATACTATCATCTACCTGCTGGCTTTGACTATTATCTGACATAGTTCAAATGCAAAATCGACAAAAATGTCGTTTTTACATCGTTTTCAAAAAGATCCTGCAATGGGCATATTTTGGAAAAACAATTGAATATTTCAAAAACTATTAACGCTGTGAGTTTACAACATATACGGTCGTATAAACAAATTTGCTTGTATTCATATGATAAAATATACAGGTGTTTTATTCAAAAAAATTTACATACTGGCCATTACGCGTAAATGCAACAACCTGTATAAATGAAAATAATTTTACGTAAAGAATCGTCCTCATTGATGATACTGGGATCAGGAGTTGCCCAGGGATCAATATTATAACCACCCCTGTTTTCTATTTATACAGCTCATCTTATTAATGTTTTTTACACTTGTAACACTCATTTATATGCAGACGACACGCAAGCGTATCTTTCATTTCCTTCAGATAATTTTGATGACAGCTTAGATGTGATCAACAGAGAATTGGCTGTAAGTCAAAGGTAATGGTTTTCGGTCGAAGGGGAGACGTTCAAAAATACTCCGACTGCGTTTATATAAATGGACAACTTCTCCCGCTGGTTCCTGAAGCTCGTAACCTTGGACTCCACTTTGAAACTGATTTAAGGTTTCGCAAACATATTTCTTATGTTCTCCAATCGGCTTATGATAAATTATATTAGTATGGGCCTTGTTTGTTGATGGTAGATCAGCTTCGTGTTCAACGACTACAAAATGCTTGCCTGCGATTCATTTTTGGTATTAGGAAGTATGATCATATATCACACAAATTGGCCACATTGGGGTGGTTGAACATTAACATTAGGTTAAGTTTGAGCAGAACCTGTGCGTTCTGAACTTCGCCTTTTCACCTACATGTTTTTTTTTAATTTCTCTAATGTTAGGATTCATATTTTTGTATACATTACTGTTTCCGTAATTTTTTATTTAGAAATGTAAATTTTTGGGTGAAATAAATTCATTATTATTATTATTATAAAGTAGTAAGTTAAACAACTTTTGTTTAAAACATTTTTTCTATCTCAAATGATTTAGTAACTTTCGACCGCCAGGATACTAATAACTCACCTGTATAAATAATTTGTTGTATTAATATCTAAGAAATTAAAAACAGGAACGTTTCTATATAAACCTCAGGATTAAGATAGACATAATGGAAATTGTAAATGGTGAGAATAAGTCATAACAAGTGCAGAAATAATTACTATTTGCAGGGTCTTAAAATCCAAACAGTACGAAGTATTTGCTATAAGTTTATGGGAAAACGCTATCTATGAATGATATTGTGAAACGAAGAATCCATTGATGAAGAGAAAGACTTATTGTGTTTCTGCCAGGTCTTACAAGAACAGTAATCTTAACCATTAAGTGTGAAGAACCATATAAAGTCTAAGTACCATAAGCTATTTATACCAGATGAAGTTTATGGTAAAACAGAATGCCAAATTATAATTATAAAACTCTCATTAAGAAATTAAAATAAAATTAAATATTTAAATACAATGGAAAATTAAATAAAACACCTAAACTTAATATAACTACAAAAATTAGATTAAAACAAAAGTAATAAAATATAAACATCTTGTAAATTACCATTTCCTTCTGCAGGAGCATCTCCAATAAGAGTTCTATCACTATCACTTAAACTACTATCTTCACTATTACTTTGATCACCAAAACCATCCATTTCCGTTGCTGTTGTTGTTTGAGATGGATACATTTTAGGATAAAATTTTTGATACAATTCTCTATCCGTTGTTGTTAAATTGAGTCCATCATCCATATTTTGATTTAAATCTAACGGTGGTATCGATAAAGATTCCAAAGTGCCTTTAAAAAAATTAATTAAAAATTTTGTAATTCAATATAATAATGATTTACTTATATCATTATCCGGTAAAATTACATCAATATTAACGATATGTACAAAAAGGTCAATAACTTTTTGCATTTTATTGATAATCCCTTCTTTATCAACATCTTCTTCCATAACACTGGCGACGTATAATTTGTAATTACTACAACGCGGTTCGTACTTAATGGGTACATCGTCTTCATCCAAATGAATGGGATTATTACTTCCCGATTCCATAATAATTTTTATCGAATCAACATCGTACCCAAACATACTTGCAAATTGCTTTTTTAATTCTCCGGTAGTTTTACCTGGATTTACCCGAACAAAATTAGGTCCACTAATCTCTTCGGTATCAAAATGTACCAAGTACACCTTCATTTTTACACCACCGGGAAAATAAGCTTCCCAAGCTTGACCCGGTTGCCTAATTTCCAAAAACCACGTTAAATAATCTTTATCTTTCACATCGATGTCGCATAATCGAAGCGAATCCGATTCAAAACTTTTTTCTAAAGTTTCAGTGTTATTATTATAAGTAACTAGACGGCAATCTTCAAAATTCACAACCCCTTTTAATTTAAAACGATCATAAGCATCTGAAGCCATCTCGTAAAGCGTTGTTTCAGCATACCCAAAAAGTTTCATATCAAACAATTGATTAGAAATCGGATGGACACAATAAACCTTCATTTTTAACATATCGATTTCTTTTTCTTTCGCTAATCGATCTATTTCTTCTTTTTCACGCATTTCTTTTAACAAGGTTTGAATATGTGACGGAAATTCGTTGACTGTCATTGCATGACAATTTCGGTTTTTATCGATTTGTCTGTACATTAACATGTAAGCGTTTGTGCTTGATGTGTAAGCACCAGAATAATAACCTCTTGGGGGACCACCACCGTAGGTTTTGTGTATATCATCTTCTGTTATCTTAAATTATAAAATGATTATTTAAATTTAATACTATATTATTATACGAGCATATAATGAGGGCTATTATTCACTAAGGTTAAATTTACGGGCGTAGCGAGTGGCATAATTAACCTGAGTGAATAATAGCTCATTATGGGCCAGTTTTACAATAGTGGTTTAAACTACATTTAATTTAATCTATGGTTAACTACCAAAAAAATGTTTTACAACCATCGTTTAACGTTAAACTACGGTTAGAATCGACGTTTACGTTACCAGTAAACTTAGTTTACGCGCTCTTTTCTTTGTGTATTTGGACATTTGTTCAATTTGTGCCTAGTGAAAAATTTTTTAATATTTTGTATATACTTTTCCACATCCAGATCGGTTTTTATGACAGTAATAAATAAAAGCCGGGGTGATTTTTGCCCGTTCGAGTACCTGAAAAGATTTATGAAAAGACAAGGACATGGTCGAACTTACATTTTTTTAAACTAAAATTTAATAAAAAGCCAAAGTTTAGATATAACAACTAAAATTTAATTATAAAAACTAGTATAAAAGTCTTAAAAGGAGTGTTTAAATTAGCAATGTTTAAATAATGGAATAAGAAAATTTTAAAGAATCTAATTATCCTTCGCCCTCTTTTATAATTAGATAATGCATGCCTTCTCAAGACATTTCTCAGAAAAAATATGTATTTAATATCATATATCACCCTATTATTTTTCTACAATTTGCAAGTAAAGTGTGTTCCTTAATGAGGCCCTGAGTGAGGAATCCCAGCATTCTACAATGGGAAACTATCTGTTGCAACCCCGTCTTTGTTCGTTTTACACCTACAGTAGGAAAGTGGCAGAGTCATAAAAACCGATCGCTGTGTGGAAGACTATACCTAATAAATTAAAAAGTACGAACAAGGATATACTGGGTGGTTCAGTTTTTAATCGGGAAACTTTACTAGGACGTAGTACTTGCCAAAATAACACAAGTTTTTTATATAAACATAGGGTCGCAACTTTTTCGTTTTCGAGTTATGAGCTGTCAAAGTTGAGCCAAAAATTTACATTTTATCTTTTATTTCGGGTATAAGTAAACCATAGAATTTGAAATTTTGTATGTATGTACTACTGGTTAATATCTTATTTTCAACCATACCTTAAACTTCCCTAACGCCCTAAGGGGATGAAATTCACAACCCCTTTGATTTTTTTATAACAATTTTTTAACGCCATGAAATATTAACATAAAAAAATATGGGTTGTAAAGCTTATTCATTATTGGCACTTTTTTGTCTCTTTAGTTTTTTCCTTAAAGATAATAGTTTTAGCGTAAAAAAATAAAATATGCTACATTGTACTGTAAAGCGCTGGTATTATTAAAATTTTTTTTTCTTTACAGCTGTCTATGGAAGTTATGCACTTACTAGGATCTAGTACTAACTAAATAACACCAATTAATTGTGATTTTCATAAGAAAAACCATAAATAAGATTAATACCTGTCTGAACAAATTACGTTGCTTTCAACAATATTAAAAAATTGATACTCTTGCTTAATAACAGTCAAAAATTATTAATAACCGTCACCAATTATGAGGATTCACTGTAAATGAAACTTACAAGTTCTCAAAACCAACTTTTAGAATAATTTTAGCAAAACATGGCGGCACATAGCGGTACATGGCACGATACTTTATTTTTTTACACGGAAACTATTAAGTTTAACGAAAATACTAAAGAGACAAAAAAGTACCACTAAAGAATTAGCGTTACAACCCATATTTTTTTATGTTAATATTCCATACCGTTAAAAAGTTCTTATAAAACATCAAGCTCAACTTTGAACTCATAGCTCGAAAACAAGAGTTGCGACTCTATGTTTATATAAAAAATTTGTGTTATTTTGGCAAGTACTACATCCTAGTAAAGTTTCCCGATTAAAAACTGAACCACCCTGTATTCAATTTATGTAAGCAGTTATTTTTTGAAGTAAGTTTAATTTGAAAATGTTTTACAAAGTTTCAAATAGGTTGGAAATGTACCAAATTTTATTAATAATATGCATATTGGTGTAGGAAAAATGCTTCTAACAAATCTTCATCGTCCGTAAGTTCAAACAGTTACAAAATACAAAATTAAGAGGTTATAATTTTGGCAGATACTAAACAATGAAGTTAGTTATATATTATGTACAATATGAAATTGATACTTATTACAAACTGTAGTATAAATCTCCGTTTCTTATACTTAGGCCCGGTATATTCATCTCCAAGTAAAGTGTCTGTTAGTGTTACTTGACAGAATAAGTTTTCACCCAAAAAGTTTAAATGTTATCTGTCCTTGTCGTATGCACGCATTGATCATATACGTTTGTTTCACTCGGGAGACGGTCTGTTGTACTACTTGTTTTGAAAACGTTTGGTTCTCAAAAGTAACTACTTGGAAGAATAAATAGCGTGAATATACGCGACTTGAATTAATCTTACCAGTAAATATAACCGACAACCGACAAGTACTTACATGATAGTTTACTGGCAGATGAATATACCGGGCTTTAGTTTAATAATTCGTTGTAAAACATAATTTTTGTAAAACTTACGATTAGTTTAAATTTTAACTGCCAATTAGTTAATCGGACGCTTAAACTATGATTGTAAAACCGGGCCTATTATTATGTGAATAGAATACTATAGTTTGTCCATGACTACTATTGAAATTGATTCCATACATTTATTTTTTTGAATAAAGTTTAAACGTCAATGTGACACAAATTCAATGTTACCAACTGTAACCAACTTCACAACAATATGTCAAAATTAAATGTCAATTTTATGAAACGTCATGCTTTTTTTACGAAAATTAATTAATTTATGCTTAAATCATAGGAAAAAGGAATATGTTTAAATTTTTTTTATGTCAAACCTTTAGAAAGTTCTAAAACAATTAAATTAAATTGACGTTTTTTGAAATTTTGACGTTTCAAATAATTATTCAAGTCTATTATATCAAGTTGATTACCTGTCAATAATGATTATTCATCGCCATTATTCACTCTGTGAAAATTGACTACCCTTTCGTTTTAGAAAACTCATTTATAAGGTATATACATTTATAAGGTAGTCTTGGACAAATTAAATTTTGAAGGTATTTTAAATTACTTACCCTACTGACACTTTGATCATTAAAACAAAACCAATGATCCTTTGAAAAATCTTTAATATAAGCATAGTAATGTCCACCAGAAGCACTCCCAGAATGTATCATTATGCTAAATAGCTCGTAAATATATGGACCTTTCTGTTCTTGAAGTCGATTTTTTTCATTTTCATGGCTATGATTTCCTGAACTAACATCAATACCTTCATCATCATCTTGACAAGCTCCATCTTGACCATTAACTGTAGATGAAACATCAGTACCATGACAACTTTCGTCGTCCAAAGCGGAACCGGAATCTGTAGTACTACAGTCGTCGTACTTAGTTGTAGCGATTTCGCGTTCTTCTGAAGCATCATCCAACATAGAGATAACATTCGGGATAAATGAATTCAAATTTAAAACTTCCGGAAAGACAACTTTATCATTTAACTTAATCCGATGCATTGTTGTGTAAACAAAATCAAATCGTTTCAAGTGTAACGTTAACAAATAAGGAAATTTGATAAATTTCAATCCTTTGTGAGCGTCACACTTCTTATTACATTTTTCGCAAAAATACTGGTTGTTTCCTTCGAGCGTTTCCGGTTGTACGAAACCCCTTAATGCTTCTTCAATACTCGTATAAGCGACACTACTTCCGAACGGTCTCACCGGAAGTGGGATATCTAAAAACGTGTCTTCACGAGATTTTTCCGTACTACATTCTAAACATTTAACATAATCCAGCATTTTGCCTTCGTATAAATCGTTTATTAAATTTGATTGTTTTGTATTTTTAAACGTTTGTTCCAAAGCGTCGAACATAACGCGACATAATTCTTGTATATCATGCTGCTCCCATGCAGCTTGTAAATCCCAGCCAAAACTGTGCGTTAAATCTGTCGTTTCTACAGCAGATTTTATTGATGTCTAAAAAAATGTTTAAATTAATTTGGAATTTATAAATAAATTTTATATTACTTGTAAATTTAAAAATAATTTTTGTAACTGAAACGGTATAGATTTCTCCTGATTCTGTCCATCAAATTCCCAATTATAGAGTGCGTTTCGAAATTCGGGCGTCATAAAAAGTGCTTGTAAAAGGCTATTTAAATAACAAGTCATCGCTTGATTAACCAATCCGACATAGCTACACGGTTCTGGTTTAAGATAAAGTTTTGGTTGCCGCGAGTAATAACCAACGTTCATTAACGCCAAGGTTTCTACCTTATTTTCAGCTTCCCCGGAACTTGATGGCGCCTCGCCCATCGTAGGGCTTGCGGACGCCCCCAATATGAGATCGTCGTCCGCATTATCATTAACAACTAACGAAATGTTTCTTCGTCGCGATAATGATAAAACTATCGATATGCGGCCAGATAATTCCAAATCGGGAATTTCGGCAAAGGTTTTATTACGAAAATCATTAAGTACAAACTAAAATAAATTAAAAAAATGTTAATAAAAAGAAAGTTGTTAAAAAAATAACTTACGATGTGTCCATTACGTTGTTGTAAGGCAAATTCGTAAACGTCGGGATTGTAATTAAATTTTGATCCGACTTCTACAAGAACACTCTCAACGGTTTTCGTTGGCGATAGTATTACAGTTTGGCTTGTTTTAGCGCCGGTTGTATCAATTACAGTGGCCCTTACGGTGTCGTCATCAGCAAGACAGACCATCTCCTGAAGCAAATAAAAAGATTTGCATTAAACAGATTAATTATTAAGTAATCGATAATTTTACCATTCATTTTAATTTAATCTTATTATTAATTTATTTATAAAATTTTCCTCACAACGGAACGCAATATTAAGTGTAAACGAATGAACGAAATGAACACGACTGCGAAACAACTTTTGATATTGCGAATTATCCTATTGTGGTCTAATACGTTTCTATTAGGAAATAAGTGAATAAAAAGTTTGATTAATGGTGTGAATTTGTAATTTTAAGTTTTAAAATGGTTTAAAGTTTATTTATTCAGTTTTCAAGAAACAAACTTGCTAAGTTTGGAATTTTTTACTATGCAGCAGTGTAATCTATACGATTTTACTACGATTTTAGCAGCATCTTTTTCCTTTTGTTATTATTCTCCACCTTCCTCTTTATTCTTATCGATTTCTTTTTGTCTTTATTCTTGGGTCTACTGCAATATTATCTCTCCACCACATCCTCAGTCTTCAAAGCAGCCGTCTTCCTTCTGGGATTCTTCCCATACCAACTTGACGACACGTTTCTCTTGTCTCCTTCAATGACCAGCCTAGCCCAATCTTTCTGACTTTATTACTTTTACTATATCTGGCTGATTATATAGTACTTCCAATTTTCTATTAATCTTCATTCTATACTTCTGTGTGATATTGTTCTTGACTGGTCCGTATATCCCTCTAAAAATTCTTCTTTCAGCGATTTTTAGTCGGTTCTCATTTTGTTCCGTCATCGTCCATGTTACACATGGATACGTCATTATTGGTCTTATAACTGAATGATATATTCTTATCTTCGTGCGGCGGGATACATTTTTAGCTCAAATCAGCAGCAATAGCTGGTGCTATTCTTTCTAAACCCACTTTAGTTATATCCCATTTGAAAAGACTTTATATCCTATGCTTATATCTCTATCGTAGGTATATTATTATTATTATAACACTTTCTTTCCAGGGGGTTGTTATTCGCTCTTCTTTCCATATTTGGCAGATTAGCTGATAGAAAGCAAACACCGAAGTTTCTCCTTCATTTTTTAGATATTCTGCCAATTCTGCTGTTGTTTCCTAGAGCTTTGTTATTTTTTAGTTTGTGGATGGCCCGTAATACTTCTTCATTCGATTCTTCAAAATTTTGCGAATCATAAACTTGTAAAAAAAATAAATCAATTTTTGATACAAAAAGGCTCTCGCGTTCTTTCGTTATTTACTATTTTTTGAAGAATAAGACTCTTGTCTTATTCTTCAATGCAATGCACCTAGTACTTCAGGCACATCAACGCCCTCAAGCCATCAATTATGTTTAGCACATGATTTACAGCTGGCAATAATAGATGTGTTATACAAAAAGCCAAAAGAGCAACAAAGTGAGCAACAAATTCTTGCGAATTTGTTCTACTCCATCGACTTCTCAATTAATTGTCGTAGTATATCTCATCTTCATCTTATGTTCTTTGCTTATTTCAATTTTGTATGCTATTTTGCTAGTTAGTAGGTTGCATGTAGTATTCAGTAAAATTATAGGTTTTAGTCATTTAATTGAATGTTATAAGCCTGAAAGCCTAGTGCTTCTTGAAATGTCCAATTATTGAGAATAAGGCTCTATGCAGAGCATCAGAAGCCATCCGTGTGTGCAAATTTATATTTTTGGTTACAACTGTTTCTCTTCATCATGGCAATAACTTGGAAATTCAACGTTCAAACTCATAAAATGTTGAGGTGAAGTGTGAAGCTAAGCATGCTGGTTATCGTGCCATAAAATTGCATTTAACTCATAACCAACAGCAAGGTTATTTAGATTGAGTTCTAACAGTCCGCGTTCTCTAAGACACACCTTCAGTTGTTCAGAAATTGAAGCTCATTACAAAATTGACCCGTAATATTTTTTTCAGAAAAATACCATAAAGATGATATTGATTTTACAATGTTTAATAAATTTCCCTGTCAACCAAGGTAAATAACCTCATTAAATAAAAACTAAAATCTTTAATGATAGTAGATTATTAACATTTTCTTAACAAAAGTTACGCACGCAAGATTTTGTTGGGATTTGAATAAAGAAATAGTCACTATTAGCATTATTTATAAATCATTATAGTTAACTCATTCCTGCCTGTTTATGACCTCGCATTTTTAATTGATGCAATCTACGAAGGGATGCCGCACCTAGTATTAAAATTGAAATTTTTTGTACTCAAGACCGTAGAACTTAATAAATATTGACAACATTCAGCTAACACAACAATTACTTAAAAACGAATCTTATAAACCATAGAAACGCATCTAAAAATATAACCTTCAACGTGCCAAATACCCCAACAACCGAACGCGCTGAATTCTAATATGTAATTTCACAGAAAGAGAATAATTTCGTAGATAAACGCTAATCATTAACTCATCTGTGAAGATTATTTAATTTAAAAAGGTTTTTTCTGGTTGTTTTTTTATTTTTGTTTGGTTCGCGAAGCGATTATACAACAATAGAAAATGAATTTGAACATTTGTTGATAAATTATAAATTAAACGTGTATCCAGTTCAAAATTAATAACATTTTTTGGATAATTATTATCAAAGTAACCTCTAAATGTATATAAATAAGGACATCTTATCTTTAAAATCCCTCTATTTTTGTTTTCAAACGATCTAAGTCTTTAAGGAATAAAAAAAGTTGATGTTAAAATTGAAAACGTAAATAATTAGATTTACTGAGTATTTCGATAACATAAAGATAAGAAATGTAATTGATCTCTTAAATTATGCAATATCACCGAGATAACGTAAAACTATTTCCTCGTTTTCTCTCATATCTCTTAACTTCTTGAACTTTCTCTAGCACTAATTGTGTGTTAGTAAACAAAATTTATTATAAAAACTTAGAATTAAATCTCATGATCTATCGTGCTTAATACAGGATTAATTCACGATATGGCATTAACAGGCTAAATAAATGGATTAGTATTCTTTTGCAGATGTAAAATATCACATTATTGTTGAATAAGAATTAACACAAAATCATCAACGTCTTACGCAGTTTTTGCTCATTAGCTGAGAGTATCGGTCAATATTTGAATTTGTCATATTTCCTAGAACTACACAATAAGAACAATTTTCCACCACACTTTTGTCTTGTCACTTTAATTTACTCATATATTTACACTACTGCGTTAATTTCTTGGCTACGCTAAAAAATTTTAATTGTTGAAGTAAAACTAAGAGTTGCCACTGGTCGCTGTAATCTTATCTCTACAACCGTTCTATAAAAAAAGCAATAAAATTTCTTGTAGTCATTGACTACATACTTTTACATTTATAAATTTAGAAATATAATTTATACTTTGCTTTTGGTTAAAACGGAGTACTGAAATAAAGTCGTTTTAATTTTTTCTTTATTTTTTAATAAAATATTGGAGATGAAATGAGTAATCATTAAAAATAGACAAAGCTGTATAGATAACCTACTCTCTATACCCTGTATGCAGAATATATTTAAATAACTCTAAAATACACCTATATTGTTGGGCTATACACCTGAATACACAGTAATGAATACACCAAAGATATGGTAAGAGGAGAATAGATAACATAAAACACATTCAAACAAATAGAAAAATTTCACTCCAATAACGAGAAAGTAGTAGGGGAAAAACAGACACTTCTTGAAACAGTACAAGATTGATTAGCTAAAGTTTACACGAGGTATCGTTAGAACTTTAGTACGAAAACAAGAAGTAACAACGGAAGTTTTTATTGTAAAACTCTTATTTAGACACAACGTGAAAAGAGAAGATATAAAACTTGGACGGAGAGTAAGAATGAAACGTAACAATACATTAGTGACGATCGAAACTACCGCAAGAAATTCTACATGAAACCTGTTAAAAAAACAAATTAAAGGTTTTTCTTTTACAATTTTATGTTTAACTTAAGTTTTTGTAGTAGATTATTAATTTCAAGCTAAAATGGGAGAATCCAGTCATAGAACCGACACACCCAAAAGTTATAGCTACTCAATCAGAACCCAGATAAATGTAATCAAGCGTTATCAGAAACGATAAATGTGAAATTTTATTTCTTCACGATGATAAGGACACCATGATACCTTAAAACAACTCCCAGAAGCTTTAAAGTGCTTATCCATGCGATCTAACTATGCTAATGTATATTTGGTTTGAGGACGTTCTTTGTAAATGAATGTTGATTGGTTGAAAATTATTAAATGTTGTAGCGTAAAGATGTTTGTCTGCTAATATTAATTAGCAACAATAGGTACACTTTACCAAGAAGACAACTTGGTGCAAAATCGTGTATAAAAGCTGCAGTTAGATTCAGCCAAGGTCATTGAATAAGAAATTGTTTTGCCGTACATAACGGCATTTAGTGTAATTTACAGATTAATTTTTCAGATTTAGTGTAATTCCAGTCTTCTTCTTACAACTTGGAGATTGATTAGGCAGTGTATTTTCAGACATTTTCTTCCAGTTTATGCACAGTATTATTTTCACAGTTCGTTGTAGAGGCTATATAGTTAGTTTAATTTTTAATTTCTGTTGAAGTTAGAAATATAACTAATATAATTCCCGACATCTTTTTGTAATATCAGTTTAGGCAGTGCCATTCCAATATTTGTCGTGGAACTCAAAGGTTGGCCTTGTTGTGGCGTTTTAATAAGCAGCTTTTCTAGTGTTAAAGGCATATTTTATTTATTAACAGTTATTAAAATTGCACCCGCTAGATTTCTGCAATCTTAGGCTTGCAAATCGTGCAATTTGGTGTACAAGATTTCTCCTAAACCGGTCTAAAGTCGAATGATCAAATTTCGAGGTTTACAAAAATGAAGTTTTCAGACAGTATAACGTTCCGCAATTTTTTTCTGTCAATGGATTCTCATTCAAAAGTGTTTCTCAAGATTTTTTTAATTTCAAATGTTGCAACAAAATAACGTATAATTTATAAAATATCTTGTGTTTCTAGAAGCATTTTGTAAAAATAAATCTTAGCCAATCCCATTGTATTCTGATAGAATTAAATTTAACATTTTATAATGTCTCTGATGATTGCGTCAGCGGAAACATGTAAGACTTAATAAAAGAAAACAACCAGTAAAAGTATTGATGTTTTTCATTTCCCTTTAAATTTAAATTAACTTGATAAATCATGCTTTTGCCACACACATATTGCTCATTACAAGTATTTCTACAAACTCATTTGAAATATTATGTAGTTTTGCTATTTGTATTCACTTCCTAGTTTTGCGTCACTTGAGGTTTACTGCGTCACTGTTAGCATTACAGACAAATGTTCTATATATTCTAATGGCATATTGGCAGTCAATTCAATTAAGTTTTGTAAATTAAATTTACTAACTTACCAAAAAAATTATTAAATATGTATGATGTATCTAAGATAAAACTGTTTCAATGTTGTAGAAGGTGAAGTAATAATTAAATAAAGCTAAGTGTAATAACTTACCTGATAATTTTCAATTACCTCACTCACACAATATTTCTAATTACATTTGAGAATCAAATTAAAATTGTTGGGCTATTACTGGCTAATTCAGTGAGCTAAAAGTTTAAACATGCACACACGACAATATTTGTATGTACATTTCCATTTTCATGAATATGATTATAACATAAGGCATCCAAGTATGGGGTCATACACACTTATTAAATTTAGAGAAAATTTTTACGTCAAACGATATATGCAAGTATATGCATGAACACAAAGTAAAAGAAATATTTTGATCAATTTTATATTTTGCGTAATTTGAAGTGAAAAATAATAAATATTCAAACGAAATAATTTCGCGGCTTTTCTGTGACGTAGGAACCGCACTGCCTAAAACAAGTTAAATTGTCCGTTAGATAGCGCTTGCGGTGTGACAGTGTCAAAATAAAACCATGGATGTAATACAGTGTCTCTATTACATCCATGAACAAAACATAATAAACATAACCTACAAACACTCTATCTCTTTTCAATACAACCTAAATGACGTTCATCTCTTTCTCGCATTTGAGCGGGGAGCAGGGGACGCAAAAGTGAGAATCGTACGTCATCAACGCGGGAATTTTAAAAGCGCAAATGGGTATATAAATTTTCAATAATTTTTTTAACAATGACTTTGTTCGAAAATATTAAAAAAAAAAATAACGGTAACTATATTTTTATATAAACTTTCAGAAAATATAATAAAAAAAAAATCGTGTATGACCCCATTATAAGTAGAGTATGATGATGCCAAATGTCATCAAGGAGTTAAAATGGTTTAAGAAATAAAGATATCTTTATTCTTGTATATTTTAGGAACCCTTTCTAAATGATATTTTAAGATATAAATTCTTCCTGAACTTATTTTTATAACAGCCCATGTCCCAGTTAGACCCAGACATTTAACTTTGATCAGAAATACTCTTACACTTCCGATTGGATGCGGGCCAAATAAATAAAAAGTGACAACATGCTAAGCATTTACTATAAGATTCAAACAACTGAAATTGGACATTTACGTGCCGGGTTATTGGCTGTAAGCCAAAATTCTAAATATACTCCCCCATCATTAAGACATGTGTGTGTAATGGGTAATAGGAAAAAGTTCAAATAATTCGCATTCTAAATACTTACCGGATCAGTTAGAACGCAAATCTTCAAAGGTTGTATTAGAACCGAAAAATCCAAAAAAAAATTGTTCTACCTGGAAGAGATACAAAACAGGTCGTAGTTATTCTTGGCTTATTTTTAAAAAAGCTGCATTTTCATCGAGTGCATTTTCTACTTATGGCACAATTTGAAAATACGGCTTCCTTTTTATTTTAGTAAATTTTAAAAAAAACGGAAAAAATGGGAAAACGGTCGCGTTTTTGACACAGCTATTTTATACACACACAGAAATTTGTTTACGTCACTGTGCACCTCTTTTCAAGGGGAATCGGACGGATAAATCCGCTACAAAACTATCGTTCACCACGCCGTGTTCAATACAACACTTATTTTCCTCGTTGGATTCAATAATTTTACTTTTAACACGTTGAATTCCTTACCGGGACAATTATGACATGTGCTAAAATTTTCTCAACGCCATTTTACTACATATATAGTTCGGCGAATTCACGCGCATGTCATAATGGCAGCACTTTACCGCCAAAAAATTAAATTTAATTTTAAATCAAATTATTAATTTAAGATTTAAAAGAAATCTGAAAATTTAAGGTTCAATTTAAAAAGATTTTAGTAAACTATTTAGTTTAACAAATTATAATTTGTTCTTTTTTAAATAAGCAGTTACAAAGTTAAATAATAGATGGCTCTTTTGTAATAAGGAAATGATATTAATTAAAATAAATAATTATTATACCGGTTATTAGGAAATATGAGTAATTGTGGTAAACAGGTCGGCGCTTATGTAAAGTTGTGTCTGATAGTGAAATAAAAATTTATTTGATAAACAAAATTTTTAAGTTCAAGCAGTGTAGGCAACCAATTATACCAACTACATTCCTTTACTGCTTATTATTTTATTGATTTATTTGTTTATTTAAAAAGCATATTTATCAACGTAAAACCAACAAACAATCCGAAACAATCTGGCATCTCTCCTTCAGATAGGAAGCAAACCATTGTAAAAGTTCCCCTGAATACCAAACTTCATTAGTTTAAACAAAATTAAGTTGTGTGATCCACCCGGTCGAAAGCTTTACTAAAATCCGTATATACTCAATCAACTTGACAAGAATCATCCAGAGAAGATAAGATATAGTGGATGTATTCAAGCAAGTTACTCTCAACAGAGCGACCAGCAAAAAAATCATGTCTACAATTGATTTTAGACTTAAGGGCAAAGAATAGACATGCTTGAACCACTTTCGCCAACACAACTTTTCAGTGACACAGCTTTTATGGAGTTCGTCCTGTGCTGTGTCCTATGTACATAAATAAATAAATTTATGATTATATGACTGCACAATGTAAAGAAAAATAAAGATTAGTGGGTAAACAAAATTATAAACACGGGAATTATTATCCATATTTCTTTGAATAAAATAAATTTAAATGTTAAATAATTGTATACATTTCAGTATAACTTAATTTTTTGCTTTGCTAGCTCGACCACGGCCACGAGGAGTTTGTTTTGTTGTAGAAGCAGCTTTACGTCCCCTAGAACCTTTACCTCTTGTTGGTTTAGCTGTCGAAGTTGATTGTTCATTTTGATCATCTGTTAAATTAATATTAACGACATTGCCACCAGCATTATCATCAACATCAACAACAATATTTATAGGTTTTGGCCTATTTGGGTTGTTTAATGTATTAATTAACTAAAACAAAATTCTATGAATTAAAGTTAACAATTATTAAATTATTTAATGGTATATTTACATCAGTAATTTCTTTGTCTTCATCTTGCAATCTTTGATCTTTAACCCTCTTAAAACAGTCGTCAAAATCTTCTTTTGTAGGATTTAGTTCTATTAATTTATCTAAAGTAGCTCTTTCTTGCATTCTAAAACATAATTAGTAAAATAAACAAATTCTAAATTAAATATATCATTAGGGCACGGAACTTTTGTAACAAAACGATACGATTTCCCCCCTCCACTCGTTCTCAGCAGAAAATTTCATACAAAAGTTGTTCAAAATTAAATTCTAAAACGATTTTCTCAATAAAAAAATATATAAAAATACATATATAAACATTTTTTTGAGATTATGTTCTTAATTATTGATCAAATCAAAAATTTTTATTAACAATATTTGTTTAGAATTACTTCAGGAATAGTGTTTGTTAATACAATTTTTTGCTCACTTGAAATTTTAATTTCCCTCTGAATAGTATGCTATCAAAATTAATTATCTCAACAATTATTGTTTTTATTAAAAAATGTTTTAAATAAAATTTGTTTCAATTTCGATTTTGAATCAATTATCTTAATAAAAAATTTTTACATCTCTATTAATTAAGCATCTAAGTATAATTATGTATAAAAACGGAAAAATTATTATTTTGAGGTTATCTCCTTAATTATTGATTAAATCAAAAAAAATTGTTGACAAAGTTTGTTTAGAATTGTTTCAGGAACAATTTTTGTTAACACAATTTTTTTCTAACTTGAAATTTTAATTTCCCACTGAATAGTATGCTACAAAAATTAATATTTTTGAGGTTATATCCTTATTGTTGATTTAATCAAAAAATGTTGTTAACAAAATTTGTTTAGAATTACTTCAGGAACAGTGTTTGTTAATACAATTTTTTGCTAACTTGAAATTTTAATTTCCCTCTGAATAGTATGCTATCAAAATTAATTATCTCAATAATTATTGTTTTTATCAAAAAATGTTTTAAATAAAATTTGTTTCAATTTCGATTTTGAATCAATTATCTTAATAAAAAATTTTTACATCTCTATTAATTAAGCATCTAAGTATAATTATGTATAAAAACGGAAAAATTATTATTTTGAGGTTATCTCCTTAATTATTGATTAAATCAAAAAAAATTGTTGACAAAGTTTGTTTAGAATTGTTTCAGGAACAATTTTTGTTAACACAATTTTTTTCTAACTTGAAATTTTAATTTCCCACTGAATAGTATGCTACAAAAATTAATATTTTTGAGGTTATATCCTTATTGTTGATTTAATCAAAAAATGTTGTTAACAAAATTTGTTTAGAATTACTTCAGGAACAGTGTTTGTTAATACAATTTTTTGCTAACTTGAAATTTTAATTTCCCTCTGAATAGTATGCTATCAAAATTAATTATCTCAATAATTATTGTTTTTATCAAAAAATGTTTTAAATAAAATTTGTTTCAATTTCGATTTTGAATCAATTATCTTAATAAAAAATTTTTACATCTCTATTAATTAAGCATCTAAGTATAATTATGTATAAAAACGGAAAAATTATTATTTTGAGGTTATCTCCTTAATTATTGATTAAATCAAAAAAAAAATGTTGACAAAGTTTGTTTAGAATTGTTTCAGGAACAATTTTTGTTAACACAATTTTTTTCTAACTTGAAAATTTAATTTCCCACTGAACAGTACGCTGCAGTTCTTTTAATGTAGATTTTCTGAGAACGAGTGGAGGGGGGAAATCGTATCGTTTTATTACAAAAAAGTAAAGTTCCGTGCCCTGTATATCATACTCTATTGCATGAGCGATAGCATCTAAATCATCAGAGTCAACACATTTTTGTACTGCTCTAGTTAAAACTTTTGTAGAGTAAATAGACATTTCAGTCACGCGATCTGGATGATTAAAATAATCATTTATATGATCATCAAGTCTTCCTGAATGTATAATATCCTAAAAAAATAACAATAATATCATAGAAATAATTAATTTTATTTTTTTTTACTTCATCCATAATTCGTGGGTCAATTCCTGGTAAATCTGGTACTTTATACGACGTTCTCAAATTCATATTAACCAATTTAAACATACTCGTAGGGTTAGCAACTCTATCCTCATAATCATGTCCCATTCGAATTGCATTAAAAACTTGCGTTTCGCAATAATATCTCACAAATAATCTTACGAAAGGCATTAAAGAATCAGCCCCAGCTAATTCTTGTCTTTTAATAGCCTCAAAAATTAACTTATCAACTTCCGCACGAACTTCCTGTTTCGCTTGTTCTTTTGGATCCGCGGAATTATAATCTTCATCTCTATCAGGACATTTTAATGTTATACTCGAAAACATTAAAGGACGAACCGTAGCTAATGGAATTGGGTTAATACTAAATGATTTATTAAAAACTCTTAGAATCCCAATCTTTTTCTCTATAGATTCGCCTTCGCATAAAGAAGTTGCTACGGAACTTCCAGGTTGAGTTATGTGGGGACCATGTTCTAATTGAACTGGTTCGATGTCACAGTTATGTTCATGACCCCATAAAACTAAATCAATAAAACTTGGAATGACACTTGTTGGGATGAAATTTTTTGAGCCTCTATTCGCTCGATTTTGATGTAAAACTAAAATGTTGAACCAATCATCTCCTTCTGGTTGTAACATTGAAACTTTTTTCTCATGAAATAAGCGAGCTAAACGTTGATCAGGAATATGAGATAAACCGTAAAGAGCGATTTTTGTTGACCCTTTTTTTAATAATATTGGAGTTATTGTTACATTTTTTATATCTGTAACTCTACCAAAATAATTTACCAATCCCGTTGCTGAGATTATGTCTAAACCAGATACTTGTTGGGCACCTGATGGGTTATCATGATTTCCGTGTATGGAAAAAACAGGTATTGATATATTCATGTTTTGGTCCTCGTAATTAACAATAGGGTTAGATTGTCGAAAATTTTCAGTTGGATCTGATAAAAATTCAATAGCAACGGGTCGATCCCCTAAGCAATACCTTAAAAATTCAATAAATTTAGCATAGTAATAAATGGTTGTAATAAGATATACTTTTTTAATAACTCGGTACATTTAAATAATGTATAATTGGTCGGTTGAACATCATGAAATAAATCACCACCTAAAAGAATCATATCGACATTTTTCTTAACGGCTAGTTTAAGTATTTCTTCGAAAGTTCGAAAAGAATCTTGATCTATAACAAGATTAATGATTAATTAAAATGAAAAAAAATTTTCGCGCTAAAATAATCCTAACCTATAATAGGTTTTTTTTCGCCATAACCTAAATGATTATCGGTTGTAAGTAATATCTTAAAGGTATCATCAGGGCATGGATTACTTCCACTCATTTTTCACTTATTTAATCACTTAATTTAGTTAATTATCACTAAATTAAACTTGTTTCAACACGAACTGTTTTCATTCGAATAAGATGTTTAAAGAACGTAGCCTAAAACATTAATGTCAAAATAAAAACAAATAAAAAAAATTTTTTAATTAATAATTATTTATTTAAAGATTATAAGAATTATTACTAAATTAACATTTAGAATACATTTTAATTCTGTTTTTACCAAGCATATTTGAATAAGTATTTACGAACGTAGCCGTTTTCGGTATCCTTTCTATTAATCAGGAAAAACTCTATAGATAAATTTCCTAAGTTTCCACATGTACGGATTACTGACGCCTGCTTCATTTGCATGTGGAAATAGCAAAAAATCACTGGCGCCAATAAATTGTAATCATAACGCCAACAAAGTTGACGCTACTTCTATTTTTTGGCGCCATTAACAGTATTTATAAAAAAACGGTGTAACTATTAACGTGTTCGTCCAACTAAAATGAACAAATCCTAATAAACCGTCCAAAAATGGACATCAGAACAAACAGTACTATTTCTAGAAACGTATGAACAATCAATACAATATCTTTGTTTGTAGAATCAGAAAATTCAACAATATAAGGACCGACAGCACGAAATAAAGCTGTCAGAAGGATAGTTGAAGTTATGAAGAAAACAGTTCCTAATTTTGACAAAAACCTCGGCAAAAGCAAAAATACGAAGAAGATACACATATCAATTTAGAAATTGTGCTTTTTGGAAAACGATACATATACATATTGCAGAAGAATTTCCAGAAGCCAAAAATCTTAAAGTTGCTTGCAGTTTTACGTGAGCTGGAATTTTTGTATTTTAGAGGATACTTGCCTCAACAAAAACATGAAACTCTCTTCAGTCATTCTTAAATGATTAAAAAATGTTTGATGGTCTTCATGGCATAATTCTCAATTAAAGTACTAGACGCATCTAGGTTATTTCTACGTGCAATCCACGATCTAACCCAGCAACTATGGTTTCGCTTTTTTTTGTTAATAACGTGTGCAGTTCCAAGGAGCACATTTGGAGTACCATATTGATGCCAGCGGGAAGTACATCACTTGACGCCATTTTTATTACTGTGCCAGTACAGAATTATAACATTTATGTGGAAACAACTTCTGGCGCCAGCTAATTAGCACTAAACTGGCTTCATTCACAGCAGTTCTATTCTTTCAACACGTTTTATTACCACTTCAAATCTTTCTCTAATCATCCACTCTATCTTTATATCTCGTGCGGTGTCTGCCCCTACGTCTTGTGCCTACCATGTTTGCTCTAAAAGCTATCTAAGTCTTTGTCTTCGCCACCCTTTAAATCTCGGAGTTCAAAATTTATTTTTCTCCGTATTCCATCTGCTTCTATCACTGGTCCAAATATTTTACTGATTATCTGTCAAACTCTCGAAGTCCGCTTCCGTCAGATTCCAGGGTTCCACTCCGTAAGTTAAAACTTGTCTGACCTAGGTCTTATACACCCTCAGCTTGGCTCTAGTAGACCTTTAGTCCTTTGATTTGCAAATCCTCATGGCGCATATTAATAACATCTCTTTGCAGCTTGTATTCTTTCTTGTTTTCTTTCCGTTATGTTATTGTCATTCATAAAGATTACACCTAAATACTTGAATGCTTGAACATTCTCGAAAGTATATTCGCCTACTGTTATAGTTTCAGGTCTTTCCCTCTGTTCACTTCGTGTTATCTTCTATATACAGGATTTCATCTTTGGCTGCTCTTTCAATGCCAGTAAAAATCTCCACAAGCTTCTCATAGCTTCTGGCCATTATCAATACATCATCCGCATATGCGCATATTTGAAATGAATTTGGCGTAATGCTGCCTCTGTTTTCGAGACTACCAATGGCCCATTCCGTCCATTCCTCCCTGTCTCACACCATTCCGTATGTCAAAAACATCAGATATTCTTCGTTGCACCGATACCACGACTCTGGAGCCCTCCATTGTCATCATTGCTACCAGTGCCAGTTTTCGGGGGATTCCCGTTTGTATTAAATTAGCCTAGTCCTCTGTATACTGTAAAAGGCTTCTTTAAAGTCTCTAAATATGCAGTGTAAGTCAGTGTTATACTCGTAATATATCTCGGTTACTTGACAAAGGAGGAAGATTTGGTCCATTGCAGATATTCCTTCCCTGAAGCCACACTGGTATTCACCCAGTATGTTCTCAGCATATGGCTTTATCCTCTCGTAGATTACATTCGACAATACTTTGAATGCGGCATTCAAAAGCATAATTCCCCTAAAATTGTCGCAATTGGTCTTGTCCCCTTTCTTGTGCGGCAGATGATTCCCGTTTTCCATTTCTCCGGCATCCGTTCTCCTTGCCATATCATACAAGCTCCGTTCCAGCCATCTTCATGAGTTTCGGCGTAATTCCATCTTCGCCTGGTGCCCTTCCATTTTTCATCTTCATTAAAGCTGTTGTTATCTCATCGAAGGATAGTAGTTTTATCTTTGGTTCAGCAGTTTATATCACCACTCTCTCCGTGTCCGAATCATCTGCTATGTTCTCCACATTCATCAAGAGTGTACCATCCTTGTCCTTACATACATACAGTCTCGGTTAATATCCCTTCTTATAATAAAAGTTTTTATTGTTACACTAAAAGCTTACAATTTTCTGCACAATACATGACAAACCAAACTTAACTTCACCTATTCACACCATGCCTTCCCCCCCTCTTCCAGAATCTGCCACCTTATTTTCTTCATCTCTCAGCTCACTACATCCCCTCAACATATGTTGTAATGTCTCCAAATCCTCTCTGCACAACCGACACCACCTCTCCACATCATCCACCCAGTACCTGTTCGCTCTCTCCTCATCACCACACTGAAATCTGGCCACCAACCTTTTCCCTTTCTCACTCCCCTCCTTCACCAAGTATTTTGGAAGCCCTTCCGTCATTTTGTCCCCATATCTTTCATTGCACCTTCCCTCTCTTATCTGCGTCCTTCTCTCCTGTCTCTGGACTCCTCTCTCCTTTACCATATCTAATCTTCCCCTCCCTAACTTCCTTTCAACACTCCCCCAGGATCCCGCAGTATGGTCTTCTATCTATCATTTCTTCATATTTAACTGCTTTTTTGTTGTCTCCACCATTGTTTCATCCACCTTCACTTCCTCCCTCACAATATACCCCACTGTTTCCATCGCCAGACCCAGAACCCACGTCCAGCACCGATTGTGTACGTCCTCCAGAATGTCCTATCTCTTCCATGCCCAAACTTCCGCCCTATACATCATTGCACTCCTCGCCAACCCATCAAACACAATCTTTCTCTTTCTGATGCCCCTTCCTAACACTCTCTCACCCCATCTCCAGACCTGCACCATCGCCTTATTTGCCCTTTTAGCCATCTTCCTCACAAGCGCCTGGTTCTTGCTATCCTCCCTGAATCTGTACCCCAGACACAGAATATCTAACAATTGTTAGATTTTCTGTACCTCAGATATGTGAATTCTCTGACCTCCTCTATCCCTCTCCCCTGCCATCTCCATTCCGCCCTCTTTCTTCTTCCCCCTTTGCAGAATTTCATCATCTTTGTCTTTGCTACATTAACCTTCAACCCCTTCTTCACCCTAGTTCCTATCTACCATTGTAGAAATCTTTTTGCTCCAAAGATTATGAAGAAATATATTTCTATATTTTGTATTGTGTATTTTTATAGTTTGATTGAAAATGAATGGAAATCTGCAAAACAGTTACTACTCAATTGTTTTGTCGAAAGGAAATGCTGATTCAATATCGTCCATTCTCATTTGTGCAGTTTGTAATGTTCCTTCTCAACTTCTGACTGTCTCTCTGTGAATGAATTCTGTCTTTTACCGCTCACTTATATGTTGCTAAGTTAAAAATGCTTTTTAATAGTCTACAATATTCTTCATAATCATTCACTTTCCACTTGAAAAGGTCTTGAATCATAAAGGAGTATTATTTAAAATACTTTTCTGGTATATTTGTTTAGAATATTTATTTTCAATTTAAATGTAATAGATTTGTTAACTAAATCTTATCAGCTAACGTAAAAAATATTTGAAATATTGAACAGTAAAAAATATATAACCTAAAAAAATGTACAATGTTAGATTTAAATAGGATAGCTTTTACACTATCTTAACAAACTTAAATGCCCCAACATTTATAAGTAAAATTAAATTATACTTCATCTTCATTTAGCAGCATATTAGGTATTCCATTATTAATAGGAAAAACTCGCCCTGTTTCAGGACACGTCAACTCCCCCGTTACAATATCAACCTCCAAAAGGACGTGATGAACCTTCTTTAAGAACTCATTATCTTGTTCGTGTTCTTTTAAAATTTCCGCAGGTAAATTATCATTTTTTCCAATTGTATCCGCAGCTTTTATAAGAACTCCCCAATCTAATTTTGGGATTAATCTCGCTACAAAAGCCGGATTAAAATCAACGTCGCATTCTCGAACATCCGTCGCCTAAAAAATGTATTCTAACCTAAAAATTAATTTAAAATGTGGTGAAACTATCTTACCGTTAATTTTAAGGGGTAACCGACTTGTACGCCTTTTAGGCATTTCGAACTCAGCATGTTATGAGTGAGGAGTTTCATTTTTGAGATTTTTATGTTTATGTAGGGTTTATTTTGAATGGTTAAAATTTGAGGTTATAAAGCTGCGCATGCGTAATGATTTTTTTAAAATAAATCTTTATAAATCTTTTTTTATTTAATTTATTGTTTTTGTAGGTGTTTATTAAAGATATCGTTTTAAAAAACACATTTTTAATTAAATATTGAAATGAATTTTTGAATTTGTACATTTTAATTTTAAGTTTGAACGCGTCATATATAATACTGAAAAAGAATAATTTTATTTGTATGCAAAAAATATTGTATGTAGTGTGGTTATAAAATAATGATTCAATTTTTAAATGTAATCTCTGTATCTTATTATGATTTAAATTGTGAATTAAAAATTGTTACGGAGTTGATTTGACCGTTTCGTTCAATTTCCGTTTGTCAATATCCCCCGGGTTCGCCATTTTATAACGAGCGTCCGGTAAGTTCAGTGACAAATAGAAATCCCCAGGAGCGTCTAACTAAAATCGGCAACCATTTGTAACCGTTTTCGACCTAGGTACTTTCGTTTTTTCGGTTGCTCGCGGTTGTTGGGCGCGTGAAATGGAAAGCGAACCGGAGGACCAGGGCCAAGATATCGGAAAAACGGAAATCAGCTTAGAGTATCGCGAATACGATACGAATTACGATTCAATCGAAGTCTCCTCAATCCAACAAGTTTCATCGCCCGGCGTCGCCAAATCTAAATATTACAAACAAACTTATCGAACTGCATGGGAACATATGCCTGATTTTAAAGGTAAAACGAGTTGTTTTTACTAAAACACCCCTTTTTTATTTGATTGAGAAATGATTAGTTGGTAAAAACGCAATACTTAAAGAAGCGTTAAAAAGAAATGTTTTGTAATAATTAATTAACTTTTTGTTTAATCAATTTGATTTTAAATTGTTTAAAAGGAAGAAATTATCTTAATTAATCCTAGTTTGACGTAATTGTCAAAATATACAATATTTTGACAGTTATTACACCACTAGCGCCATCTATGGCAATTACTACAAAGTAAGCTTTTTGAAATAACCTCGTTCTTTTTGAAAATAATTTTATTATTGATACAATTTAAGCTTAATATAATAAAAGTATAAATAAATTGTTTATTTAGGTTGGTTAACTGGTGTTCAAGGAGAACCTACACGAGCTTTTTGTCTTTACTGCCAAAAAACGTTGCACGCTCATAGATTAAGCCTTTTAAAGCATACCTGTACTATAAGACATCAAAAAGCGGCTCAATTACATAATACAAGGAAAGTTAAAGCGGCTTCTTCGCCCCAAATGGAACAACAAGTTGCGTTTATTGACGGAAATGCATCGACGATTCAAGAAGATTTAGAAGGTGTTGAATATACGACTGTTGAAGTTGAGGAACAAGATAACGATGGTGATCAAGATAACGAAGCTGATCAAGATAATGAAGAAATGGATGATGACGAAGAAAGTGGGGAAGCTGAAAATTTACCAGTTCATTTTCAAAAGGTAAATGTTTTAGCTTGGTAACAAAAATGTTTTTAAAAAAATGTTTTATCTCTTCTTTTTTATCATTTTTTGACAAACTTTCCACTTAAAATATTATTTCTCTTTAAATCGCTCAGTTTGTCGAGCGAGTTTTGTGAGTGTTGTTCTAGTTTTTGAGGTTAGATAACCTTTTAATCTCTTATCCTTAATTATCTTTTAAATATAGCCATACAAGTGATTGTTATGAGTCTATCTGAAAGAATTAGTGTTGTAAATAATCATCTTTCAAGGGCGAATGTAAAATAACAAAAATTAAAATTAATTTTTAAAAATTGATTTTGATTTTTACAGCAAATTCGATCACAATTATTACCAATGAACTCTACAAAACCTCCAATTTCAACTCACGTTCTTGATACTTCTAAAGGCCAAGCTGTTTCTGGGCTTCAAGTGAGCCTCTATAAATTAATCGATGGTAGATGGACATATATTAATGAGGGAATTACAAATATTGATGGTCGTTTTGGGAATTTTTTGGATCGGGATGATTTCTCACCAGGAAGATATAAGTTACATTACGATGTTGATCGATATTTTGAAGTTAAAAAACAAACGTCTTTATATCCATTCATAGAAGTAAGTTAGAAAAATTAAAAATTTATTAATAATAATTTTTAATTTGATTTTTAGATTGTTTTTGATTGCATCAATCATACTGACCATTATCATGTGCCTCTTTTATTGAGTCCATATGGATACACAACCTACAGAGGTACATAAAAAGATTCTTTTTTTATCTAATTTTTTTTTTTAATCATTGAATTGTTTATTAAGGAGTTGTTAATTTTTTCTTATTAGACTACGTATTTTCTAAGGCGAATAATAAACTGTAATTTTTCTTTCTGTATGAATAAAAGTACTGGATATAATTCATTTTGATGTTTTATTTTTTTCCACAAATTAAATTCACAATTACAACACTCAACAAAAAAACGAACACACTACTTGTATCATATTATGCATCATTTTTGATTACATTTAATTTAAAATTCTCTGTTTAAGGTAACATAGATGAGTTGAAGATGTATTTAAATTTTTTTAATAATGAAATTGATGATTGAATTTACTCCATTTTGATTTTTATTTAAATTTTACATGAAAATATCTATTTTTTGGGAATTTTCGTTTTTTAATATCCGGGCGGACAATTTTTCAACACAGCCTAACGCTTAGGATTTACAGATTTATTATTTTAGCTCCAACTCTTCCTTAAAAAATTAATAATATAGTTATTAAATTAATGTTCTTGGTTTAAACACTTTCTAATGAGAAGAAAGTGTTTTAAAAACGCAAAGAAAAGTTGGAGCTAACCATTTGAAAAATTTTTAGCAAAATATTACGTTAAAACCGCTTCTTTACAATATTAAGTTAAGCCTTAAAGCTTTAAAAGAATTAAAACATTTTTTTCTTGTTAAAAATATTTAAATATTCGAGCAGACAGGTACAAATACAGTTGATATGGATTATAATTCAGCTAATTCGTAGTTAATATAATTTCGTTATCTCAATAAAGAAGAAACTAAAAGTTAATATTAGCATCTCCCAGTAGTTTGTAAACAAGCGAATTGAGATATAGAGAGACTAATATAAATTATACATTTTCTATTTCTAGGCTGCTCTATGTATATGTACACAATACATGATACAGATACACAATACAGATAAAACCGAAAATAAAATATCAAAACAACTTTTCAGTTGATGGTTGGTTCATGAAGGTTAGCTCCAAAATTATGCTTAATATCAACATGAATTGCTGCCCCATGCTTGTTTTATTTGTTAATTAACTAATTTGCTTTGTACAGGGTGGGCCAAATTGGACACTTTTAAAGTTATAGCCAAAAAAATCAAATTTTAGCGATTTCAAAAAATGCTCATATTTCGTTTATTTTTGAAATTATAGAAGTGGGGTTAATACATTCCTAAGACACTTTTTTGAGTAGAATATACTGCCGTTGAAAAATTTTAAACATAGCTGATAATTTTTGAGATATAATATAAAGTTCTATTTTTTTAAATACAAACTATAGTTGATTATAATATTACAGAAAAGAGCATATTTTTCCATCAAATTTTACCTAAAAAGTTGCTTTGGAAATGTTTTCACAAAAAGGAAGATTTATCAATAAGAAAAAAGTTATGACGACTTTTCTAAAATACACTTTTTTGAAAAACATCCTGTATCTCTGAAACCGTAAGAGATATAGATATGCGGTTTTCGCCATTAAGTTTCTTATAAAAATCGAGCCTCAGACACTGATGTCATTTTTCCTGTATCTCTTATAGAAATAAGAGTTTCCCTTTAAAAGTGCCCAATTTGGCCCACCCATGTACAATCATAAGAGAACTTTCCATTGAAAAAGTGCTTTGAAGTAGTTATATCACCGAAAATTTGTAGAGTTTCGCAACCTTGGGGTGGGAATCATATTTCTTAAACATAGTACATCTACCCAGACAATGTCTCCAGATAATTGAAAGAAGGAATTCCGAAAATTGGCATTTACAAGCAATTATGGTGACAGAATAGAATTAAATTTTCAAAGTCCACAACATAGTAAATAATATATCAGAAGATATCAGGTGCAAATGTTAGAGTAAGTTATATTTTCATAATTTTATATAAATTTTTCTACTAAAATTAATTATTTGCAGCGTTATCGATCATATTTCTCTTCTTCTCATATCTGGTGGGCAACAAAAAAAATGATTTGACTATGAGTGCAAGCTACCTCGTACGTACTGGTTCAACCACTGAGCTTACTAACAGCAAAGTTTGTACTCTCAATTCAATCCTTCAAAATCACCCAATTCAAAATAAAACGCGCCACATTTCTTGGCTACTATGTACTTCAAACAAATCTCGTGAAAAGATTTGTAAGCTGTTCCTTCCACAGAATTTTCGTTAAATTAAGATTAAAATCGCTTGGCGTGTCTTCCAATTAAAGTCCCCGATAACTTCACATAAAACTGGAGAATTTTTTTCGAACGTTGTGAAAAAGGATTCAGAAAGAAGACGTATATGACGCATGATGAGAAGAAATAAAGCACCGCGAAACTAATGTTGAAGCCTAGCAAAAGGGAACCACGTTAAACAAAATATCACAAAAGAAGGCGGTTGTAGGGCAAAAATTTAACCCAATGAAGGCTTTGGTGTCCAAAGCGATAGAGAGCAATGCTGACGTTGACGTTTTGCATAAAATACGTAGTGGTACAAAATCAGAATGCATTGAAATAGTTGAATTAGTTTGCTAAGGCAGAACGCAAAAGATAAGATCGCTTTTGACAATAAAATCTGACAAGTTGATAATAGTATTAATATTACATTTATTACATCTTGATTGTCTTACTGTCTCCGACGAAGTTGAGCCCACCTATGAGAACATATAAAGACACTAAAAAAATGAAACCCGTACAGAACTCAACGTTATCCAAGCGAACTTACACCGCAGCAGCCAACAATATACATATTGAGAAGAGCCTGAATGGTTAGCAGATACCCTTGGCACTGTTGTGATCTGAGTTCTTAACTATTACTTCTACAATATAAAAATCAGAGAATATGAGGCGACAGAAAATCACATCTGGGTTTAAATAGAACACATCGCGTTTGTTTATTGCGTTGTATGGTGAAAATCATTTTATGTTGAAGTTAAGCATTAGAAGAATCTGAAGTAATGTCCAAAAAAGTAATGGGCGGTTTGGATGCGGAGGAGGCATCTGAACGCGGTCGGATATACCACATATGAGTTTAAGGTTAGGAGATCACTACAGATTTCTCATGTTCTCTATAGAAAATCAGTTGTGAAAAGTAGTACAAGTACATGGTAAATAAGCCATATAAAAAGGGTAAAATATCCTATAAAAGGAGGACTAACGAAACCCCACAAACTTTAAAAATAACCAAATAACCTGGATAGGGTTTATTATTATAAACGTATTTGTGACATCGCCGTCGAACTGAATATCTCAATGAACTCTATTTGAAGAGAGAAAAATTAGGCGATATCATAATAAGGAAAATTTGTTAAATTAGAATCTATTAAGAAAAGTATGTAGTTTAATTTTAACAGAAAGAGCGATTTGTTTTTTGGACCTTTCCATTTCATCTTAAGTTATTGAATTAAACACGTACTTTTTTGCAAATATTTAGCAACAATCCTTTTTCAAAACATCGGAATTTTTGCTAAAAATTACCATTGTCACGATATGTATTATATTATAGGACATGAAACATGTAGAGTGATTCGGAACGATTTTGAAAAAGTACATAAGAATGTACACAAGATTAAAGCCATTTGAGATAGCTCCAGCACCTAATATTCCAAATGAAAAATATTCTTCAAAGATTGAAGGGAGTAGACATTCTAGCAGATGATATAATTATTTTCGGATGCAATAAAGACGGAAGTGAAGTATCACATTAAAAATTTAGAAAAGCTATTGTTATGATTGTGTAAGATAAACTAAAAAAAGTTAATCTTTTATGAAATACGCTATTAATTAGAATCTAAAAATAAAAATCAAATATAAAACTAAAAATCAAATAAAATCTTCCAACAACTCCATAAAAATAATGGAGGACAACGAACATTGATCTAAGGATGTCCTAGAGTTTATGCAATGACGAGGATGCTATGTCGAAAAGTTGATAAAATCAAATTCAAGATGTGTCTCAAGGTGGCAAAGCGAGGAATGCAGCCACAAGGATATAAAGGAAATAAATTTAATTAACAAGGATATAAAGTTTACCTATACCATGCGACTCTGGAACTTTTAAGTAGTATTAAGAGATGTGTATAGATCGACTGTGCGGGGAAAGGTTACTTATTAACATCCGGTTGTTTCTGTCGGAAACGGGCGCAGACTAATATGAACCAGCTCTGCGAAAAGGCAGTCTCTATCATGGTCAGCTCCAGATAATAAAAAAGAAAATTTGGTAGTTTTTGTCTTAAAAGAAGCAAGTTGCATCGGATTTTCAGTACTCAGCTACTCCCGAACGGTGATAGTTGCGGCTTTGATAAAGCTTGACCAAGAATATTTGACAAAAAATCCTGTCAAAAGCTGTTAACGATAGCTTGTGTATTAGAAAAGGAAATCCACAGCTGAAATAAGTAATGGAGATATAATAGAATATGTATAAAAGAATCGAATATCTCCCTAAAGTAACATTTTATAATCAGACAGAACTTTACTTTAATACTTCAGTCTGCAGTACTAAAAAAAAGTCATTTAAAGCGATTGTATGTTACTGCTAAGTAGAGATTTTGTAGATAGAAAAGCTGATTTTTACGTCTAATGAACGGTCTCGCTGAGACACCTATATACTGGATTAATTATTTGTGAAATCAATTGTAAGTAGCAAAATTCGTTTACAATTTGATCTGTAAGCCTACTCAAAGTTTTTATACCTAGCTGTCTCAAAGCGACGAATTTTTTGTTATTAGAAAATGAGAATAAATCGATGTGGCAGACAAAATTGGACAATAAATGAGTAGAAAGCATAATTGGAGTAACTGTAACATGATATCTCCAACCATAAACTCAAAAATTATAAAAAAACAATAAAAAAATTAACATATAAAAATAAAATAAGATAAAAATATAAAATATATAAAACGAAAAACATACTATCTTAAAATCCAATAGATAATTATATCTTTTGTGAATAAAAAAATCTGTTAAGTTTAAATTCATAATATAACCAGTAAAGTTTAAAATTACTAAAAAAATAAAACCCGTGTTGTTAATTAAAAAAAATTAAACCTAATCATATTTTACAACAAAGAACACAACATTAGCTATTTTCCACGAGATTCTCCAATAACAATATTCCGAAATTGTTTAAACATACTCCCTTTCGCCAAACCGACTTTAGCTCCTTTTCTCAAATCGGGATTGGGTCCAAACGATTTATAGTCACGATTCGATAAATTATTTTTATTTGGTCCTTTTGCTAAACCTTTTTTTGGTCCACACCGAAGATTCTCATTCGGCCCATCCCATGGAGCATAATCTAATCTAAAACAAGATTTATTTATTTTAGAATATTAAAATAAAGAAAGTTATAAATATTATTATAAACTAACAGTAATAATTCATCCTTTGGTCCCTTAGCATAATTTGGATTTGCACCTAAAGCCATTTTATTACAATTTTCTTCAACAAAAATTCTCAGAATATTTTTATCTTTAGAGGGCACTTCCGATTTTTCCGCTATCAACGATTTAAATGAATGCCGACTTTGTGATATTGGAATATTAATTTGTGGTTGTAGCGAAGATGGTTCCTCTTCTAAAGAATCTACGGTATCTTTGATTTCAGTGTTTTCCTCTTTATTATCAGCATCTTCTTGCACCATTATTTGCAAAATTTGGCAGGCTTTAGTTTCGTCATATTCGACACTTTCTAATGCTATTGTTATTACTTGTTCTGTTATATCTTTGTATTGTTCTTGAAGACTTATTTTAACTGAAAAAAGAAAGTTAAGTAGGGTATGTCAAAATAGCGCCATCTTTTAGACGGGGAAATAAATTATTATATTTATATTTACTTCGATCTTTTTCTTCTGGTGTTTTTATTTTAGGTATCAAAAGAATTTCAATTGTTTCAACGGCTTCGTTTTGTCTTGCTTTTTCTTCCTCTTCCCGTTTTGCTTCAGCTTCTTGTTGTTGTAATAATTTAACTGGATCTCTTCGTTCATAACCCATCCCTTTTAAAGTATCCGATGCTTTTTGAATGTTATTTTCGTTACTTGTTAAAACATCCAATATAACAGTTTCTTCGGCTTTTGGAAAAATTGATTTCATGTACCTTTAAATAAAAATATAATAACAAGATTATAATTAAGCTGCTTAAAATAAATCAAAAACCATTTAATTTTACCACAACAACAAATAAAATATAAAATAACTACAAAAATTTAATGTTCTAGCATGCTCCAACAAGATTCCAAGTAGGGGATGGTTGAAACAAAAGATTCTGGGGCTATAACAAAATTATTTTAAGCGAAAAGAACCTTAGTTTTAGCTTCGGTGAAGAATGTGGTCGATTTCGAGGATGATCGTTTACTCTGGGACTCTCTAACGTAGCCCCAAATGAGCCAAACCTAGTGATGGGACTACCACCTCGCGATGAATAACTGCGAACTCCCAAAGGTGGCGTCATCTGTAAAGAAGGATGAATTCCCGGAAAAATACTCCGAGCCGGTGGCGGAGTCGCGAAAGGCCCGGGGGTTGCAATCGGATGCTTTTCAACCTGCAAAGCACTTATTACCACTGCTTCACGATTGTGATACCTAAAAGAAAGTTTTTAGTGTAAAGTTATATTTACAGTGAGATTTTAATAAAAAAAAAAATTGTTGCGGGAATCCATGTTGCAAGTTTACGATATAATAATATAAAAATTATATGAAACAAATGTAATTTAAAAAACTTTTTACTTGCTTATTAAATATTTATTGGTACCGGTTTCGAAAATTAATTCATCATCAGCCAAAATCTATTTAAGTGGAAACATAATTATCTAATTAAAATTTACTTAAATTTATTTATTAATTTTATAATTTACCGTTATACAGAGGGTGTGTCAAATGTCTGGAATATAGCCAATAACTTCACCATTTATGGTTTTAAAGGAAAATGTTTCAAATACAAGATCCTTTATTAATCGTGGTGCATCTTTTGGCAAGATTTGCTTGTTTGTATTGTTTTTTGTTTCGTTGCTATGACAACCAACATAATTATTTTAAATGGGATGCATATGTTTTCTTTGCATACTTTGATAGAGGATAAATCCCTCTATGGGATGAACATATCAAACCATGGTTGTATAAGAAAAAAATTGAGAAGAAATGCGTTTTCTGAAAATATTAAATCAGCAAATTACAATCAAAGTAGGCGCCGAAATATCGCCGTTGACAGCTTTATATGTCAAAAATTGACAGTTTGAACAATTATGAATAATTAATGACGTATGAGGCCCTTGATACACTCATTAATACCCTTAATTCAAGGGTATTAATTGGTAGCAAATTGAACTCAATTGAGGCATTTCAAAGGGTTGATTAAGGGTAATGGTACCCTAAATTTTGACAGATTTTTTTAACTTTTCGGCGGATTTAATACATTACTACTTCACTTCATGTGGAATTTCATTCTAAAACTTTTCTTACTCTTATTATTTTTTAACAAACTTTGTCGTTTTCATAAAAAACTTAAATAACTAAAGACACGTATTTCGTAATGTTATTTAAAATAAGCGAAAATTTAGTAGTCGGCTATGAAATTGTACGTCAAACTTGACAAATAGGTTATAAAGTTATTTGAGGACAAGGTTTTAACAACATTTTTTATGCACCTTTTCTTTTTGAATAACGAAAGCTCAAACGTCAGTGTGACATATCTATTTAAAAACATGATAAAACAAATCTCTCTGTTAATTTTGCCAACTTTACAACAATTGCACAGGTGTTATAGAAAAAAAATGAACTATACAGGGTCTCAGCGAGACCGGTCATTAGACGTTTCTCAGGTTCTGACCAAAATAAAAATTTGAAAATTCAGACTTAAGTATTATCAATTGCGTTCTCTTCGACTAAAATATTTGCAGATTTCTAGCACTTCCGGTTATACCGGAAGTCGCCACCTACTTTATTTTTTTAAATAGAACAACCTGTATATTTTTACATATTTGGATTTATCTGTTCTCAAGGTTTATAAATAACTTTCCTTTTTGCAATTTAATTCAGCCGTTCTCCAGTTATTCGAATTTTAAAAAACCTGCATTCCGTGCACGTTTTGATAAATTCCCCAATATGAGAGAAACTACAATAAATAAGTATAGGAATGTTTATAGACAATTTGTAGAGAATTAAATTCCCTTTCTGGTAGGTTAAAAAAATATGGGGCGTTCCATTTAAAATTTTCTCGCCATTGAAAACGGTAATTTAATTTTTGACCACCTGTGTAAGATACTCTGATACCACAAATGACAATCTATTTGACAGCATCTGAAGAGTAATGGTGCCAATTTAGAACTTTTTTGAATGAACGTTAGCTAAGATATGGGGTTTTAAAGAAACTTGAAATTTTCCAAAAAAAGCTTAAAACCAAAATAACTCGAAAATGAAAAACGCGAAATAACTTTTATCAAAGTCAACATTTTTTTTACGGACCGGAAGTGGCAGCTATCTTACACTGACAGCTATCAACAACCCATGCTAGCGAAATTTTATACCTCTACGAGTAGTGAAACCTGAAAAAGTGCTAACGAACTAGTTACATGAGACACCTGTATAGAAAAACCTTAGGAAACAATATTTACAAACCTATTTCGTTTAAATGATACATCTCAACAATCGTAAAAGATTTTTTCAAAACTTGATGTAACAACATTAGCATTTAGCAATAAGAATTCAATACTTAATTTGTTATCTACCCAGCACTTAAACAATAAAAAAACTAAACTGCACAGAGTGCAACAGTACATACAGGTGTGTCAAATATAACCAATAACTTCGCCATTAAAATTTGTGGTTTTAAAGAAAAATGTTTCAAATAGAAGTTTCTTTATTAATCGGGGCGCATTTTTTGGCGATATTTGTTTGTTTGTATTGTTTTCTGTTTCGTTGCTATGGCAACCAACATTGTTATTTTTTAAATGGAATGCATATATTTTTTTGCATACTTTGATAGAGGATAAATCCCTCTATGCGATCAACATATCAAATTATATCGTTGTATAAGAAAAAATTGAGAAAAAATGGGTTTTCTGAAAATATTAAATCAGCAAATTACAATCAAAGTAGGCGCTAGTAGTACAATTTACCAAAATTTCAACAAAGTCTTTCAAAGTATAACTTTTTGTTCAAAACCCTTTCTCCTTCAACTTATAGTCCTCTAAAGTTAAGGGGGAAAATCTGCAACTTTCTATCTCTTGACAGAGTGCAACAATTAACAAATTGTTAGTTTGATCACAAAAAATAAAATAATGCTGAGATCAATTATTTAAGATAATTTAATTTCTTTGACTAATAATAACCAATCTCTAAATTAATTCACTTGAGCTTGTGTATTATTTTATTTTTTTGTGATCAAACTAACAATTTTAGGAAAAAATGTCAAGAGACAAAAAAGTTGCGTATTGTTGTGAAAGTTGCTTTACTGCTCCAGTTAGAATTTGTCTATTGAATCTTTTTGCTAATAATTCGTAAACGATGCGTCTAAACAAAAATTTTTAAGAGTGAAAATAATTTTAAAATGAAATGGCTTTTAGAATCAGTTGTAAAATTTAAGGCTTTATGACATAATAAAAAAGTTTTAAGGAAATAACCTTTGTGAACAACCTGTATAGCATTGATCCAAGGTTGCATATTTTCAAAAGTGGTCTTAAACGATTTTTCATGCTAAAATTGAACTGTTTACCAAATTTTATCTTTCTAAACCAACCCATATTGAAAATATTTAAGAATTTCTTAACTTTGAATGCCCATATCTTAACCATTTATGAGTTTAGATCAAAAATTTTTACATGAATCATCATTTTAACTTTTGTATTTGTGATTAAAATTATGCTATAACTTACAGGAACACCTGTATATTTATGTATGTAGTTTTGCAAAGTAATTCTTTTTATTTTCTTTTGATATTATGTAACTGGTTTACTCTGTCATTGTATTTTCATTGTAATTTTTCACTATTGTGTGATATCTCATTCGTTTATATATTTTAATTCGTTTGTGACTCTGCTTGTTTTAAATTGTTGTTAGTGATTCATGTGTATATTTTTAGATTAACTTTTTCATCTTTTACATAAAATTGACGTAAATTATATATTTATAACGGTAAATATTTTAATTAGATGAATTAATTGATGAATTAATTTTGGAAACTAGTACCAATAAATATTTAATAAGCAAGTAAGAAGTTTTTTAAATTATTTTTTTATATAATTAAAGAAAAACATGACCTAAAAAAGAAGATTTAATTGCTTTAATTAATTTACTAACTTTTTTAAAAGTAGCCGAATGTGAGTATCAGAAACTGTGGGAAACATTGAACTTATTTTTGCCACAGATTCATCAGTTTCTTGTGAAATGGTCAACGTTGATTCTTGCGTTTGTTGAGGTCGTAATGAAGTATTATTACGAGATGGTTTTACATCCTAAAATATTAATAAAACATTTATTTAAAATAAAAATTTTTTGATAACAACCAAGCCCCAATTAGAAAGCACATTTTGTTAAATAACACCTTTGTACCTTTAGGGGAATATATTTAGGGCTGTGACCAGATATTTGAAATGCTGGTTTAGGAGAAGGTTGGCTGGGATAAATGTAATTTCTTCTAGTGTCAGGGGTTCCATGCTATCAGGGTGCCAAATCCAAGCAGCATAAAGAGGAAACGAAAATATTTTAGAAATCATCAACAAAAATGGTGAACGTTAACACACCAAGAAAACATTTAATATAATTTTTATCTTAAGTACCTGTAAAGGGATGTATTCACCATTTCCTCGATGTTTATTTCTTGGATCTTCCCAAGTAGTAGTTTTGGTATGGTGATTGATATAGTATCTAATAACAAAGATAATGTAATTAAATTAACAAAAATAAAAACTAAATTTACCTCTTTCCAGTTAATCTATCTACTTTTGTATCCCAACCGGGAGGTAAATTATTAAGTTCCGTCATTATTAGTTAATAATAATTAAGAAAATCTTTCAAAACAGCGTGTTTGTTGAGATTTTTCCATAAACCCAGTCCATGTATTGATTTGTTTGAAAGCCACTTGACAAAATTAAAATTAACGCATGCGCACAAATTCTACAATAAATTATTTAATTATTCCAACATTTATTTCTAAATTTATTAATCATCGCTATTTATAAATTAAATCCAACAAAAACATTCTAAATTCTCAAATAAAATAATATCTAAAAACAATCTCTTTTTAACTTTAAACGTTTGCTTATAGCGTCATCTCATTCTAATGTTGCGATCAAAAAGTTATCCGTACCATTTCCACGTTTAAAAAAAGTTTTAGCTTGTCAATTTTGACAGTTGTCTTAAAAAAAATTGTTCAACTCAAAATAATTCGTAAAGTGAAAAGATAAGATTTAAAATAAATTATGACTGAATCAGCGGGTAATTGGTGTTTGATTGAAAGCGATCCAGGTGTTTTCACCGAATTAATAAAAGAATTCGGTAAGATTCCGATTACTTTAACATGTTTAGTCACCGTGCGGTAACATAACCTATAAACCATTAAAAATTATGCTTACAAATTTGTTTTCTTAATTTTAGGTGTTAAAGGAGTCCAGGTGGAAGAATTATGGAGTTTAGATGGCGAACAATTTGAAAATATCAAGTAATTTTCTTATAATAATCATTAATCCTCAAATTAACTAAAATAATAATTGTGATTTTAGGCCTATATTAGGTTTAATATTCTTGTTTAAATGGGCTAAGGACGACGAACCGAGTGGATCGATTGTTCAAGATAATAGATTACAGAAAATATTTTTTGCAAAACAAGTAATTGAAAATGCATGTGCCACCCAAGCCATTTTAAGTGTACTTTTAAATACAAATTATAAAGAAATGCAACTTGGCACAACTTTATCAGAATTAAAAGAATTTTGTCAAAGTTTTGATGCTACGATGAAAGGTTTAACTATAAGTAACAGCCCTGTAATTAGAACTGTCCACAACTCGTTTGCCAGGCAACAAATTTTTGAATTCGATCCCTTTGTAACTCCCAAAAATGAAGATGTTTTTCATTTTGTTAGTTACATTCCAATTGATGGTCGTTTATATGAATTAGATGGTCTTAAATCTGGTCCTATTGATTTAGGCAGTATAGCTGCTAACACGGAATGGACAGATGTTGTTAGACCGATTATTGAAAAACGTATTCAAAAATACAGTGAAGGTGAAATTCATTTTAATTTAATGGCGATCGTTGCTGATAGAAAAATGATTTATACAAAACAAATGGAAGACGTTCAAAGGCAAATCGAAGAAAGCGGTATGGAAACGGACGCTCAACAAGCGGATATAGCTAGGTTAAAATATTTAATTGAAGAAGAAGACAGTAAAATGCGCCGATATCAAATTGAAAATATCCGCAGAAAACATAATTATTTGCCCTTGATAATGGAACTATTAAAATTATTGGCTAAAGAGGGAAAGTTGATGTCCGTTTACGAAAAAGCCAAGGAACAATCGATCAAAAAACAAAAGCAAAAAGTCGCGAAAAGTTCTTCTTAGTTTTAAGGTTGGAGAATAAAATAAATGCGTTTGTACAATTTTTAAATGTTTGTAGTAATAAACAAACATTTTATTGTATTTTATTATTAGTTTATTTTCATAATCAGTTTATACCTATAAAGTAAAGATTAATTTTTATTTTCAGTATCACATCATATCTACATTGTTTGAGGTTAATTCTTCATAACGTTTTAAAATCGACGCTTTTGGACGTCGAAGAATATATTCCAAAGCAGCCAATTTTGTTTTGTTCAATTTGTTAGCGCAATTTAAAACGACAGCGTCTTCTTCTTGTGTAAATCTTAAAAAAAACGCATCAATTAACTCAGCTCTTCATAAAAAAAAATTAGTTATTACTTTCCCATTTTTCTTTTCGCCATCAAGTTTTTAAATCTTAAATATATTGAACATAATGGTCTTTGATCCAAACCTTTTCCAATAAATTGAAGGAATTTGACCTTTTGCGTTGGTGTAAGCAAACTACGTTTATTTGACGAAAGTTTTAAAAAGGGTGAAGGATTGTTTTCTAAGTTATGTACCTTAAATTAAAAAAAAGAAATTAATTATTAAAAGTTAATGAGGATAAAGAACCTTATTACTTCACAAAATCGACTGAAATTGGTGTAAATTAAAAAATCTTCTTTTGATGAATAATGATCTTTCAAGATTTCAATATTTTTTTCGTTCAATACATCTTGTTGGTGTTTTGTAATCAATCCTCTTGAAATTCTTGTTGTTACTTTATGAAGTTCGGGAACTTCAAAATCTATTTTTATTTGTAATCCTCTTATCGTCTGTAATACAAAAAAATAAATACATTTAAATTACGCTTTATCCTGCAATGTAAGTGTTGAAATCATCTAACTACATTGTATGTTTACTATCAACATACTGTGAAGAGATAGTAGGCAAGTACCAAAGTGACTTTTGTAAAGGAAAATCAACTGTTGACCAAATCTTCCTTCTTAGGCAGGCCCTAGAAAATACCTACATATTTACAGATTTTAAAAGTGCCTATGGTAGTGTAGATAGAAGGTCACTATGTAACACAATGATAGAATTTAATATCCCAATATATTTAATAAAATTAGTAAAAGCAACGTTCTCACAAATTGTATGTAAAATGAAGGTCCAAAATAATTTATCAAGATCCTTTCAGACAGATGTAGGGCTACGCCAGGGGGACAGCATATCATGCCTACTATTTAACATCGCTCTGGAGAAGGTTGTAAGAGAATCGGGTTTAGCAAATATGATATAATATGATTAAATAGATATAATAGCTAGAACAAGAAGGAACCTCATAGAGGCCTTCAAAGCACTGGAAGGGGTAGCAGGGAGTCAAAGGCTACAAATAAATACGTCAAAAACAAAATATATGAAGGTTACTAATAAGTGGTCAGCTAACCCCACCTGAAGATCTAATTAGTGAACCATACACGTTCAAAGGAGTGAAGGAATGAATATACCTTGGAACACAGGTAAATGAAAATAACATAATGTCTGCAGAAATTAGGAGAAGACTAAATATGGCTAATAGAACTTACTTTGGACTAAGAAAACTACTAATGCCAGGCGTAGTAACCTACAAAACTAATGTACTAATATACAAAACGCTTATAAGACCACGTATGCGTCAGCAACATAGAGGTTGATAAAAAATGACGAAAACTTGTTGGGCTGCTTTGAAAGAAAGATACTCTGCCACATATACAGGGGTGTTCTGGAAAACGGAATATGGAGAAAGCGTTACAATTTTGAGTTGTACCGGCTCTATGAAGAACTGAATAATGTCAATTGTCAATATTGCCATCTAGAAAGGATGGATGACAGGGAACCCCCGAAGCAAATATTCCGCCAAACAGTTTTTAAAACCCGTAAGAGAGGCAGGACTAGAAGCATATATGTATAAGGGCCAGGTGGAAGAAAGTCTAAAAATGCTGGGAGTTGGAAATTGGAAGGCCAAGGCACGAGATAGAAGAGAGTAGAAGCTGATCTTAGAACAGGCCAAGAGCCACCAGGGGATAATGATAAAGTATGTTTCCCAAGTATTGCTGTTGAGGAATCCTATAAGATATATATGCTGCGATAACTGTATAAGTCGAAAGGCACCTTAACAAAAAGAATAGTACTAGAAAATAGAAGGGAACATTTCAGGCACAATAAATATGGATACACTACTAATTGGAAAAAAAATTTGGAAGAAAATCATAAGCACAAAGCCCCCGCAAAGATATGCACAGAACGGAGAGTGGTACAAATCGGCATAAATTTTGACAAGAAGCGAAGAAGAATCTTTGTTACTCGTCCCATTTTATGAGTTTCAAAAATTAACGAACTCATTCGGACTTCTGTACCAGGTGGAGATAAAATAATTTGTTAGATGTTCCCAAAATTAATCAGTCAACAACACACATATAATATGAGTATCTCTTTCACATTTTTTTTAAATATAGAACGTTGTTTTTGGGCAATATTTGCTTCTTATTAAAGCAACAGGTAAGAAACTAGCTTAGGATCTTAACAGAGTCTTCATTCAATGTGTAGTTGAGAAGGGTTTCTGTCTTTTTTGTTTATTGTTGTTAAGCACAACTGCTTTTTCCTAAACGTTACATCCTTGTCTAAAAGTTCTAATTGTTATATGTACAGTGCGTTTCAAAAGTAACGGATACACTCGGTAAAATTATTATAAACAATTTATGAAAAAATCGCTGAAACGGGTCTAAAGATTTAAATTTTTTGCATTACAAATTTTCGAGAAAAATTAATTTAAAGTTTCATTATTTCCCAATCGTTTGATATAAAAAATAGTAGTAGCCGTGCGTAACCATGGCAACCAATTGTTTTGATTTAAAATTTTCAAGTGTCAAAATTCGATTTGAAACAGTTTATTGTGCGTTAATGAGATTATTTTGAGTAGTATTGTGGAGTTTCTTGTGTTAATTGTTGTTATTCGTTGTTATTTGTTGCTATTCATCGTTATTCGTTGTTATTTGAACAATCGAAATTCTTATGATGATTGGTTTCGGAAATAGAGTCCGAACGTAATTAAGTCAAATTTTTTCACCCTCAACCAGAACAGAACTTCGTAAATTTTCTAGGGGTTAATGACGATCCAACCTTGAGCCATGGTACAGCAACAGTTTGAGTTATATTTTTTGCCCACGACACTTAATTACATGAGGAAAGGAGTGCATCAGTTTGAGGCATAGTTTTTTATAACCGAAAATTTTAGTACTTCAGTATTTGATTTAGCCTCAACCTTTCTACGTATGCTTTCCACAAATTCTGGTGGTGGTATTTTCGTCCATTCGGGTTGGAAATGACAAGTTCTTTTAGCGATTTTGGACGGTTGTTGCACACCTCGACCCGGCAATCCAATTCGTTTCAGAGGTCTTTGATGGGGCTCAGGTCAGTGATACGGGTAGGCGAGTTAATTTGAGTAACCCCGTTGTTATTGTACCAATCGATATTGAACCTCGCAACAGGACTGCTAGCGTTATTATCCTGAATGTAACATGGGTCCACTCTGTAAAACAGTCAGAATGTAGGAAGCACATTGTTATCTATAATTATGCAGTAGGCGTTGGCGTAGTAGCATTGGAGAAACACCACAACATCAGACCATAATCTCACCTCCGCCGTATTTTACTATTGCCGAATTTTGGAGGCAGAGTTCTCCAGGCTGACTCCAGGTCCTGTCATCCCAACGGTAGAGGCTGAACCTCGTTCCACTGATCTACTGTTTATTTCACAGTCTGGTGCATAGACCGCGCCAAATTGGGAATTGACGCTAATTAAGAGAATGAAGCATATATCGTATTGTTGGCAACCGGAAACAATAGAGTATGTACAGCAAATAGGTATGAATTATGAAAGGTAAGGAACGTCCCAGAAGAGCAAACGGTGGTCGAACAAGAACAAATGAGATGCAGGACCGCCATCTTCAACTTATGGATACCAGAGACTGATTCTCAAGATCAATTATCAATCAATGGCTAAATAACAAAGGTCGTTCTGTAACTCTGCTAACGGTTTACCTCAAAACCAACAGCAACATTTATTGAGCAGCGATATGTGAATGAGACAGAACGCAACTTCATTTCATTTCTTCAGCAAGGTGTTCTATAAATTGTATGCAGAAGATGGAACTTGCTACATTCTCTGAAAGCTCTACAGTACGTTTATTGTTATTTTTTAATGTACAGTGTAGATTATAAAAAGAAATCGTTATAAGCCACATTATTTGGCTTATATTATACAAAAAAGATTTTAAGTTAATATTTTAAAGCAATATTACTTACATCATAACGTGATGATGAGGTATTCATATGAAACTGAGCTTCTGAAATAGCATCAATAAATTCATTGCTAACTTCATCCGGTTCTATATCACTATTATTACTTGACGATGATTCTTCGATGATTTTTCGACGATTCGTCTTTGTCGTATGAATCGTATCTAAACATTTCATTACTAAAGATGTTCGAATATCAAGTGAAGATTGTTTAGAAGAGCAACCATTAGAAGAATTAGAACTTAAATTAGATATATTAGAATTTAAATTTGAAATTCGTTTTTCTCCAAAATCTTGATCACTTGTATCACCATTTTCACTTGTTGAGTCATTTGAATCGGTATTTTTAATAATAAGATATTTCTTTTTATTATCCTTTTTGATTTTCTTTTGTGGTCCAGGGGTTAATTTTCTTTTTTCTGAACGACATTTACTTTCATTTGAACTAAAAGAATCTTTTTTAAATCTTTTGGAATCTCTCGAATTATTCAATTGCTTCTTTTTTCTTTTTCCAAATTTCCTTTCTAAAACTCGTTCAACTGCTTTTTCAATTAAACGAATCATTTTTTCATCAGCAACAGATTCATTTGAACTTGATTCATCAACAGAATCTTCGAAAATGTTTCTATTTGAAGGTAATTTTTTAGATTTTTTCTTAATAACAGTTTGTTTTGGGGATGATTTAAATTTTTTCGAAACATCCGATTCATAACTTTTTCTTTTAATCGTTTCATCTGATTCCAATTCATTGGTTTCGTTTACTTCAGAAATTTCTTCACCACAATTAACAAATAAAGATTCACCAAATTCATTTCCTATATATTCCGAAACGGTCGTTTCTGGAATAAGTAAACTAATACTTGTATTTGTAACAACATCTTCATTTATATCAGAATTATTAGCTTCTAATTGATTGGTAATCGCATCGTTTAAAATTTCAGCTTGTTTAGCAATTATTGCGTCTTCAATCATATTTTTTCGTTTATGCTTTGTTATACAAACTTCATTTTCTTGATCAAAAATTTCTTGGGAAGTTATCTCAGGAAATGAAATTGTTTCTTTTGATTTATTTGAATCGTTTTCTGGTTTACTTTCTCTATTAAGATCATCGGAGTTTTTTGAATTTGTTAAATAATTTAAGATAGAATTTTCTTTATCGTTTTTCTTACTTTTATCTCGTGGTGTCAAAAAATCTAAATTTATTTTAATTTTTTTAACGTCCTTTTTAGGAGATGATGGTTTTTTACGTTTTTTTAATACATTTTCATCATCAAGTGACTTATTTAATTCTTCTTTTTCTGATTTAATTAAAGAACTTTCATCATTTTCAACATTTATATTTTCTGATTTATCTAAAGATGTTTTAGATTTTAATCTTGGCGATTTTCTTGGAGATACATGAACATTATTTTTTTTGATGGCTTCAGTTTGTCCAATTAAATCTGGATTTATATTTTTAACGTTTGCAATATTTACAGATTCGCAACGAATTTCATCTTGTTGACTTAAATTTTCTTTCCCATCCTTTTCTACATCATCAGAAGATTTAAGTTTTTTAAGGCTCAATTTTTTTATAATGGTAGGTTGTTTTATTCTTGGGGATCTTCTGTTTGGAACAACTTTTCTTTCCAATTCATTCCCAATTTGTACATTTTCTTTACTTTGTAATTTCTTTTCTAATTCCACCACGTCTTCATTCTTTAAATCTTGATTTGATTCATGATCTTTATTATTTGGTTCTTGATTCATTGAAGAACTCGATGTAATTTTATCACTTTCTGATGTTAATTTAGGCGTTATTGGTGTCGAAATATCTTTCTTTTTAATACTTTTCTCTAAATCATCACAATTTCCAACGGATTTTGATGTCTCATCTTTCTCATAAGAAACTTTATCTTCCGGATTTTTAGGAGAAATCAGTTCATGTTGATTACTTAAAAATGTATCTAAATTATTTTCCTTTTCATCAATCTTTGCTGCTTTTATCCCTTTCTTTTTAACACCTCCCTTAATTCTTTTATCTTTTTTAGATTCATCAACACTCTCAATAACATCAATAATTTCTTGAGTAGAAATTTCATTACAACTTTTCTCTCCCTGATCTTTTGGAGAAATCAATTCGTCTTGACTACTTTTTGGTGTTGATGTCAAAAATGTATCTAAATTATTTTCCTTTTCATCAATCTTTGCTGCTTTTAACCCTTTCTTTTTAACACTTCCCTTAATTCTTTTATTTTTTTTAGATTCATCAGCACTCTCAATAACATCAATAATTTCTTGAGTAGAAATTTCATTACAACTTTTATCTCCCTCATCTTTTGGAGAAATTAATTCATCTTGATTACTTTTTGAGGTTGACATCAAAACATCTAAATTATTTCCCTTTTCATCAATTTTTGTTGCTTTTAACCCTTTCTTTTTACCACCTTCCTTTAAATTATCACAATTCTCAACAGATTTAGCCACCTCATCTATCTTACATCTCTTAATCCTTTTTTCTTTCTTAGATTTATCAACACTTTCGATAACATCAATAATTTCTTGAGTAGAAATTTCCTTCGAACCTTTTTCTCCTTGATTTTTTGATAAAATCAATTCATCTTGATTACTTTTTGTTGTAGACATCAAAACTGTATCTAAATCATTTTCCTTTTCATCATTTTTTGCTGCTTTTGCCCCTTTCTTTTTACCCCCTCCTTTTAAATCATCACAATTCTCATTGGATTTAGCCACCTCGCCCTTCTTAGATCTTTTATTTGTCTTATCTTTTTTAGATTCATCAACACTTTCAATAACATCAATAATTTCTTGAGTAGAAATTTCATTCGAACCCTTTTCTCCTTGATTTTTTGGTAAAATCAATTCATCTTGATTATTTTTTTGCGTTGCCATCAAATCTATATCTAAATTAGTTCCCTTTTCATCAATTCTTGTTGTTTTTACCTCTTTCTTTTTACCACCTCCTTTTAAATCATCACAATTCTCATTGAATTTAGCCACCTCGCCCTTCTTAGATGTCTTATTTGTTTTATCTTTTTTAGATTCATCAACACTTTCAATAACATCAATAATTTCTTGAGTAGAAATTTCATTTGAACCCTTTTTTCCTTGATTTTTTGATAAAATCAATTCATCTTGATTACTTTTTCGCGTTGCCATCAAATCTGTATCTAAATTAGTTCCCTTTTCATCAATTCTTGTTATTTTTACCCCTTTCTTTGTAACACCTCCACAATTTTCATCGGATTTTGTTACCTCGCACTTTTTAGACTTTTTATTTATTTTATCTTTTTTAGATTCATCATTTTCAATAATTTCTTTCGTCAAAATTTCATTCAAACCCTCTTTTTCTTGATTTTTTGATAAAATCAATTCATTTTGATTACTTTTTGGGGTTGATGTTAAAAATGTCTCAATGCTATTTCGCTTTTCATAAATTTTTGTTGCATTCTTTTTAACATCTCCCTTTAAATCATCATGATTCCCAATGGATTTTGATGTCTCACCTTTCATAAATCTTTGCATTAGTTTATTTTTTCTAGTTTCTTCAACGTTGTTAATAATGTCTAGAATTTCTTGAGTTAAAATTTCGTTTTGATGTTTTCTGGTTAATTTAGGTGTAGAGGTCAAAATTGTATCTAAATTATTTTCAATTTCTACGCTTTCTTGTGGTTTTAAAGTCTTAATTGATTCATTCTCATTAATTTTTTGAGAATCATAATCGTTTTTTGAGTTTTTAATTACTTCATCAATTGTTTCATCAATTCTTCTTTCAAAACTTTTATTTTTATTAATATTTTGATCATTTTCATTCGATTTAGACTTCCCATTACGTTTTTTGGAAATTTTCTTTGAACCTTTTGCATTTTCCAAATCAGCATTTGATTTCTTTTTAATATTTTCTTTTCCACATTTTATATCTTCACCACATTGTAATATTTCCTTATATACCTCAAATGCTTCAAAATCCTTATTATTAGATTTTTTTACAACATCATTAATAGTTTCTTCAACTCTTTCTTCAAAACTATTATTTTTAACATCTTTATCATTCAGCTTCGTCGTCTTATTAGAATTTCCTTCAACATTTTTCTTCAAAACATCAGAATCTACAACAATTTTTGATGTTTTCTTCGAATCAACTTTATTATTTATTTCAAAATCTTTATTATTAGATTTTTTGACAACAACATTAATAGTTTCTTCAACTCTTTTTTCAAAACTATTATTTTTAACATCATTATCATTCATCTTCGTCGTCTTATTAGAATTTCCTTCAACATTTTTCTTCAAAACATCAAAATCTCCAACAATTTTTGATGTTTTCTTCAAATCAACTTTATTATCTATTTCAAAATCTTTATTATTAGATTTTTTCACAACAACATTAATAGTTTCTTCAACTCTTTTTTCAAAACTATTATTTTTAACATCATTATCACTCATCTTCGCCGTCTTAGTAGAATTTCCTTCAACATTTTTCTTCAAAGCATCAGAATCTCCAACAATTTTTGATGTTTTCTTCGAATCAACTTTATTTATTTCAAAATCAACAAAATCTGTCTTCTTAGAGTTAGACATTTTATTTTTAAACTCTAAATTTGATTTCTTTTTAACATTTTCCATCAAATCATCTGAATCTTTAACAATTTGCGATGTTTTCTGGGTATCATTATCACTATTCATGTCAAAATCATAACTTGTATACTTTAAATCAGATTTTGCAGTCTTACAATAATCTTTTTTCAAAGATGTTTTTACCTCTAAATTTGAAATATTTTGTATTGACTTCCCTAAATCATTTTTATTTTTTTTTACAACCTCATCTTTAACTGTATCATTACCATTTTTATAATGATCATTATAAACGTCCATAACCATATCTAAAACATCTTGTGTATTCATTTCCTCTTCATTTTCATTCTTTTCATCATCACTAATTATTTTTGAAGGCTTAAATGATTCAATATTTTGAATCAATAACATTTCCCGCTTACTATCAACAACTTTTTTATCCCCACCTAACTTTTTATTTTCATTAAAATCGTTCTTTTTTAACTCAGAAATTTTTGATACATTTTTTGCTTTTGCAACACTTCGTGCATCGTCAATTTTTTTATACAAAGCTTTTCTTAACATTAATAATTCTTCATCAGAATCATAATCAGAAACGTTTTGTTGTTGTTGTTGTGGATAAACAACTTTTTCAGTATCAGATGAAGAAGAAGTCAATAAATATTTTTGTTTTTTATTACAAAGGCTTAGTATTTTAGGTGAAAATGATTTTTTTATTATTATTTCGTTATCAGATGAAGAATCAGTTTTATCATCAAATTTTATTGTTTCTTTATTACTATTTTTTGATTTTTCAACTTTTATATTATCAACATTAATCAATTCTGATGCTTTAACTACATCATTACATACCAAATTATCTTTTTGCTCTTGTTTTACTTTTTTGGGTAAAGGTTTTTTCTTTTTCTTACTCATTTTAGGTTCTTCTTCATCAGATGATTCCAAAACATTGCTAACAACTTTCTTTTTCGTTAAAACAACCTTTCTTTTTGCCATTTTACTCTCAAATTTATTAACTCCTCCTGAATCTTCCGAACTATCTGTTAAGATATCTTTTTTCCCAAGTTTTTTATTGTCATTATCTGAAAATGAATCAGTCATATCAGTTTGTTTGCTTTTATCAATTTGAACATCACTATTTTCTTCATACATATCCATAACAATATCAATTATTTCATTTGTTGTCATTAAATCATTCGAATTAATAAAACCAACACTATCGTTTGCTGCCATTTCTTCACGATGTTTGTGTTGTTTTTTAATTTCACGACGTTCGCTTATTGATAAACGTTTATTTTGTTTATTTATTTCATTTCTCATATTTTTTGTTGTTGTATTATCCCCACTACATGAATCAATTTCGCTTTTAATTGAACCAATTTCTGATGTGTTTAAATTATTAGAAGCTCTTTTCTTTTCTTCACTCGATTCATTTTCACTTTTAATCTGTAAATGATTATTTTCAACACCACTAACTTCTGTTACATCTAAATCATTTGAATTAAGTAATTTTATAGCTGATGGAGTAACATTTTGCGAAATAGTTATATTTTCAATGATTTGTGGAACTCTAAATTCATTCTTTATACTAAAACTTTCATGCAAAATAATCTTTTGATCACCACCTTTATTGATAGGATTATTATTGACAGTTATTTGAGTTTCTGAGACATCAATTTTTACATCACAACACATCTCATTATCTTTATTTAATACTTCTTGATGTTTTCTATCAATATTTTCTTTTTGAAGTTTCTCAACTCTATCAAAACTAATTTTTTTCATAAACTTTTCAGTACAATTTTCGATTTTTTGACTGCAATTAACAGTTGTACTTCCAATTTCGCTTATAACTGATAAAAAATCATGATCATCTTCTCGATTAATATTTTTTATTGATTGATTTTCAATATCAATCCCAAATTGATGTTTAACTTTGTCTATATAAGGTTCCTGAGCTAAATTATCATCAAAATCATCAAAATTTTCAACTTTTATAGGTGCAGGCATATTAATATTTGTTGAATGTGATGTTCTTGATGAATTCAATAATGAATTGTTTATCGACACATTATCCAAATTAAGTGAACTTATATTATGCAAAAATGAATCCAATAAATGACCTTTATCAGAACCACCAACGGGAACTTTTACATTGATGGTTAAGTTAAGAAAATCATCTTTTTGATTATTTGAGTTATTTAATTTGTTGGTTTTTGTATTCTCTGACTTTGCTTTGGGTGCTCCCATTAAACCCTTCTCAAAAGAAGAGTATGAAACCTTACTAACATTTTTAAGATTTTTGCTTTTAGAATGATGAGATTTTTTCAACATCTAAAAATGAAATAATTTTGCAATAATTACGTTAAATAAACTATTTAAATGAATTAACACACCTTTTTCTCTTTCCAGTTAACACGTTAACACTCATCAAAAGAAATAGCGTCAATGTTAATCATGTGTTTATGGCAGTTAAAGTTATAGGTTATGTTTGTTATGGCATGGTGTTCACAAGTTCTAATTTAATTATTAAAAAATCATCATTTCGCCACAAATATTAATAATACTTCACATAATACATTATTTTGATCATCATTAATAAACAAAGTAGTTTATTACTTTTTTAAAGGTTTATTCATTCCACACTTCCCAATTTTAGGTTTTTCGTATATTAGTACATTTATAAAAATTAAATTTGTATTTGACATTTCTAAATTCTAGATATTTTTAGGTTATGTTTCCATTTTCAAAACATTAAATTGTTTGAAATAAAATATGGAAAATATCGATTATGATTCCTCGTGGAAATTAATAAAGAAAACTTTTCCCATATTAAACGACAATTTTACATTCGTAAGTACCACAATAACGATGTATTTATAATAAAATCATTTTTTTCTAGCCCTTGGAATCTGAGCAATGTTCTGAAGGAGAATTCTATCAAACCTTGAATTTAATCATCCAATGTGATCTAGTTGATGTAATACAATCGCTAATTATCGAAAAAATTGAGAAATACTCCCGTAATGTTATTAAAAAAGATTTTTGGGCACACTTTAACGATGTATCTGATGAAAATGAAGGGTTTAGACGTTTTTACAAAGCGGTGGAAAGTTTGTATGTGAATTATTCGCATTTTAAAACCACCCTAGCAAAACTTAATGCTTTACGAATTCAGGGGAATGAAAATGATTTAATTTATGGTGAAAAGAATGCTGAGGATGCTTTTAAATTAATCATAAGATCTTGTTTACTTTCTGAACTACCTTTAAATTGCCAAAAAGTTATTAAAAATTTTTATGAGGTTGCTTTAAAAAATGAGGGGATTGAGTTTTCTAAAAGTTGCAGTGTTTGTTTAAGTTGTAATGGTTGTGAGTGTTTGCAACACTTTTATGAAACAAATAAAATTTTGATAGAATTAGGTCTATTAGAACCTTTTGTGCAACATACAATATTGAATGTTATTAATAACCATATTGAGGAGCATATTGAAAGCGTTTGTAAAGATCGTTTTGATGTATCTTTCGTTGATTCTCTACAAAAGGTAATAAATTTGTTTGATTCAACAGAGATTAAATAAAAAAGAATTGGTTGTTTTTAAGTGGTTGGAGGATGTTATTTTGGTTTGGTTAACAAAAATTTATTCTTCCAAAACGGTTTTAAAGTTCCACAAAAAATTAAAAAGCGTCATTTTTGAAGTGTACACCAAAATAAGGATTAATCAACTTTTTAGCATCATTATTGGTAAAAATTGTGTTCTTTTGATAAAATTTACGTGAAAAATTTGTTTTTTTGTGTTTACTTTTAAATTAGAATATCCTGAATCAACTCCAGCTTTAGAAGATCTCTCAATTTGCCTCCCAAAAACCGATTTGCGACCATACTTAATCAAAAAACTTCAAAAATCGATGGAAACGCGTTTATTGCATCCCGGAGTAGGAACACACGATGTTTTAACGGCTTACGTAGCAACAATAAGATCTATGAGAGTTCTCGACCGATCTGGATTACTTTTAGAAACCATAACTCAACCTATTCATCAATATTTACGAAGCCGGGAAGATACAGTTCGGTAAAAATTAAAAGCAATTCTTCATTTAATTATTTATTAAATTGTTGTAATTGATGTAGATGTGTAGTAACTAGTTTAATGGAGGAAGGTTCAAATGATTTAGCTGAAGAGTTAATAAGAGGTGATGTTGTTCAAACTGATGATAATGCATCTTCAGATGAGGATGATCTTAATTGGGAACAATGGATGCCTGATCCAATTGAAGCTAAACCAGGTAAAAAAATAATATAATAATTTGTTTTTAAAAAGATCAAACCCAAAGATTCATCCTGCTCTTTACTGGTACTACTCAAGTTTTCAGAAAAAAAATCCAAATAAGAATGTAGAAAGTAAACTTTTATGCTCATCAGGCAGCCAAGTTTTTCCATTTTTTTGAGAAGATCATCACAATGGTGATATAGTTAGGGTCTTTTTCATTCCCTAAAAATCTTGTGATCACCATTTGAAAGCATTCCAAGCTTCTCTTTCAACACCTAACATTGTGTACTGAAATTTCTCATCAAATATTAGTTTACATATGTTAGGATCCACAAAAATTCCTTCTTTTAGTTTTACCTCTGAAAAATGTGGAAACTGTGTACAGAGGTTGGAAAACGTTCTTTTCACTTGGCCCCAATGTTTGTTGGTTTTAACCCATTTGTTCTGCTATCCCATTCACAAATGAAACATGGGTACTTAGTGTAACAACTTGAATTAAACGACTTGTTTTAAAAGTACTTAGTTGTTTTATTATTATAAAAATATCTTACACTCCATCTTATACATGTTGTCTCTCACATCTTCTAAAAGGACCGAGAGCCCTCTATCGACACACCACGACATCTATCTTAAAGTTAACTGACTAACGTACTACACTTAGTGTTTCCTCCCTGCAGATCAAGCATCACTCCCAAAACTTTCAGATCGCCACAAACTATAATTATTAATGATGGGCATAATCGAGATATGTGAATAATCGATTATAGGAAAAATAATTGGTTATTTTATAATCGGACGAATATTGATCGATCATTTTTCCATTCGATTTTTTTTACTCGATTGTTCGAGTAAAACGACGATGAAAGTTAAAATAAAATTCTATATAAAGTATTGACTGGTATACTACTTCAAGGCTGTTTCGGGGATTTACTGGCTTCTCTGAATCTCTTATTTTAATATTTAACTCAAATAGAACCTCAACTGATTAATAGAATCAACGCTTTATTTTTGTATTCATTAATAGATTTTAATATTTTGTAAAAAAAGAATGATTATTTCTTTCTCTGCGATAATATGGAGGATGGTCAGTCAAAATACATATTACTTAAAAACATTATTTCGTTGATCATATTGGTGGTTAACTTACTCCTTCTGTCCTTTGTTAACTCGCCTGCTTTTGAGAATATTGTTTCAGATGGCACTGATGTTTTAGTACTTATTTGAAAAGTTATACAGTTCCGGCAACAACTTCTTGGACTCCCAAAACTGTAAAGCATTCAATTTCCTATCTACCAATAGTAGGTCTAGGTACTGCTTTATTTGTGCTTTGGCAGAATGTGTTCATGTGGCTGAAATTAGCGCTGAAATTCTGCTTAGCTTTTATATCAAAATGCTCCCACTCCAAACTTGCTTGGTTGTTTTCGCTGGAATCTAAAATTTACATTCAAATACACTCTATTCTATACTATAAGTTATAAAAATTGTTATCGAACCAGGTATTGCAATAAAAAACAAAAGAAAAACAAACCTTTTAACGAAAATGAGTCGACACAATAATATTTTACCTGCACGTTCCTGAATATAAGATATTTCAGGATCTGGAGTTTCTAGATGCAACAATCAAATCCTCTGCTTCTTCTCTAATGCATTTAAGGGCTTGATTACCATTTATTATCTTATCGAAGGCTAGTTTCTTTAATCTGGGGTCCAATAATGTCGCCTTTACACAAATTTTCAACATAACCTAACCTCCTCAATAGGATATCTTAAAGATGGATTTGCAATATCTTTCTCGATCTGAACAGTGATAGCGTTTCTCATATTTGAAGCATTATGTGTTACAATACAGTGAACTTTTTCAAAAATATCCCAACTTTCAAAAACTTTGCGAAGTGCACTGGCAACATTTCCTGCTGAATGACGATCAACTAATTCTTTTGTTTCCAGTAGGGAACTCTTCAACTGGCTTTCGTTTATATAATGAGCAGGAACTGTCAAAAATGCTTTCGTAGATGGTGATGTCCCAAGGTCTATAGAACATAAGGTTATCCAATACCGATTCTCCTCCTCTGAGAGGCAAGGTGGGTCAGTGACGTAGCTGGTTTTATGAACAACACAACACGATGCGAGGTTTAAATATTTTATATAGACTGTACCACAGTATAGGCACGTATAGGCTATCTTTTATTCTGACTGTATCAAACCAGTGACGTCAATTTGCGGGGTAATAATCGATACTACAGAGGCATAGGGAATGAGGTAACCTTATGTTCTATAAACCTTGGTGATGTCCATATTTCTGTTATTATAGCCAAATTTGACGCTATAGTTAACTCATTTTTAATCTTACTCAACGGCGGTGTATATACACTTATTTGGTATCGTATCAGGGAACTTATAATTTTTTTTCGGCTTGGTAAATCATAATGCGGATTAAGTTTTTTTGTATATTTTATGAACCTCTTATTTTCAACTATGGATAAGGGCTAAAAATTAGAAACTTAGAAGAATTATGTGTTTCCATTGTGCAGGAGTACAGCCTTCAGGCTTCTTTTTGAAGAATCAATGAAATGTCTTCATTTATCAACTCTGTATTCAATTCCAAACTTTTGAACCAAACCAGGAACATCACAACATGGACCAACTCGCCTTTTTTTTCAAATAGTCAGTAAATCGATCTCTAAATCTGTACTGATAAAAAGATGTTCCAGCAGCCGGTAGTTTTTTTTCTTTTAGTCTAGAACCCACGAGTTCAGCATTCTCCTTGGTAAGTCTCAAGTTTCTCACCAAATTATCAAGGTCAGACCGAGCGAAAAGTTGTGGGGTGGCATAATCTGAAGGATCCTGGAAATCACAATCATCTTCATTCACATCAAATTCACTGGAGCACATCTCACCTAGCGTTGCTGAAGGCACATCTGGTCCATGAGCTACAGGTAGCATTGCAGAAGGTTGTGTTACACTATATCTCTTTTATTCTTAGAGTTATAGCCATTAAAATCGTAATAGCAAAAATAGCAGTCATCACTGTGATTTTTTGGTTCCCCCCACACCATCGCAATACCAAAATATACAAATACTTCTACACAAATATAACACACTTTGTGAGGTGTCCATGATTTGTGCTGGTCCCCAAGTCTTACACCGAAATAGGAGTAATACACTTTGCTAACAATGTCTGTAATTCATCTCTGCCTATCTGTGCGGGTCAAAAACGGCTGCAGTGGACGAGCATCCTGACTCATTCACAAATAAAATCTCTACTCTATTTTTAGGTAAATCATCAAATACACGTCGAACAACCGATATAATCTCAATGTTGGTTAACGTTTATGGTAGTAAAGATTTATTTGTAAACGAATATCGTACATTATTAGCCGATAGACTTTTAACCTCGTTAACTTGCGATACCGATAAAGAAATTCGTTATTTAGAGCTTTTAAAGCTCCGTTTTGGGGATGCTCAGCTCCATCTTTGCGAGGTAATGTTAAAAGATATTACCGATTCGAAACGGATTAATCAACACGTCCAACAAGACGAAAATTATCGAGATGATGACGTACCAATTTCCGCTATGATACTCTCCGCGCAATTTTGGCCTGCTTTTAAAGAGGAAAAATGTGAACTTCACCAATCGGTTAACGATCAAATGAACGAATACACAAAGGTATTTGAAAATTTTAAAGGGAGTCGAACGTTGTGTTGGAAAAAACATTTGGGATCGGTTGATTTAGATATAGAGTTACCGAATAGGACGGTTTCTTTTAGTGCTGTTACACCGATGCATGCAACAATTATTATGCATTTTCAAGATAAAAGTAAGTGTGTTGATTAAAATGTTTATGAGTATTTTAAAGAATTGTTATAGATCTTTGGAATTTAAGCGATTTAAGTAAAATAATGCAAGTTCCACCGACTTTATTGAAAAGAAAAATTGTTTTTTGGCAATCTCATGGTTTGATAAATGAGATTGATTCGAATACTTTTCAATTAATTGAAGATACGAAAGGGGAATCATCTCAAACTTCTAAAGACATTGTAATTGAGGATGAATCTGAAAGTGCGATGGCTAGTTCACGAGATCAACGAGAAGAGGAACTTCAGGTTGTAAAAGAATTGAATGTTTTAATTAAATCTTTTTATCTTTTTAATAATTACAGACAATTTGGTCGTATATCGTGGGAATGTTAATGAATTTGGATTCATTAAACCTCGAAAGGATCCATCAAATGCTAAAAATGTTCGCGTTTCAAGTTCCATCAGTTGAGTGTAACGTTCAAGAATTAAAACATTTTTTAGATAGAAAAGTGCGCGAGCACCAATTAGTTTATTCAGGTGGCGTTTATCGATTACCAAAACCTTAATTTTTTTTAAATAAAAAAAAATTAATCGCCTTTCATTTCTTAATCAAACCTTATTCTTTTGATTTTCAAAACAATTATTTTTTTTAGTTGCGGTTTCATTTAATGAATAAATTTTCATTGTTAAAAGAAAAAGGGTTTCGAAGAACCCCAACAATCACGAGTGTTGTGTACGTTACGGGGAAAACAGAAATTAGAAATGAAATGCTCGCGGTGTTGGAACGAATCGACGAAGAAAGTGCGCGTCACAGCTGTCGTAAGTAGAAACTGAGTTGATATTGATCCCAAAAGTTTTAAAATGGTCTTTTATACGATCATTTCACTTCATTATTATTTATTTCGTGCTATTTACACGTATTTGTAAGAGAAAATGAAATTTAATTGAATGATATGTTTTTAGTCAAATTTAGGTATCAAACAATGTTAACTAATAGAAAAATAGTCAGAAATTTTAAGTTTGGAAAAGAAATGAGGAAAATGTAGGCTAACTTAATAATTAAGTTATAAAGTGGATGTTATTACTAACTGGTATCTTGTTTTCTTGAAGAAAACCAATAAGGAAGGTTTTATTGACAACTGGAATTCGTTGACACAATTTCCAATTGCGTGAAAGTAGGATCATTACAGTTTTAAACAGAAAAAGAAAAACTAATCATAAATAATAGTTAACAAATCGAAAATTATTATTAATTTTATTATTTAAAAAGATAATTATTAAACAATATTAATTCAAGTACGATTTAATTTGAATCATTATACATAATTATTTTAAAGATGGTTTAAACGGTTCGTTAATCTTTATTAATGATTTCTTTTCTAACGATTAACATTACTGGAGATAAAAACGACTTTTAAATGAAGACGATTTCGTTTTTGATTGCTACGATTACGGATCATGAAAGTTATCAACAACTTTCGCTTGAAATAAATTACATAAATTGAAGAAAATTTCTTGTGGAAGTTGTGTTTTTAGTTATAACGGCTTTTCTTGTGGTTTACTTTCATCAGGAAGATGTAACAAGAAATTTTGTTTAAAAAATGAAAGTTATAATAAATTCATACTTGTTTTTGAAAGACCATAAAGTTCTCACTAAAGTAAGGATAAAATACATTTTAAAATGTATTTACACTAAAGTCTCTTAAGGAAGATTTTGTTTAAAGAAATAAAGGTTGACGATAATGTAAATTTTGTTTAAAAGCGGATAAAAACCACAAAACCATATAATTGAAAAAAAGGAAAGTGGAAGAAAGTTGAGAAATGATTTGAAATTTTAATAATTAATCAATACTGAATTGATTTTCAATATAAATTCTAATAAATAAATAATTAATCGAATTCATTATATTTAAATATTTTAAATAGCTTTATTTATTGTGAACCACAACAAATTAATTCTTAATGTTTGAATTTTAGATTTATAACGGTTTTCTTTAACACCATTTTATAATGTGGTATTTCATTAATTTTAATGTTTCTTGTGGTTTTCGATATTTTCATGGCACCTTTAGACGCAAATATTACATTTTGAATGAATTTTAAAGAGTCCGTTAGAACAAACTTTGTATATAACAAATAATCTTTCTGGTATATGCACCATTTTTTTGATATCATTTTTATAAACTGGAATTTCAGTTCATGAACTTATTTCTTTTCAAAAATATTCTAGTAAATGCAAAATGGACAAGTATCTCGAATATAGAAATCTATATTACATTGATAATAATGAAAAAAATGTTTTGAACACACAATGTTTGTTAAGAGTTTAACGTAATATCATGCACTCCCTCTGGTATTGTTATAGTCATTATAAAGTGTGACGTTTTGCAAACGCTTTAAAGTTGCTACTGTAATAAATATTCCACTACGTGATCTAGAACTGAGTTTGCAAACAACAATACAACATATTGTAATGGAAAGTATGGAAGATTATAAAATGCCAATTGAAATAATTAGAGATGAATAGTATTTTTGTGGTGCATTTCTGAAGTGATACCCCACATTGCCAGATTATTGCGATATTTGAATAAAAATGAAATTAATAAGAAAGCTGGTAAGATATGTCAACTTATTTGGATACAAGATACAAAATGAACTTTTTTGATGCTGATTTAACTAACGAAGCAACTCTAAAAAGATGATACTTTAATTAATAATTGGCGATATTTCCACAAGGATCCTTCAAGAAATTAATTTTGTAGCGAATTTTGAAAGTTATCGGTGAAAATTGCAACATCGAAAATTTTTTCAATACTTCAAATATTGTTTTCTCAAACATTAAAAATTATTTTTCAGAACGGGTTGGTTCATTGGAAAGAGTACACTTTTATTAACACTTTGGGAAATTTTTATACTCACATTCCAAGAACTGGATTTTATACGAATTTTTAAAACTTAATTGGCGAAAATTGCAAAATTCGAAAAAATTGTCGATCATTTCAAAAATTTATTTCTCAGGAACTAAAAGTGATTTTTCAAAACGGCTTGTTGCATTAAAAAGAAGATACTTTAGTTAATAATTGGTAATATTTCCACAAGGATCCTCCAAGAAATTAATTTTGTAGCGAATTTTAAAAGTTATCGATGAAAATTGCAACCTCGAAAATTTTTTCAACACTTCAAATATTGTTTTCTCAAAAATTAAAAGTTATTTTTCAGAACAGGTTGGTTCATTGGAAAGAGGGCACTTTTATTAACACTTTGGGAAATTTTCATACTCATATTCCAAGAACTGGATTTTATACGAATTTTTAAAACTTAATCGGCGAACATTGCAAAATTCGAAAAAATTGTCGATCATTTCAAAAATTTATTTCTCAAGAACTAAAAGTGATTTTTCAAAACGGCTTCTTGCATTAAAAAGAGGATACTTTAATTAATAATTGGTGATATTTTCACAAGGATTCTTCAAGAAATTAATTTTGTAGCGAATTTTGAAAGTTATCGATGAAAATTGCAACCTCGAAAATTTTATCAAAACTTCAAATAATGTTTTCTCAAAAACTAAAAGTTATTTTTCAAAACGGGTCGGTTCATTCCCAATATATGGCCTTGCGAATATTTATAATTCACATCACAGCGGTTTTAGCTTCGAATTCCATGATCTTTAAGCGATTTAGGTGTTAAAGCTTAAATAGAAAGTGAGTCAGTTTGTGACTTCTATAACGCATAACTACACAATTTAATCCATCATATCTGCGGATGAGAAATTTCTTTTTCTAATTTAATTTATTTAAAAGAAACGTCTGGTACCGTTCGAGGGAAGCAAATACAATATTCAAGGGTGTCGTAAGGAAAATTACTTTAAAAGAGTAGATGACAAGACTTGAGACGATTAATGATGTTCTAAATTCTCCAATGAATTCTACAGTTTTCTCCTTTATCTGGTGTTATAGCAACAATTGAATTTATATTGACTCTTGCAATCCTTATTTAAAAAGTACTTTGTGCAAGATTTGTGCAGTTTTTCGTTTTTTCACTCTTTAGAAAATTTATAAATATGCACGAGTGCGCCAAAAAAACAAGTCGCATCTGGGTGACATAAGGAATCGGGTTTTATGGCAGCAACTTTTAAATCAGTATTGAAAGGGACACAGAAGGATGTCATTAATTGGGTTCACATGTACGTTCCATTTACTTTGTCTTTCACGTGCCCTCGAAACCACATCTTATATCTCGCATGTGGTACCTTAACGTTCGCATCTCAGTGGTTCTCAAAATTTGATTAGTCTTGCTTCCGTTGTTTCAGCCGTGTATATCATCATAGGACGTAGTGTTGTTTTACAAGTACCTATTTTGTTTTCCATATTACTTCCCTCGAGCACTCAGATATCCTTGTAGATTCATTCGATTTTGCACTTCGTTTATAATATTTTATATGGTTAGAGATACTTATTCCGACGTATGTCGTCTTTGGCGTTAGTCGTTGATTTTGTGTTTATTATTGATGTTTTCATATTATTTATAGTGGTTTGCCATCTAGTAGAATTTATGTTTATGTTTTTTTATGTTTTCTTTATGTTTTCAGCTCCTAAGGTATATCCTCCAGCTGTTTCTTTAACATTCTCGATGATTTTGTCCACAATGTGGTTAAGCAAGGAATGGCTTAGGTTGTTTCTTGGTTGACACCTGACGCAACATTTATTTCCTGTGTTAGTTTGATATTAATGTTATTATTATTTTTTTGACGTTGAATTCAGACGAACGCGTGTGAGGTGGGCAAAACAGAGAAAGGGTTGTTAGAAAGGGATCAATTATCTGACACTTATCTTCAATTACTATAATACTGTAGTACTTACTAAGATTGTAGTTCTTCCGTCATATGTTCCGCTATTTATAACTTCGTTAGTCACTTCCTCTAGGCCTTTGGTTTTCTTGTTTTTTAATGTAGCTATGTTTGTCTTCACTTTATCAAGAGTTGTATCCTTTTGATGTATATTGCAATACTGTAGGTTTGGCGTAGTCTCGTCTGATGTTTCTTCTGATGTGTTAAAGTGACCTTTCCAAACTACCTTACCGGCTTTTTTAGGTTTCTAAGGGTGTGTCCAAATATTACACTTGTCGTACTTGCCGCGCAATGTTTGGACACACCCTAATGATTCGTCTATCTGCCGTAAAGATCTCTTTACATTGACTTCGAAAATTTTTTCAAGTAATATTGTTTAATCTCCTTTATTTGATTATTCGCTCGGCTTCTAGTTGCCACATGATTTGAGTGGTTACCTTCTGATAAGCTAGTTCTGTATATTAAAGAAGAATTTTTGTTCTCACTGCTAGTTGTTTTATTTTTTCGAAAAACCACAGCTTTGAGTAAGTTTCGCGTGTTTTGATTTTTCCTTTACTTATAGATTCTTCCGCTACCTCATGTATATTTCACTTTACATTCCTTCAGGCCTCTTCTACACTATCTGTTGATGCAATTCTGTTGTAATTAATATTTTCCCGAAGTCTGTTCTGGTACAGGAACCTTCTACGCTCATTGTCAAAGGATTGTAAGTTGTATTTTTCCTTATTTAATTCATGCTATGCGCAATTTCTCCAGTATCATTTTATGATCACTTTTTATGTCTGTTGATGATAACGGTCTGACATCAAATATTCGATGGGTTAATTTATTCGTTTGTTATTAGGTAGACAATAAGTATTTTTTTAACCTGTGCTGTTTGAAAAGGCTGGTTTGTGTTAATTCTTGTGGGCAAATTAGCTATTATTTATTTGTAGACTGTGGAATATGCATACATTTAGCGGCAGCTCTCCGCTTTGGTTGACATGGCATGATTCTTGGTTACATCGTTGTTTCACTTTGTTCATAATATAATTTCCGATATTGGCGTGGAAATTTCTCATCATCAAAAAAATCCGGGAAAACGGAAATATTGATATGAGATGTCGAAAGTATGTGCCAAAAGCGTTACATTATAGAGAGTTCAATCCAGTTTGTAAGTTATTTGCATAATTGCATTAATTTGTTCTTCATCACTTTCTTCTATTTCTAATTCAGAATCGCTTGGTGTAACATACTGATATTATTTGCTTTGGTTTTATCAAATGTAAGTTTTTACTCTACTCTATGGAAATAAAAAATAATCTTAAATCCTGGTGGTTACATAGTGAAATTAAAATATGATGTGGAGCTTTATCCTATAATAACACATTTCATTTCAATTTTAGCTAAACCAAGAATTAGTTGTCTTTAAATCTAAATTTTAATGACGTGATCATTTATTATCTTTTCGCAATCACGGTGTTCAATCTTTGTGTCAAACAATAAATTACAGTTTTCTAAAAATCCATTCTTAGAACCTGCACGCAACATACTGAAACATTTTCCATCTCGTTTTGGTCTTTTTGAATTTACTTCTAAATAATTTTCATTATCGTTGTCGAATAGAAATTAAATATTTTAGGAAAAGCGTTTTTAATTAATTTAGTTAAAACCACAAAGATACAAAGTATCAAAATAGCAATTAGAAAATGATCTCGAGAGAGTATGCAAATATAAAAAAAGAAAAATAAATTAAATAATACAAAAAATTGTATAAACCTAAATGATACATTATTTTGTCATCATTAATTACATCCAATATTTCAAGAATGACACTTTAATTTTAATTAAATTAATTAAAATCCGTTTCGTTTCGCTTCCTCAACCACACACGGTCACAAATCACATACAACCCAACATTAATCTTGATAATTGAGGTGAAAAAGAGAAGAGAGCGCAAAAAAAAGCGCTTACTTAGTAGATTTTCGTTTTCTTGAAGCACGCATCACTCTACATCCTCCACTTCCAACTCTCCACGTCTTCTCCGAGACGAACTCCACTCCATCGCGCTTTTACTACACGAGAAATAGAGCATACTCGGTCTTAAAAAGACATTTTCGACGCACCGCAAATGCCAGTCTGTCCTCGACCTTCACAATGGCACAGCTTTCCATCGTTATTTTTCGGTTCTTGGTGCTTCTCTTTATTGTGTTGTGTTTTTATTGTGAAGTTTTAGAATGTAGTAGTAGTAATAAACACTCTCGAAGACATGATATTCATAGGATTGTGATTAAACCAAAAAGGAAAACGAGTTACAAAGTTAGTTTTGTTAAAATAATTATTAAAGATATATTTAATTATCTATTTTCAGAAACCTTATTCTCACATACCACATGATTACCATCATTATACTTCGGTTCAGGATGAAATGTTTGATCCTTACAACGCCGAACCAAGTCATCATTTAGACTCATCGCCGATTATGGATGATCCAATTCAATATATGTCACCGCATCATGGTTTTTCATCAAGATATCGAGAACCGGAACGGTATAAAGAGTTTAATAAAGATTACAAAGAAAGATTGAGATATCCAAGTTATAAGCCGTATCCATCATCGTCTCTTCAACATTACGAATTTGAACCTTATAAACCGGGATATGCGGATTATAAGAGTTATAGGGAGATGATGGAGGAATACAATCGAAAACAAGAAGATGAGTTTAGAAGGCAACTTGAAAAAGCTAAGATGCAAATGCATTTTGCTCAACAACAACAATTAGAACAACAACAATCGCATCAAATGCGAGGGCAGGATGTTTATCAATATGGCGAATCGCAAGAGAGGCCTATTTGGAATGCTCCCGATGAAAGTGGATTAATTAAAGGTTAGTTATTCTTAATGTTTATATATAATTAATCGAAAAGAATTTAAGCTTCGTTTAACTTAACTTGTTTTTATTCAAAAATTGGATTTCACACGTTCTTGAGTATGTGGGTCGAGCGCTTCGGGCAAGAGATTAGGTCGATAATATGCAAAGGGATCTTAAGAGTTTCAAACCAATTGACTTTCATTGTCCTAGAAAATCTCTTTTTATAATAGTCACAAAAAAGTTACAAAGTGGTTCTAAAAAAGCGAAAATTAACATTGGCGTTTCTCCTTGTTTCACGATTCTTTTGACCTTATCTAGGTTAAATTGGGGAAAACTAAAAGCGTTAACACGAACTTTTAGAAACGACACGAACAGTAACATTTCAAAACCTGTATATGACATTCGTTTTAAATGTATGGAGAAATCGGTTTTGAAGTTTCACTTTACACTATTTTTGTTTTAACTAGTTAAACTAGTTTGAATTGTTGATTTAAAACGACTAAAGATAAATTAAATTTTTTTTTCTTTTTACAAAGGTGATTGGAGTCCAATGTCACATTCAGAATCCCCATCGCATATTTCCCCCTCGTATACAAAACCATCAACATTTAATTTACCACTATCTACAACACCGCAAACATCTCAATATATCGATTTAACGAAATTAGATATGACAACATCACAACCTCAACGATTATTGCCATTGATTTCTGCGAAAAACTCATCTAAAAGTGGCAATGGAGGAAAACAGAAAATAAATTATAATTTTAGTCCGAATTATTTCCCGAATCATAAACCGGAAAGTGGTGTTATTAATGAAAACGATGATAAACCGAAGGATTTGAAAGAATATTCAGCCGTTGTTAGTACTTCTTATTCTACTTTGTGGGGAAATAATAACCAAAATGATGGTGAAAATGTTGATGAAAGTGGTAAATATCAAACGACTTCGGGAAGTTATGGAAGTAGAACGAAGATAAAAAGAACAAAACGACCTGCCACGTATGGAAATCATTAATTATTGTTAAAAAAAATATTGTTAAGAGTTAAGTTGTTAAAAAACAATTGTTTTTGATTATTTTTATTTATTTATTTTAATTTGTTTTTATGACGGTAGTTATTTTTGTTGTTAATCCAAATAAAAATTTTAAATGTTATTGTATAAGTGCATAATAAGCATATTATTTGAAAAAATCCTGAGTAAGTTAATGCTCAGAGAAGGTAGCGAAACTTATACGCACGACCTTTGAATATCTCCATTTAAATCTCCAGAATCCATACGGTTATATCCATAAACTGCATCGAAGTAAACATTATAGCGTCCATTTTGGGATTAATACTTTATTTGGTAATAACGTGGATTAAAAAATATCACCTGAAAAATTTAATGAAAGTTTGCGTTGGAACACACATCGTTGAACTAAATTGAACGACAAAAATCCATTAACAAAATTTCAGCAGGTTCTAAATCTTGTACAAGATGAAAATGTTCTAGATTGTGGCATGAAGCATATCTTTCTTATGTTAGTGTGGGACATCAACCATGTTAACTTTGTGACCATTATTATGTTCTGTCGACTCTTTTAGATACTTCAGAGATTCAGATTTTAGATACCACATTTTCTGTATCACTTGTCCAAATTAATCTTTGTACTTCACATTATGTCGATGCACACTTAGCATGCGCAATTTATTCAGTCGCTGGTTAATCATTTCATTTCAGTTCTATTTTAACTTTTCTATTATAACTATGGCAACGATGACGTTTGATAAGCTCTCATTCTTATAACTTCGTTACACCCCGGATTCGTATCAAGATTTTTAAGGCTCAAAAATAGCAGACAGAAAAAAGTTAAATAGCATTGTTGACAAAATTTTTTCAACCATCTCGTTTTGCATAAGAGAAGTAAAGTTGTTGCAAATGTATAACACGTTTTGAAACACATTTTTAGAAAAATTTTTCGACTTTCTTAATACTTGATGAACAATTTTGAAATTCCCGAAGGGAACCTAAGATATCAATAACTAAACTCAGTCTGCGTGCTGCACAAGTATTTCTTTTTAATTCTTATAATAATAGCTTGTCCATGTTCAATCAAAAATTAAATAGTGCGTTTAGGATCGCGAAGCATATCATTTCGGCGTCAAGGTTGAAATCCATAGAATTCTTCTTTGATCATATAATTTTGTCTAGACTACCGATGGATTTTTTAAATCCTGGCTGCTGATATCAGTTAGTTTATTTTGGTCATAAACTGAATAGTCTCTAGACTTGGTCTTTTAATGTAATGTTGTATATCCATTGACTTAAGAATGGATGAAGAATGTCCTGTTTTGCATGGTTCCGGAATTAAAGTTAATTTATGGGAAATAGTGGAAAGTGATATGTTATATACAGGATGAGTCAGAAAGAATAGGAAATCCGAATACCGGCGACACTAGACACTAAAATGTGACGATTTAACCTAACTTCTCTTATACAAATCTCGGTGGTTGTCGAGGCACAGTGTGTTGAAAGTTAAATTCTTATTTCGAAATTTTTTGATAACTTTTAAGTTTTTTGTACTATTAACATAAAATTTGGCAGTTTTATGTCTTCGAGAATGAGAAATACGAATTTGAAACTTGTTTTGCGATTGCTCGTAGAGGGCGCTAGATACTCACTGCTGGTTTGATACATCAAATCATGACTATTTTGTCAGTTGAGGTATGGTGAATTAGAACCACAAATCTGAAAAGTATAGTTTTCATTAAAGCATCTATCTCTAGTTCCTTTATTGTGGTTGTATTTCTGACTATCCAGTTTTGAGTTTTAGGTTCAGCACCCTTTAAGATTTGGTGCATAACCACAATAAACAGGAGGGGGATAAGGGAATCTCCCTGTTTGATTCCTTCCATATTGAAACTTTTAGACGTTATTTTATTCTAATCATTCCCGTTGTTCTTTTGTACAACGCTCATGTATCTTTGATCAACTTGTCAGGTACCTATTCGTGCTGCTTCCATGGCTTTCCAAATGGTCTTCTTTGATATACTATTGAACGGTGCACTCAGGTTTAAGAATGCCAGGTATATAAAATTTCGTTCTTCTAATCTCTTCTCTGCTGCTGTTATAATTGTATAAATGTGAACTTGCGTTTGACTATTTTTTCGGAATGCTGCTTCTTCTTTATCTATGTAACGTCTGATCCTTGTCCCTATTATCCTCGAGTATATCTTCTACAAACATGATACCATTGCCATCTGCCTGTCACGTGCCCCTATTATTATTAATCACAATCGTTCGTGCTTTCCTTCTTGTGCAGTGATATGATGATATTTTCCTCCCAATCTCTAGGTATGACTTCTCCATCCAAGGTTTGCCAGCACATTCTTTTGACCATCTCATTACTGAGTTTCTCCTTCATTTCTAGAGGTACTTGAATATCCTATCTTTAGTCTTATTCTTCCTAACTAGTTCAGAAAACAAAGAACGATAATCTAATTATTACCCTAGGAGATAAAAATGCAGGTATAGTGATTATGAATAAAAGAAAAGAAAGAAAGAATAAAACAGAAAAAACTGAAAACTTTTTTAAAGAAAATAACATCACTTTAATTAATTACAACCCGACTACTAAATTTAACAACAAACTAAAGAAACTCATTAAAGAATGTAATTTATCTAAATTAAACATGAATACTTCTAATTCAATAGTCATGAATCCTTTGATACCTACGTTAAAAAGTCTTATTAAATTACACAAACCAGAAAAAAGCATAAGACCTATAATTAGCAATAAACACACACCAACAGAAAAAGTTGCAAGAAAACTTCAACAGTTTTTGTATCACACTTTTAAAGATCAGTTCTCGTTTCGCGTCAATAATTCTATAGATCTAATAAACAAAATTAAAAATAGAAAAACACTCAAAACTCATTTCGTTCGACTTCAAAAACCTATACACAAATGTTCCAGTTTCCAAGATCATCACCATAATAGAAAAATTCATGCACACTAATAAATCTAGAATTAATTTACAATTAACTGAAATACATAATCTGCTCAACATTTTAAAACACGTTTGTGATCAAAATTCTTTTATATTTAACAACAAATTTTACAATATGACTGATGTACTCCCAATTTGCTCACCGATATCTTGAATAATTTCAGACATCTTTGTTAACTGGTTTGAACGAAAACTTTTTTCAGATAAGTTTAGACTTTTTACTCAAGACATAGTATTTTATGGCCAGTATGTAGATAATATCCTAATTATTTATAACGGTAATTCTGCAAGATTTCATGTCTTAAATGTTATTCAATAACATTTGCAATTTCAAGTTCACCACTGAACTTGAGAAGGATAATAAAATTAACTTCTTAGACATAACGATCCATGAAGATTGCATGAATACAACAGACTGTATTATCCCAAAGAACTCTTCTCATTGTCGACAACATAAAGATACTACATTCAGATTTCTATTCAATCGTTTAGTTAATATACCTCTGTACGACAGATCCTTTAATGTTGAATTGAAAAAGATTTTAAAGATAGGCCTAGATAATAATTACACTTTTTCAGAATTACAAAACAATACTATAAAATACACAGGAATAATATAAATAATATTATATATCCCAGATACTGCGCTAAAAAACAGTATATAGTATTACTTTACTATTCTAATCTGGAAAGGAATTTTAAATACAAAAAATATAATATAACACCCGCTTTTAGATCTAATAACAGCCTTGGGCAATCTTTAATTAACAAGAAACACAGGTTCCAATATTGGGAAAAAAGCGGTGTATACAAAATTGAATGCGGTGATTGTAACATGTTTTATATAGGCCAAACCAGCAGAAGTCTAAAAACCAGATACAAAGAACATATGTCAAAACATAACTCCACATTTTTCAAACACATCACAGAACACAAACATAGAACTGACCTAAACAACATGAAATTTCTTAAAATACTGACTAAATCGAAAAAAATGGGTATATGGGAAGAATTTTATATAAAGAGCAATGAACACGAAAATCTATTAAATGATATAACTGAATCCTGTCCTGTTCCTCGACACGTATAAATTTGTACGAAAATAGCACTTAAACGCATTTTACTGGTTTATATTCATTTTAATGTTGTTTTATACGTAGTCGTTACGTAATTTTTTAATTTTACAACCCACGAATTTTAATATGTTTTTAATAACTGTGTGGTATTTTGTTTATTGAAATGATATATACTTGCTACTCCTCTCCATTTATTGACATTTAGACAGTAAAAATCTTTTATTACGATTTTTTTATTTGTATGAAAAATATTAAAATTTGTATTCTATTCTTACAGTGGTGCCTGAAGACGGTTTTGTTAAAGAAACCGAAACAATGGTAGCACCGATTTGAAAATGAAATCATTTTTAAATTTGATTTCTTCAATTTCTTATTTTCACCATAATAATATAAAGATGAACCTGGAGACAAATATCGCTAAGTTATTCTTCCTGCCTTAAACTTATCTTCGTAATATTTACTCCATGTGTCCAATATTTTGCTTTCCGTTCTTATTCTTTATACTAGATTATTATTTTGTTAGATTTTCCTCTTAGATATTTAACTGTCGTGCAGAATTCTTTCTTATTGTTTGTATTGTCTTCAAATTTTCGCTCTATTTCTATCCTGAAGCCTTTCCGTACTTTATTCTTTCTTGATTTAATAAATAAGAAAATTTGATTTTAATATCAAACTTCTATTTAAAACTTGGAAATAATAACATTAACATTATTGGATAAAATTATTATTTAAGTTATTATAACTGTTATTATATTAAGAAAAGTAAAAATGATTAAGCAAATATTTTAAATTGCAAGACTATTATAATATTAATCCATAACCGTAATTTTTTCTTTTTAATAATATCTACTATTTGGTCTTAAAACAGCTTTTGGTGGAGTAGACGGTAAAACTTTAGTAAATCTCCGATTATCTCGTTCCCTGTCATCATTGAAATGTGGAATTTTTAAATAATCAGGCTCTACAGATGGAGGACGATTAAAATCTTGATTATTTAAAGAATTATGCACTTGGTTATTCAAATCAACAGAAACTTGTCTGCTAGGATGAAATCTCATTTGAACGACATCTAAGTTTGCGTTTTGATGATTTTGATTTTTCGTAAAATTGTCGTTTTGTAATGTCATAGGAACTCTTGGGATGCTTCCAGTTGTATGCCAACGACTAAAATCATTACTTAATTTTTTAATTAAAAACAATATATTAAAATAAAAATACTTACGAATATGGCGACATGGTTAATTTAGGTCCGCCATAATCTTCCGCGTTAATGTTAAGCGCCCAAATCATAAAGACAACTGAAAAAATTCCGTTTAAAACCATAATTGCGAATCCCCTCGCTGTTATTGCCATCACCGAACCGATTACGACTTGTATCTTAAATACAGCTTCATAATTCTAAAAGTAATTGAGGTGAATTAAAGGTTTTAAAGTAATTGTTTAAACGAACTGGTGCAAATAATTCATTGATTAAGGCATAATCAACGGAAAAAAGAATGACTAAAATAAAATCGAAAACTGTTAATATTCCACCGATGGCACACCAAGCAAAAAGGCACCATCTAGTGTATTCCCATAGTTTATACCAAAGTGCTGAAAAAAGAAATTATTTTTTTTTTGAGACTTTTTTAAGAATAATTACCCCAAAGTAAAGTTAATGATACGATACTCCATAAAAACGATAATGGGAGATAGAAAGCGGCGAATCCCATAAAAACGTCTGCGTTCATTATCATATCGTTATCAAGATTTAACTGCTCAGCTAAAAAAATTTTTTTTTAATTAATTGAGTAAATTCGTTGGTGTTATCTTACGAAAGAAAATGACGTTGTAAATTAATTCTGAAAACATGTGTTCTTCTCCCATAACCGGTCTCCATCCTTCCGTTCTGATAACAATTACCAATATGGTTAAAATTGTCCAAACCAAACCTTGTATCTGTAAATAATCAAAAAAAATTTAGGTTTAGAATGATCCAGATTAATAAAGCTAAATTTACAATTTCTACAACTACAAAGCGAATGAGAGTTATAATGAAATATCAAAAATTAATGAAAATAACTACTGTATTTAAAGCACTACATTTTTAAAAGTTTTAATGTAATAAAAGAAATATTTTTCTTTCAAATTGTTCAATTATTCCGGGATGTATTCATTTGCTAAAAGATCACCGATTCCTAAAACAAAAAGAAGTAATTTTAATTAATTATCTTGTAAGATAGGATGACTTATAGAAAACAGGCATTTTTAATTTATACGATAATTAATTTTTTTCAATGATTTTAACGGAAACATTAATATTATGTACAAGTAAACAATACAAAAAATAATATTTATGTTATGGTACATATTTAGGGAAATGTGCACATTTATCAGTAAATGTTAGATTGTTTTCTATTTGTGTTCTGGGTTGTTTAGTAATGTACGTTTATTTTCTTTGATGGAACTTGTTTTTTGCGAGGTTGAAACGTTGGAATTTCTTTTTGGTTGTGATTGCTATTTATAACTGCTCCAGGAAAAGTTGTTGCATTTTGTACATACCTCATTAAATAATTTTTTACCAATATGAAGTCGATCTTATGTTCGACATTTTATGTTCAAAGCAGAACTCCATCACCCTGTCTCCTATTTCATTTCGCGTGCCAAGTCCATATTGGCCACACACTTCTTCCCCAACGTCTTTTCCAATCCTGGCATTAAAATCTTTTGCTATAATTGTTGTTTCACCCTTTTTAGTAACTTGGTTAGCAGTTTCTAGAGATGCGTAAAATTTATTTTTTCCGTGTCTGTCAACTGTTGGAGCATATTCTTGTATTATGTTCACAGAGCGATGGAGAGTGCAGATCTTTATTACTATTACTTTCTCATTTATTGGTAACCATTCAATGATGGATTTTCAAGCCTCTGTGGCAGAAAGATTCACTCCATGATAGTGTCTGGGTTTGTCCTCCCCGGAGTAGTAAAGACTACCATTGTTTTTCTTGTTCCAGACTTTCTAGACTGTTGTTTTACTTCTCGATATAGCCTGTGCGATTGGCTAATAGTAATCGAATTTGTTGGTCAAGTGAAGTTCAATTATCTTATTTTATTTTCTAATTAACTTATTATGAACCTCATGATTAAAATTTAATTTCATTATTATAAACAATTAATGCGTAATATTTGTCAAATATATAACAAGTAGAGTTAATAGTAATAGTTAGTTTATTTTAATTATGATTTGTTGTGACTATATTAACTTGAGGTCCAATTTAAAAACGATTGTTTTCTAAAAGTCATCGGTATTTTAAACATAACTTACGTTGTTGAACATATTTTTTGGAACCACCTGCTAAAAGTATTGCTGTTATCATATTTATTATCGGAAGAAAATATCCCCCTGCCATTATAGTTACTGCAACTCCTAATACAGTACTGTAGAGAAACTTGGTGGCTTCATCCTATACAAAATAATAACAAAAATTTAAACATGTTTAATAAAAAAATCTGAAATAATTAATGCATAAATTACAATATTAGGACTCTTTGAAATTTTGTTCCAGTCAGTTCCAAAGAAGATTATATGAGCCAAATTAAGAGCTGTAATCACCAGAGTTATCGTATTCCAAATATGAGTATACAATAGGATCCAATCATAGTTTTCATGCTTGAAAAACACTTGCAACGTAATTAATTTAATTTAAAAAATATAATTAAAAATTTTCTTACATCGAATTATAAAAAATGAAGCTATAATCCATAAAAACGACGCAACGAAGTAGAAATAAGCAAAGAAGAAAAAATAACTCGTATTACAGTAAAGAAAATCAATTAAATCTTCAGCAGGAGGGTCCGATTCACCTGTTGAGTAAAAAATGTAAATGAATGAATCTTAATTTTTTTTAAACTTACTTTGAAAGAAAAGGTAATAAGCACCCCTATTAAAATAATTCATATTGTGCGGTACCCAAGCTTCCGTACGTAAAAGTATCACCAAAAGGGACATAATCATCCATGCTAATCCTTGCATCTTTCAACACAAAAAATATATAGCACAAAAAAGATCTTATAAATGTTTAAATTAAACTAATCTCAAAAGTACAATAATATCTTGATAATTAATTATAGACATTATCATATTATCAAGTAAATTCGTTAGTCAAGTCAAATTAGCTAAGATGTTAACAAGAAAACCTATTGTAAATAAGAATTACTATTTACCAATCCTAAATACCCCGCAACGATACCCACAGAACGTAAAAACGTGCCCACGAGCATGCTAATTGAGACTTTTTACCACAAACACTTTGAAAATATACGAACGAATTGAACAAAAGTAATCTGTATCATCGGGATTTATAACAATATTTGAGATAATTTTGTTTGGTTATCGGTTAAATTTAGGCATGATAATATAATACAAAATTAAATAAATTAGCATCTTAAGATTAAATGACTCAAAAGTAATCTTGATTATAAATCTTATTAATTGTAGTAGCTTATTATTAGCTTTTATCAACATTTTGTCTTTATGCGTCGCAATTATAATTTTTAGTGTATCTGAAATTGTAAACAGGTTCCGTTTTAAATAATGTCTGCAGTAATGCTGATATTATGTCTACTTGTGCAATTGCTGGCTTATTGTACATAACCTAATTTTGCAATAATTTTCCTGCAATTTCTAGTAGTCAAGGTACAAGAAATGATAAATGAAGAAAGAATGTATCTTCCGGTGAAAGATACAACGAGAAGAAGATGCAAAAGATGAAAAATATGACTTAAAGACACACAAAGACAACTCGTCAAGAATTTGATAATCCTGCATGCTCTAAATGTTTTGAAATGTATCATTCTTAAAATATTTTGTGTTATTACAGTAAAAGCCCGAACTACAGGAAATCCTAAGATTTTCCAGTTTACAACATTTACCAACTCTGAATGGTAAAAGTCCGAAATGTTTTGTGATTCGCTAAATCTTAGGTTTTACCACAGAGACACGGTAAATGTCGAAAAATAGACACGTATAGTAAAAACTTGTTAAAGATAAAGAAGTGAGTCTTCGAGAAGTTGTCGGAAAATTGTCTATGAGCGGAGGATTCAAAAAATGTAACTAACAGAAGAAGAGCTGGCAGATTTAGTAATTGATGATAATTATGAATGCAGTGACAGTGATGAAAATAACAAAAACGCCTTTCCAGCTATGTTAACTCCCAAAACATTTAATAAATGTTTAGAAATGGGAGAAAGACTAACAGACATGTTGATAGAAGAGAATCCTATAACATATTGCCTTAGCACCTTACAAACTTTTGCGACAAAGATCTTAGAAGTAAGTTTAAACTACAAATCATTTCCAAGTTTATGAATTCTCTATATTTTCAAGGGTAATTTATGAATTTGCTCCGGTTAGTTCATATTCCGGCTTTATTATTACATATAACCGAATCTCTTCTGATATTCGTGGTTTCGATGCCTTGCCTTTGGATGATATCCAAGTTGCAGTACTAAATTCCAACTTTAGCTTGAAAAATAAAAAAAATCAATCAAGTAAAATTAACAACAAATTATTATTTAATCAATAATAATTACTCTCTTTTAAGATTAGTGTTATACAATATTTTAAAGCATCTACTAATATTTTTCTACTTTTTACGTATAAATATATACAATAAAAAAATAATAAATGGTTAATTTTTTAATGTTTGGGTATCTTTTGTTTCCAAGTCTAGAAATTTTAAAATTTCAATAATAAATGTGATTAATGTATTAAAATATTACTTACATCTACTACTGAAACTTTGAATTTTGCGCCAACACTGATCAAACAAATCATTACAGTTATATTGACTATTACAAGAATGTATCCACGTGCTATTATGGTCATCACAACTCCCACAATCGTATTATATAAAAATTTAGCAGCATCATCCTATAACGTAAAATTTAAATAAAAATTAAATTTGTTAATTATGCTTATTACAAGTTCATAACAATTTTGGATCACCACAAAATCCATTATTAACATAAATGATATAATCAAATCGAAAATTGTGACAAGGAAAGTTATTATAACCCATATACCGCAATTTTCTACCGTTACGTTGTTATAATGATTCCGATAACATTCTTAAAAAAAATAAAATTAAATAAAAACTAATTTTAAAGTAAGTTTGCTTACTCTGAGCTAAAATCAATGAAATCACCGTCCACAAAAACGAGAGTATCAAGTAAACCCATGCGAAACCAAAAAGAGCAAGATTACAAATTAAATATGTTAAATCTTCAACTGGAGGATCTGAAGTACCTAATAAAACAATGCAAAAACTTATTTATTAAAAATGTCAACGATTTTTTTTAAAACTTACTTTGAAATAAAAGGTTGTAAGCAGCGGTATTAAAGTAATTCATGGAATCAATATTTGGTATCCAGATTTCAGAGCCTAATAGTATTACCAAAATTGATAAAATCATCCATGTTAATCCTTGTACCTTGAGTTGGAA